CACTACCCTTATAACCTAATAGAATCGAACCTTATATTCGAGGTCCTATTTAATTACTTAAGGGCTAGAATTAAATTAGCGCTATTCTTCTATAATACCTAATATATCTAATATTAGGGTCCCCCCTATTATTAAAAATAAGAAAGGAAAAGGCTTCTAGAATATAAAACACTACCCTAATATATATATTAGCCTATATTACATCGATAATACTTCTAAGTATTCACTTCTAGTAAACTCTAGTGCGATATATAGGGAGGATAAACACTAGTAAGTTTACTTACCTTAAATCTAAATAATTCTTACTCAGACTTAAAAGATATACTAACCTAAACCTTCTCTATATATTATAGAGACCTTAAAGAAGAGGTTAGTTATATAAATAGTAAAGATATAGAGCGAACTCTACTAGCTAAAGAAAACTTCCGCTAGACTATATAACTTTATCTTAAGGGAGCTTACTTATATAATAACCTAGATATAACTATAAAGATCTAATCTATATCCTAGTAATACCCTCTTCTCTTCTCCTATCTTTTTAATATCCCTCTGGCCAGAGTGGAGACTAAGGAAGGATAGCTTAGAACGTAAATACCTAATATAGCCTTATAGACTAAAATATAAAGCGAGATCTAGCTTCGAAAACCATATACCTAACTATTATTATATTTTATTTCGGAGTATAAGTCTATAGTCTATCCGTAGATATTATTACTCGACCTAAATCACTTATTTCTTAAACTTCTATATATTGTATATTATAACTATAATATTAATTCTTTATCTTACCCTAGTCTATCCTATCTCTAGTAGTATTCTTAGGTCTTATTTACTTACTAGTAAGTTATTTTAATATATCGGATTTATTACTACCGAAAGTCTAGTATAAAGGCTAATATATCGAAACTTTATAATCGAATAGGTCGAATTAAAAAAGAGAGACTTTATCCACTAGTGATTTTCTAATATACTAGAAAGGCTATATTAGGTATATTATAGGAATCTTTATTCACTATCTAACAAACGATAAACCTTAAGTCTTTATATACTTATATTCTCTCTATAAGTCTAGTAGAAATAACTTTATCCTCTCCCTCCCTTAGGTTATTCTTAATACCCTATAGTATAATATAATTATTAGCCTCTTAGTGATATTACCTAAAAAATAATACCTTATAAAATAATAACGGAATAGGGGATCTAAAGATAATATAGTTAGATTAGAAAGTGATTACCTTACCTTTATATATTGTACTTAGAAGATATCGTTCTATTAGAGGATATAACTATAGGCCTATATCCTATAATATATATATAGCGAAATCAAGAGTTATTTAGTCTAATAATTTATCTAAATATATATAATATTATAATATATTATTTACTCAACTATTTAAAAGATATAGAAGCCTAAGAGGTATAGCTCTAAGTGAATATAGAATATTAGCTATTATTACCTATTCTATATAAAGGTATTTCTATATATATATCTACCTATATAGGTTTATAGAGTATTTTGGTATTATTCTCTATTTATTCTATTTTACTTTTTGATTATTCTATTAGTATTTAATACTAAGTAGATATAGTATAGATATAGTCGGCTAAGGGTTAGTACTTTAAAATATATAAGAATAGTGGTTACCTATCTTTATTCCTACCTTTATATCACCCTATCTACTACTAACCTTAACCACCCTATTAACCTCCCTTTCTATACCCTCTCCCTCTTTAACTAAATTATTTTATAGATTTAACCTAAATATTAAGGCTATTATAAATTTCTACCTTTTCTATAACCTTAAATTAGAAGGGACGTGGATAGAAATAGCGCGATATACTCCTTAGCCCTCCTAGATAGGTATCTTTAACCTAGTGTGTAAAGTAGGACTCTTATATTCCTTAAATATATATATAGCTATATCTAGGAGTTATACTGAGTTTATTCCTTAGTAGTCTAATCCTATATATCTATACTTTACTCTTCTATAAGAATTTATTACCTAGCGAAATCTAAGATAATATCGCTCTAAGTGACCTAATATGATTCTCCCTTTATTCGATATATTATAAGGGTATTTTCTAACTATTTCTCTAGAGACTATAAGCCTTTAATCTATAATATAATACACTATAGGGAGCTAAGCCCTATTACCTTATAATAGTAGTCTAGATATAGTTAGATATACTTAGAATAAGGATAGATATCTATAAGCTCTTTATTTAATAATCTATAAGCTATACTATATATAAAGCCAATCTACTAAAAGATAGGATAACCTAAGGAAGTAAGATATAGAGAATTATTTTACACTTTATCTAAATAGTAATATAATTACCTAAGTATACCCCTACTTAAGCTCTAATTAGTCCCTAGATAAGGCTAGTATACTATAATAATATAGATTACACTAAAAAAACTATTATAGATAGGGAAAGTTATTATTATAGAAGTAAAGAACGAAAAATCTAAGGAAAAGTAAATAATAAGTGCCTACTTTCTTATATTTTAAACCACTTAATACTAATTCTAAGACTAGTATATTCTTTATAGCACTAAGAACCTATATAAAAAGTTTAATCCTTTTCTATAGGTAATAATTAATACCTATAGATACTATACCTTTATTTTAGTATATTATCTATATATTATTTAATATTTACTAATTATTCTATCTAAAGAGTCCTATCTAGCGAAAGCTTAAATATTCCCTAGATATAAAGCTATTCTAATTATTCCTTTTACTAGGTTTAATAAATCTAAGCCACTTTATAGTAATAAGAATAGTATACTTTACCCTTATTTCTTAATATATATATTTATCTAACCTCCTAAATAAAGTATAGACTTCTAGGACTAATAAAATAACAATATAGAGGTTAGTTTAATATCTAATATCTAAGTTCAAAATATAAAATACTAACTCTATAACAAGATATCTATAGGTAAGCGATTATAAATAGAAATCTTATTATATAGTTATATTTCTAGAATAACTTTAAGATTCTAAATACCCTTGTCTACTACCTAAATAGGTAATTACCTACCTAGGTAGCTTATATAATTTCTAACCTTAGTTTCTATAGTGTTTATACCTATAGTACTCTTTATCTTTAAAAACCTAAAGATAAGTATAACTTAGACTAACCTTTATATATATTTTAGAAATATATTATAGAATTATCCTAGGATAGTTTATTTCGTATACAAATATATCCTAGAATCGCTTAATAACCATTTACTAACGCCTATATTATCAATATATAGGTCTCGATAATTTACTATTACGATATCTTCGGAGCTCAATTCTAACCCTCGATATAGTCTATACACCTACGTACAGAAATCCTACGACCTATAGACAAATGCCTATTGTCTAAGGAGATAGCCTCTGATATCTAAGAAGACTCTATATATATTCCTATAGTCGAAAAAGAAATTTAGGTGATACCTATAGACACATAAGGAGATACAATGATTAAGCTATAATATAGTAATACTATACCTACCTACCTAGGTACTAGGTAGGTAGGAGGTATATAGAGGGATACCTAAGTTTAATATATACCTTATTACACTAGAAATAGTAGGTATAGGTAAATTATATATAGGGAGGAGGAGTACCTAGGTAGTACCTAGATCTATAATGATACCAAGATCCCTTTACTACAGTATCTACTACGAAACGAGTTATGCTACTATAGCTACTACGTACATTAACGTATCGCTACGGTAGCTGCTACCTTAATTACGTATCGCTACGTATCATTAAGTAGATACCGTATTTTCAGTGATACAGTATCAACGGTTGCTACTATAATAAGTGAGTAGCAATAGGCTACGGTATCAAGCCTCGATACCGTAGAACCACGGCCGTATTACAGTATCCAGGACACCCTATTATCCTGGATGGTACTACCTAGGTAGTTTAGAAGGATTGGATTTAGGAACACAGAAAGCCGGCCCTAGGAGCTAAGCCGCTTCCGAAACGTGGACCACTTAGTCTAGATTCTAATCTAGTGACAATCTAAGGTGAATGATACTATCCGTTTATTGAACTGCAAAGTAACAGACGGAGAGGGAAAAAAAGGTGATTCATAATTAACGACCACGTTCAACTAGAGTTGATAGCGTCGCATTTTCTCGGGTTTTTGTCGGAGAGACTAGACAGAGGACGAGGGTTTTAATGATCGACGCCTTGTTTTGGAGGCTGGCTAGCGTCTCCCTACCCCTGAGACGCACCAGTCGGCCTTTCATCGGCAAACCATCAAATCATTGGGCCCTTCCCACCTCCCCCGCAACAGCCGTTGCTAAACGATCGGCCCTACGAATTGGGCTCAGCCAATTAACAAGCAAGCTATTGTCAATTCGTGGCATCTGGTTTAGTAGTTTACTATATATTTCAATTAAACGGAAACACACCTGCAATAACGCGTTGTCGATCCCTTTCCTCTAACTTCTTTTGGATGAGGAATGGTATTTTTGCAGAGTGACGAGGTTTGATAGCTTTAAGGTCTTGAGATAGATTCAATATATGTGAGGTGCTTCTCTTTTCTTGTCGCTCTTTTTGTCGCTCTTGATCGTATTCAAATCATGGTCACTTCGGGCGGCGGTATACCGATTCTTCCCTTTGTTGAAGAGTGTATTGGTCTACTGAAGAAATTCCCTGTCAAGGGGCAATATCATGTATACACTAGTCGTTGGAGTTCCTTTGCCAATGTACAATATGGTGTGGGCCCGAGTAAGCAACCGTCCGAGATGATCCTGTCCGCTGTTGATCCTTTCCTCTCTTCGGAAAGTCCCTTGATATTAAACGAAGTGTACATAACGGGTGAAGAGTGACGCCGGTAGGCTGATCCGGCTTTGTTCTTCCTTGCCGGGGTCTGAGTGTTCTTCGATATTAAAAGATACCTATTCCCCCCATTTGTTCTCGCACAAAACTTTCACCTGATATTCGCAGGCGCAACACCACCGTTGAAGTCGTAAGCCGAATAGTAAGATGAGATTCTTCGCCCATGCTTTCGCCGCAATTGCGGCCCTGGTGCCGTGTGAGCTCTTCTTAACTCTTACCGCTGGGAGGTGTGTGACTCACTAGCTAACCTGACCCCATCTAGTCCTATCAACATCTATGGCTCAGAGCGGGACTCCGGTGGCTTACACAGACCCAGATACAGACATCACCTTTGATACTTGGACTGTTCCAGAGACCTTGAGTAAGGGAGGATTCACCTTTGGTATTGCTCTGCCATCCGATGCTCTGACCACAGACGCTACCGAATTTATCGGTTACTTGGTGTGTAGCTCTGTCCAACCGTTGTAGTTTCCGTTCTGCCTGTCCTTTTACTGAACAGTCTCTCAGCTATGTTCCTCTCAGAATGCTACCGCCACCGGTTGGTGTGGTGTCTCTCTCGGGGGCACAATGACTAATTCCCTCCTCCTGCTGGCATACCCCTATAAGGGAAATATCCTCACGTCTTTCCGTTATACCACAGGCTACCACATGCCGGACGTTTACACTGGGAATTCCAAGCTTACCCAAATCTCATCCACCATCAATGCAACACACTACAGCTTGATCTTCAGATGCTCAAACTGTCTGCAATGGAGTCAGGGAAGCGAGAATGGAAACGCCTCCACGAGCGCAGGTCTGGTAAACTTAGGATGGGCCCAGTCCTTTCCAGGTCCGGAGAACCCCAGCTCTCCTTCCAATATCACCCTCCATTATCACGACAACGGGCACAACATCTGGGCGGCTACGCTGAAAAACGCACCAAACAAGTCATACACAAACTGGGCCACGATGACCAAAACTTCAGCGACCGGAAGCTCCTCCACAAAGATTGGATCCACCACAACGATTCCGGCGTCCTCTACGCCACTCCTGGCGAAAGCAAGAACCACCCAAAAATAAGGTCAACACACATCTTTGTACTTCAATCTACTGGCTATGAAAAATGCTCCCTGGGATTGATACGGATTTTTTTGGTGCATAGAAAATCGCAGTTTGCAGGGTATAGGGATGAGGATCTGGTGGTGGAATGGAGTCGAGACTAAAAGGAATGAAGGAGTCTAAATTTCCGATATTTCCGATATGACAGGTATCTCGGTAGGGCCGCAGATAACGAATAGGAGATAGCTTTCAAAGCTTGCAAAGGCAGCAGAAGTTTTTATGAGGCTGGGCATGTACAGACGTCTTTCTTGTACTTCTGTAGACTAAAGCTAGCTTGTCTTCACAATGCTTTCTGAATCACTTTTTGCCAAATAAACTAAACACATTTCTCAACCAGCGTAGGAGACGAACTGGGCTCCCAAATGGTATTTATAGAAAAAATAACCATCGGACTTACCCTAAGCTGACTCAGTACCTCAATCCGCCCTCAAACCAGCTAAGCGTGGCTATGTTTGTATCAGCATCCGAAAGGAATCGTATTTGCCATGGCTCGCTGTGGTGCCGAACAGTCTAGAAAGAAACTGATAGAGAGAAAGATCCTTGGGTAGATATAGTATATGGTGTATTTTCCCGGTTTACCTCTCTATCTAAAGTATCTCGTAATTCTCCTGACATACCTACTATCCCTACTATCCTGTACCAACAAGCGCCTACATGATTGCTATATAAGTCCTTTTACCCCATTACTGAGCACATACGACCATAGGGTGTGGAAAACAGGGCTTCCCGTCCGCTCAGCCGTACTTAAGCCACACGCCGGTGAGTTAGTAGTTGGGTGGGTGACCACCAGCGAATCCTCACTGTTGTATGTTTTTTTGTGCCTTGCGAGAATAGAACTCACTATGTATTTTGATTGCTACAGATAGGGATAGGCATTGGTGCAAGCAAAATGAATTGGTTGTAGATGTTCCACCTCTCGAATTATTGTTTGGTGTATTAAGCTTTCAAACGCATACGTTCATCGCCATAGCCTGAGTAGAATGCTGTACGTATGCCCCGGTCACACTTATGTCTTTATTGGGGTTATATTTTTCAAGTCCTTCCAGCGGTCCGTACTTCTCACACAAGAAGAGCATATCATTATATGCTCTGATATATGCAGTATCAGTAATACACATAAGCATAGTTACCACCAGGGAGACTTACATTGATCTTGAAATACTCCCAGGATGACCTGCGGAGTCATTGAGGTAAGGGTGAAGACTGTAAAGTCGATTGCGATCATCCCATTCCTCGACCGGCTGCGAGGGCTCGATATGGCGCTGATAAAGTCTTACGTAAACAGGGGAGTTGAAGTAGTAGGCCCAAGAGCACCTCCATGTTCCAAACTCCATTTCATTGTGAGCATAAGTGCATCCCGGATCAAAAACAATTGTTTCTCCGGTCGCCATATCGACACCGATGTTCTGCTCCCACAGATCACCATGGATCAATGCAGGTACAATTGATCGACCTTCAGACTGCAGTGCGCCCAAGAGCCTTGGTATAACAACGTCAATTATCTGCTTGCACGCATCCTCGAATTCTGGCCAAGCTCCGTTGGTCTGTTTGTCAAAATCGATGATTTTCTTCAGCTGATTTGCAAAGCAGTTTGCCCAACTTTTCTCCCATGTCACGGTTCGTTCAAAAATACCGCACACAGTAGGGACCGAAAAGCCAAACATTCCTGTGGGTGATATCCCTTTCGAATGGAGTTCTGCGACTTTTGCCACGAACGGCTCTGGCTCCGGGGGTGCCCGAAGGTCCATGTCGTGGTATTCGCCTAGAAAAAAATAAACTTGAGATTCGCCATCATGATATTCCCCCCATGCAAGAGGGATTGGAACAAATCCAGGAACAACCGCGCGAATTGCGGAGGCAGAATGGTATTCACCCTCTACCAATGGCCGTGCACCAGTTCCTGTCGCACACTACTTTGCCAAATCCAATGTGAGCATGCATGTGTGATCAATTGAAGATGGCAGATTCTGACCTTTAAAAAGTACCTGTGATGGCTTCCATTAGGGAGGACGACTGATATTTTTGCTGTCTTTGTCCATGCAGAGACACCGCATGACTCTGCGGAAAGGACGCTCACTCCGCTGGGCATGGCTGTGAAACTAAGTGCTTGTATCTCTAGACTTGCTTTCAAAATGTATTATATCTTGCTCACCTCGAATAACAGCTGTATGGACAAGAAAATCGCCGTCCACCCCCGTCATCCATTTATCGGTTGTGATATCCATGATTCAATGGCCGAACTACGTCAAATAAGGGATAGGTATGTATGGTTCCTTTCGTTGAAAATGAAGGTAGAATTGCGGTCAGGGGTATGTTTTCCTTTTAAACCAAAAATTATACTCCATAAAGTCACATGCATTCCCTCTTGGATTCAATGCAGGTGGCCTACTTCGTACCCATGGACGCGCCCTATCCGCAACTTCATTGATTGGTCTCGGTTACAATTGATATGTCTTGGAGGTGCGCGGATCGATAGGGGGGCCGCAAAAGTGTTATTGGTCAATGCATCCACCGGTCCATGGCTCGGCCCCCGTGTTTGTTGTTCGAGGACAGAACACTTCGTATTGCTCATTCTAGCACTCCGTACTCCGTACGGAGTACTCCGTATTGTGTACCTAGTTGTTGTGTCAAGAAGCTAAATTCATCGTAATTCAAGCAAGTTGTCCGACTCTTTTGCTAATGACATCATGTTACGTCTTCCGTTAGTGCTCAAACTGTGACTATTGCTTCACCTTGCGTTCTTTTTGTTGAAAAAGCAACCAACACACATCAGCAGAAGGAAATGGGATCGATAGTATCATATTTATCTATCTACAATGAAAGGAGTTCTAGTAAGCAATCTTACACAGCATACTAGCGCGATGTATTGTCAAACTCAAGTACGAAGCAGTGCACAAGGGTAGTGTACAAGGCATATACTCCGTTTTTCAACAAGTCTACGGAGTATAATGACACAAATTATGTGATTGGGACTTGTAAATGTGATGTTCCCGCACCTTTCCGCGCCATCAACGACGCTAACTAAATCCTATGGCTCAGCCCTCAGCCGAATCGGTCATTTGTGATGACATCCCCGCCCGATAGCAATTCGGAATTAGTTTTCATCGCAAATCTTGACCTGCAAGTACCCAAAGCTCAGAGCCTTGTCATCCTAGCCAAGTTAAAATATTGTGTCAACCACCAAGTATCCAAGCATTCCCTATAGCGTCTCGGATGTCCCTACAGATAGACTACAGAATCCAACACACCGGAACATACACCAGAAAAAATGGTGAGTGTCTGCCTCATCAGCATATACGCTGTCAATGATCGTTTTTAATACTCCTAAGTTGTCCAAGAAATTCAGTCTTCGAAAGAAACGCCACCATAAAACGAGCCCTTCACATACACCAACATTTAATTCAACAATATCGGACACTCCAATCCATGAAGAAACAGATGGCAGCCCATTGACGGCGACCGGGACACCCCTATCTCACCAAACGAGCCCACCGATCCTGGAAAATTCCGAAGGTGATCCAGGACCCCTTGGCCTGAACGTTGTTTACACACCACAATATGGTCACAAAGCCGATATTGTCTTCGTCCACGGCCTTGGAGGCAGCAGCCGCTGGACATGGTCAAAGTACCGAAAACCAGAGTTGTTTTGGCCATTGACGTTTCTCCCACTAGAGCCAGATCTCTGTTTATCTAGGATTCTAAGCTTCGGTTACAACGCGAAATTCCGAAAACCGGGCAACGCAAGTACTGTCGTCCTAGATTTTGCCAAGGAATTATTGTTCGATCTCAAATATGCCAATGACGGACAAAAAGAAAACTTGAACATCGGTGCTGTGAGTTTAGAGAGGAACATGCCATCTCAGAGGAATGCGAACTGACATCAATACAAGGTCCCGCTTCTCTTCGTTGTCCACAGTATGGGAGGACTTATTGTCAAGGAGGTGAGATTGAAAAAGTGGTGGGAATATATTAGGGAGCTCACCAAATATAGGCCTATATGCAGGGCCAGAATGACCCAGAATACGAAAAAATAGTCAAGGCTATTTCGGCAATTCTCTTTCTTGCAACTCCACACCGGGGGACTAACCTAGCCGCTATACTGAATCGCCTGCTACAGTCCACACAGATTAGTAGTTCGAAGCTTTATATTTCTGAGCTCTCTAGGGACTCTTTCACTTTGCAAAAGCTCAACGAGCAATTCCGACACATCGCCCCAAAGCTTGATATCGTCTCCTTTTATGAAACACAGCCGACTTCTCTTGGACTCAAGAGTGCCCGAGTGGTAAGTAGTACTATACCTTTAATGCTGTATGTTTATTGTGTTGAGGATAATGCTGATTAGCAAAGATGATTTTGGAAAAGGATTCATCTGTGCTGGGCTATCCCGGGGAAACTTCGAAGGCCCTGAACGCAGATCATCATGATGTCTGCAAGTATGATAGCCCAGGAGATCCAAATTACATTACAGTGAGGAATGCACTCAAGTCAATAGTAAGCAAGATTATCGCAAAAACCCCTGGAAGTCGACTAGGCATTGCAAGTCAGAGGCGCGTGCGTGATTTGAAATTGTCGTTGGCGATTTCTGATTTGCCCGACTTGGATTACCTTTTCTTCCAAGACCAGTGGACAGAAGGCACAAATTCATGGTTTTTGGAGCAAAAGCCATATTCCAGATGGCTTGACGAGACGAACTTGTCCTCTTGCATACTTTGGGTGAACGGAGGCGCTGCGACTGGAAAATCCGTTCTCTCCTCATTCGTTATCAAAAATCTTCTTACTGGAGGTGCTTGCTGTCAATATTTTTTTATCCGGTTTGTGGATATGAAAAAGCGTTCCCTGAGTCTTCTGCTTCGCTCAATTGCGTATCAAATCTCGCAAGATATCCTCGACTTTCGAACAAAGCTCATTGAGCTTGCCGATGAAGGCATTGATTTTGAAACGGCTGATCCAAAAACAATATGGGAGCGCGTTTTCAAGTCCGTACTGTTCAGCATGGATTCTAAAATTCCTCTCTACTGGGTCATAGATGGGCTGGACGAAGCGGTCGATGCCCGATCCGTTATAAAACTCTTTCAAGATCTTGGTATGTCATCAGTCCCAATCAAGATTGCAATTTTCAGTCGCATAACCCCAGATATCACGACGGCAATGAAAAAGATACCCTCGTCAGTGCGTCAGGAGACGGTGAGCATCGAAGGACATCCAGAAGATATCTACGCCCATATTCGCCAGGAACTGAGCTTGTCCGGTACCGATGAATACAAAGAAAGAATTGTAAAACGTATAGTTGAAGGCGCACGAAGCAACTTTCTTGTAAGTGCAATAACGATCACTCTGCTTTTCCAACCTTTCTGACTTATAAGTGGGTACGACTGGCCGTTGAAAAGCTGAACTCGTGCCATACAGTTGACGACGTCGAAAATGCTCTTCATGAACTACCGTCTGGAATGGAAGCACTCTATGACAGGATGGGGCTGTTGATCGCGCAAAATCCATCACCGTCAGGTCGGGCCTTGGCAACGGCAGTCCTCCAATGTGTCACTTGCTCCTTCCGGGCTTTGACCGTCTCTGAGTTGTCTCTAGCTTTGGATGAAGAATTTTCAGGAATGTTGAACTTTCAGCAGTCCATTGTAGAGTTATGTGGTGGCTTCATCATTGTGGATAACGGCAGTAACGTTGTCATAATTCACCATTCGGCACGCGAGTACTTGATAAGCAGCAAAAACCGACCATTGAGTATCGACTATGCAGCAGCCAACGAGCAATTGTTCAAAACCTGTATGCGTTGTCTTATGACGACGGGTCTCCGTGCAAAAGTTAGTCGAGGCGAGATTCATGGTTTCCTCGACTACAGCGCTAACTGGTGGTCTTCCCATCTCCCATTGGTTCCTGCAGCCCAAATCACGGTGTTCAAAACCCTCAATAAGTTTTTAACTGGCCACTGGGTCTTGACATGGATTCATATCCTAGCCATTCTGAAGCGGCTACGGATTCTTGTCCGTGCCTCAAAAAATCTTTCCAAATACTCTGCCGCAAGACAGAAGATCCAAGATCCGTCACTGAGTGATGTCAACTGTTTTGCGGAGCAAGACCTGTTGGAGACGTGGGCAATTGATTTGGTCAAAATCGTGGGGAAGTTTGGCATCATTCTTCGGGGCCATCCTGATGCGATTTACAAAAGTGTTCCACCTTTCTGTCCCCATAACTCCGCAATATATCGACAATTTGGAAAGGCCGAAACCAAAACACTGGCGATCTCTGGAATTTCAATACATGATTGGGATGACTACATCGCTCGTTTGTCGTTTGGCGGATATGCGTCTTATATCGTTGCCGAAGGGCCCCGGGTTGCGGTCATGGCTTCCTCAGGGAATGTTCTTGTTTATGACGCATCTGATTTTGAGGAAGCGATGATAAGCCCACTTATACATGGAGAGCGCGTATATCGAATTGCTTTGAATCGGACAGGGACCCTCATTGTCACATACGGTTATCAAACGACTAAGGTGTGGGAAATCTCAACAGGGACATGCAAATTGACCGCCAAAGCCCCCGAGTCCCGGCCACGTCCACTTACCATGCATTTTAAAAGCAATGATAATATTCTGCTGGTGGGTAGTGATGATCGACGCATTCGAGCTCTCGATTTGCTAGATCCATCTCCGACTTGGGAACTTGTTGCAGACTTTGAGGAACCCGAGCTCGAAGGGCATTTGTTGAATTCATCAAGCTACATGGCGTTGAACAAAAATGGCGATCTCTTAGCAGTCGCCTATAGGGGACATCCACTGTCAGCTTGGGAAGTTGACGGGCCAGTACACATCAATCACTGCTGGCGAGCCCGTGAAGTCGTTGCAAGAGGTGAAATACTAGAGGCAATTTGGCACCCGCACAACCCAGAGCTTCTTGGTTTATACATTGAAGGCGTGGTTTTCAAGTGGAATCCGTACGAAGGCGATCCCGAGGAACTTGAAACGGGTGCCTCCAGACTGGCGATGAGCGCCGACGGAAGCTTGTTCGCCACTGGTGATGTACGGGGAACGATTAAAGTACATACAACATCTGAGTTTCGGCTTCTCTATCAGCTCGCATCGCAGGATTCAGTCCTTGGTTTGGCGTTTAGTCCTGGCCTTGGTCGCTTTTATGACATCCGCGGATCATATGGAAATGTCTGGGAACCGAATTCTTTGGCACGGTATGCAGAACGTCTTGAAAAGGGACCTGACAGTGACAGCGAAACCGGAAGCGTTGAATTTGGCTCTATGGTCATTACTGGAATGCCCCAAAGAATTGACCGAATCTCCGTTATCGCTGCATCACCTCTTGGCGGACTGTACTGCAGTGGAACAGAATACGGCAAGGTCCGATTGTTTCACATACAACATGGCTTTATTTCCGATGTCTATACGTCCAAAGGCTTTCTCGGCATTGAACACCTTGTTTGGAGCCATGATGGGCGTTATATCTGTTTCTCTGATTCAGGGAAAAATACTTTCGCATTTTCTATCCGCCTTCAGAATAAGGACTTTGGCTCAGTTCTGATGGCGCTAGTTCTTGAAATGTCGATGAAAAGCGCCACAACAGGCGCTATTCTACAGGTGTTGTTCAGCCCAAGCTCTACAGGTATTTTGATTTCAACGTCGTCCTCACTTTGCATTTTGTCGATCAAGTCAGGATCTGTGATGCACTCGCTGGAATGGCCACCCGAGTGTCGCAAATGGTTGGTTCATCCCCAGGACCCAGAACTCGTACTTTGGGTTGGGCCGCAGTCAGCCGGCATAATGAATTGGAGCTTGACCGAGATGCGGACATTTCTTGTCGAGTTCCCGGTTCCCACAGAAACACCATCTCTTGACGGTAACGCATATGGCAAAAGATCTGTTGACTGCGCCCTCATTACCCATGACAAGAGTCACATCTTCATCCAGATTTCGGCAGGGAAATTCCAGAAAGACAAGACCTTCTTCTGGTTGCCGACATCGTCAGTGTCACAGCCTCTACCGCTGGACTGCACTAGCGAGGCCACAGAAATGTTAATAACCACCCAGGCCTTTTTAGTACAGGATATGGCATCGCATATTATGCTTGCCCTCTCTTTCCTTGCTCATGACCGCTTGGTCTTTCTTTCAAAAGACTATTCGATATGTTCTGTGAAGATCCAATTTGATCGCGAGGATTCATCATCGTCCGCCGCTCTTCGTCGGCTTAGTAGTGCCTCAGTTGCTTCAAGCATGACCGCCTCAGGCGACAATCGAAGCTACCAAAACGCGGGGCAAGCTGAGCATGGAATGAAAAATATTATCCTACTGCCAAGTGATTGGGTAGGCAAGGATTGTTTGACGATGTGCAATGTATGGACGCGAGAAAGATCTTTCGTGTGCCCAAGGAACGGAGAGGTTGCCGTTGTCAAGTCTGCCAGTTTGGTCTGATCTTCTTGAGCTCGATTGAATAATAAATAAGCTAAGAAATGTTCAGGAAGTGGATTCGCTTGGGAAATCAATCCTCTTTGTATAAAATTCGGTTCCTACCCCCGGTGCACAGTTCACGTATTCTAAGCATTCTAAGCCAGCTCTTACTACTGGTGAAGGAATTTTAACCTAATTTGCGGTCGCCTTGTACGAGCCACATCAGAGACCAACTCCGTCATTAGCATCCATCTGTCTCCACTCCGCTCCCTTCTTGTAGTCAATCCAAAATAGCGCAGAGGACAGTAAAGAGAGACCACCCATAAATGTGAATGTCCAACCAATGCCGAGTTTTTCTATCATATTCTGAAGGAATGATACGGCAATAGCGGCCATCCCACCACGCACGATATTGCTAGATGCTTGAGCTGCTGCGGGTGCTCGATTGTTCTTGTCAACTAGGAGTGTATTATAGATCTTGCATAGGCTGAATTAGCTGGCCATACGGTATTTTGTCTGATTTATAAGATTGGGTTCAAGACTTACGCTGAAGTCGAGCTGCATAACAAGTCCCAGAAAGAATTGAAAGACGAGCGGAATCGCAATGAACTTTTGGCTCTGTCAACCTCCAGGTCTAATATAAGAAGATAAGGAGTTGGGATACGGTACATACCTTGTGGTAGTGTAATATCCACCCAAATCCAATCACCAAACAAGTCGTGATTAGCATCGGAGCCCAGATGACGCGAAGACGGGCTTTCTCGACTGGAAATGTGTCCAAATTATCATCGACAGTCTTATCCGTGCTCAGCCCTTTGGCTTTCCCAGCCTTTTGCCAGGATTGATCTAGAATTCTCCCTGATATGAAAGCTGAGCATGATCCACCGATCCCAAAAGGTAGATAGATCAAACCCGCTTCCCATTGATTCAAATTGTATATCTTCACGAACAATGTAGAGAGGGAGGCGTTGATACAAGTGTATATGACATAGAGCAATCCACACGCGACAATGACTATTGCGTTATCTTTGCGCCAAAGAATTGTAAATGATTTAAGAGGATTAGGCACTCGCCATACCACAGCTGCTGGGTCTAGGTCATTGTTTTGCCAATGGTTCATGATTTTGGGTATTGGCAATCGAAACATCCGTGGCGGTGGTATAGAGCCGTTTCCAACAATGTGGCGGGATGTTTCTGGCAAGAAAAGGACCATTACCGTCAGACAAATGCCCGATGCAATACATAAAAACCAAAAGGTCCACCACCACCCAGCGGCAAACGTGAGCGCTCCACCCAGTATTGGACCGATACTAGGGGCTATCGTGGTGCTGGAACTTATTAGTACATGTGCCTAGATCATTCGTCACGGTAGGCAACTGTGTAAACTCACGCAAATGATACTAAAGCAGCATATGATCCCCTTTCAGCTGGAGAGGCAACATCTGTGACGACACCGTATGCAATTGAAAAGGTACCTGAAAATTTAGCTGGGAAATAACTTTGGACCAAGAATCCTACCAGAGATTGACAATGCTTGGATGACTCGAAGACCCAGAAGCGAGGGGTAGGATTTTGCCAAAGCAATTGCCATATTTGCCGCAGAATACACACTCAGAGTGAGAATGTAAACAGGACGCCTGCCTAGGATGTCCGCCATGTCGCCTACCAGAGCCGGAGCGATACTAGCAACTGCCATGTATGTTGTAATAGTGAGATTAATTTTGCTTTCGGGAACATTGAGGGACTGGGATATCATAGGTAGAGCGGGATAATAAATGAAACTACTCAGTGTCGAGAACCATGCCGCCAATGAGGCTAGAGCAACGATACACCATTTCTCTGCTGGTTTGAAAACAGAGTAAATCTGATCGTTGGGCCTTTCATCCGGATTCTTGCGTAAAAACACCATCTTCCGTGCCAAATATCATATAACAGAAAGATGAGTCGTTGATGTTGTGTTTGTGATAATTTGTGGTTTGCAACTTGGAGGGCAAGTCAGGCGGGGTTCAACTGGGCACGTGGCACACAGAGGTACATATACTGCTCGCTCTACAGTCCCGAATGAACATACTAGGTATTCGCAAAGCGACAATATAAGTTCGCCGGGAAAGGAACGGGCGCGAGGTAGTCAGACTTGTAAGGAAATTGAGGCTCCCTCATAAGCCCTGTCCACTTCCCCATTCGTTAACTAAACTCCGGATCAGGTACTTCCGAATGGGGTAATCTACTAGAGAGCTTCCAGATCTGTTGATATTCTGTTTGTTTCTTCTTATGATTGGGCAAAGTGAAGTCAGATAGTGCTTGATCGAAGTATGTATTTATGTAGTTTACATTAGGTCGTTTGGTTGGTTTGGTTGAATTGATTTTGCGGATAAGAAGCTCGCTCAGGCAATATATTTCAGCACATCCCCTGTGGTTGTTTGTTTCTTCCCCCAAGCTGTTGTTATGAGAGCTTAAGTATCCTCATATATATATCTTCATCACTCTGCTCTTTGGTGCCTTCGACTTTGACTTCGGTTCAATCATACATCACTCCCCAATGGTATCCTCCCAGCCATCTTCCATACTCTAAAAGACACCGAGTCTGATGCAACGACTCTCGGCAGCTACATGAAAGCAGAGATGGTAATAAAAGAGTCATCGAAGCCTGCAGGGCTCCTTCCACCACCCAATAGAGGCACAACAGCGTGGCTTCAAGTCCTCGCGGTTAATTTTTTCTTATCTTCAACACTTGGGGCCTTTTGAATACCTTCGGCACGTTTCAGTCCGAATATAGCACCAGCTTGCTGAATGAGTCACCACAGTCCTCGGTTGCTTGGATTAAATCGCTGCAGGCGTTTCTGATGCTGGTGGTTGGAGTTCTGTGCGGACGTGCTCTTGATGCTGGGTATTTCTTGACATCACTCTGGGTCTCCCGAGACTGGACTTTTAGAACGGGAATAAGTGCACTGTTTGTCCATTCCGCGATCTTGGCAGTGCTTGCATGGTGACCTGCGATCGTAGCGCACTTTGCAGTTTCGACAATGGTAACATGTTACGGGCTCCCGCACACAGGGCCTTTTTCGACCATTTTTCTGGGGGACCTCGAATGCGTCTGCATTGAGATGACTGAACCTAAACATCTTGTCGCCTGTATAGGATGTTCAGGATGAAGCCACAAGGTCGAAAAAGCTAACGAGGCTCAGCCTGAACGGAACTAAAGGCATAAGCAATGCGCTACGGCCATAGCCGATTTTCTAGGTACTGCACACTGGGCAGTAGAGACACTACAACTTACGATCTTAAACGCGCTGTGGGAATGCTCAAGTTTCAAATAATCAATACTTGAAACTTCCTCTTCCCTCGCCCTTTTTCATCTAGTCTGTATAAAAAGAATTACACAATAAAACAGTATTTGGTCGAGCTTCCTCTTGGAAAAAGCAATCGGCGAAATTAACCCTTCATATTGTTCTACTTCTCCGGGGGTTGAGGAAAAAATTACTTATATATCTCTCGTTCCGAGGGTAAGGTTCTATCATGTGGATCTTGAAACGAGAAGTGATAGCCTCATAAATAGCTATCGCACAATGAAATCCAATGTTGTAAAATATACGGTGCCTGACATATCCCATCTCCTATGCATGGGATGAAGGCTTTTTCATCCCCCATTGCTCACACAGTTTGTGATATATATACGGGAGAGGATTCTAGAATGCCTTGACGCTATACAAAAAACGCCAGGTCTTTCCTTAGTGCTTACTCCGGTGATGTGCACAGACCACTGAAACGAGAAACACAAAACTGATTTTGTTAGCCCCAGCTCATGACTAGTGTTGGATATAATTGAACAAAGTCTATATATCCTATCTGATATCCTACCTACAGCATGATCGGAGGCAGGGATTATGAAAGCTACCCAGAAGCGAGATGGGAGAACATTCAGAGCCAGGTACAATAACAGGGGCATATATAAGGGAAATGGGCTTTAACATGTGACTAGAACAATGATAAAGCGAATAGGATCAGGGTAATCAGCATTTCTATCCATGTGGATTTGTGAGACGGCCTGATCTAATGCTTTTGCCTTTTGGAAGGTCCATCGCAGGCACTTGTTCCCAGAAACCCTCGAGGCCTACGCTTTGCCGTTTGAGTATTCCGAGGTCAGTCAAATGCACAAGAATTGTCTGAAGCACTAACGGAATCTAGACGGATCCGGATTATATCGAAATCAAAAGAAAGGTCAGCGTGGAATCTTTAACCGCGCTTTTTGAACACACAAAGCGCCTTCATGAAGCCAAAGGGCTTGAGACTCATAGAGAGGGTCCCCCATGGCAGGACGTGGATCTTCCAAATCCCTCCTATCCCCTGAGCTCTTCCTATCTCCCGAATCCTCCATATCCCTTCTATCCCCCATATCCCTCCTATCCCCCATATCCACCCAATCCCCCATATCCACCCAATACCCCATATCCCCCCACTCCTTCCTATCCCCCAAATCCTTCCTATCCCCCATATCCTTCCTATTCACCCAACCCCAACCGAAATCTTGATTATCAGCCGCCCAAGTGCATCTCATCTGGAGCACCGCTGAGCTTCGATGTCGGCTTGAAAGCGTCCACTGTCAAGCAATCCGTGAGTGAGCTCAGAGCTGACCCATCCCACCGGGGATATGCCTGCCAAAGGCTTGAAATCGTTAGTTCGCGGATGCCAGGGTATGGAAAAGTAATTCTTTATCAATCAGATGCGACAGTCAATGAGGTACAGGACCCACAATTCTCATGGACGTGAGTTTTCAGACCGTCCCTGATGATAAGACTACACTAATTACAACATTGAGGATTAGGCATACGCAAACCGACACGCAGAGCTTCGATGATTTCCTGGTATGTCTTATATTTATATTAATCTATGTATGTTTTCACTGATAACGTAGCGCTTTGCATCAAATGTGCCGAATCTGGATGATGAAAACAGGGCTCTTGTCGTATTGCTCCTGAAGCGAGCACAGAAGAATCTCACCGGGTCAAGTGAGCCACACTGCGTGATGCGGTGCGTCGGCACTAATTCTACTCAGGATCACACCGAAAAATCAGCTATCTTCCTCCGTCTCCCTTATTATTCAACCCACAAGATGGATGCAGCCCATTCTTTTCGTAAATCTAGCTATTCGACTCGCAGCCTCTTGCAGTATTATTACAACTTGGAGTCTACCCGGAACCGTGACATGCAGCAAGTGATCCGAAAACTAGGAGGGTTTCCAAAAGGTCATATTGTTCATGTCTCAGAACTATGGGCAGTGATCGTCAACTTCCGTTCGTTGAGACCCTTTCTGCAAGTGAATCACTAATACTGACACTTGGTGACAACAGAATTTGTCATTACCAGTGCACCCATCCCTCTTATGGATGGAGCGAGTCCCTCTTTGGAGATCATAAGCCCATCAAAGACCCAGTCATCGTCGCCATCCAATATTTGTGTCATCAACCCTGACCAGCGTGTGTTCTTCTTTCCTATGGAGCAGTGCAAAACGTTCTTTGTATGGGCACCTGTTTCCCCTTATATTATAAACTTTTGATCTCACCGTGTTAATATTCATTGGCCAGGCGATGCGAGACAAGATTTTCAGATACTGTCTACCGCAGATCGAAGGCCACAATCATGGCAACCACCTTGATAAAAACCATATGCATGGGCGTACCAATGAAGACCGTCCGTACGAGTCTCGCGGGTATGAGCCTCGCGGGTATGAACCTCGTGGGTATGAACCTCGCGGGTATGAACCTCGTGGGTATGAACCTCGTGGGTATGAACCTCGTGGGTATGAACCTCGCGGGTATGAGCCTCGTGTATATGAATCCCGTGGGTATGAACCTCGTGTATATGAACCTCGCGGGTATGAACCTCGCGGGTATGAACCTCGTGAGTATGAGCCTCGTGGGTATGAACCTCGCGGGTATGAGCCTCGTGTATATGAATCCCGTGGGTACCAGGACCATCGCTACAGAGGGTCTGAGTATGAAGATCGCGTGTATGGAGGCCACGGGGATGAAGGCCGTGAGTTCAAAATGTTCACGGAAGACAAGGTTCTGATCAGAGCAGAGGATTGGATCAAATTAACAAACTCATGCGCATCGGCCCTTCTTCGCATTCACATTCAGACCATTATACCGGAGAGCTCAGCAGAGCGCCGAGGCAAAAAGAAAGAAGGGAAAAAGCGCAGAAACCCAGGCTTTTTCGAGGGCTCGTCTAAAGCAGAGGGAGGCGAGCTTAATCAATCTGTGACAGATAAACAGGATCAAACCGAGAACAATCTTGATCCACCTGAGACAGATGAACAAGTTCAACCGGAGATAGATGAAGATGGACGAGATTTGCACAAGACAGAGGAACCCACTGATGATTCCCAATCGGATTGGGATTACCAATATAGGAAGTCATATGAGGCAGGCTATACAGCAGCTAGGCATCACTCGCAACGGCACGCCAGCATGCAATCTCTTACATCTAGCCCTGGTGTAGTAATCAACCAAAGACCTCCAGGTGATGATGAGACATCCGCTTCTCCGAAAATTTACTTCGAACCAACCAAGCCCCTCCTATCATATAATACCAACTCTGCTGAGCAAAGTATTCTGCCCAAGCCAGCAGATGTGGAAGGCAAGGCTGATTATGGTCGCCGTTGTACGAAATCCGAATCCTTAGACGGAAATTCATCTCCCTCTGCCCCTCCTCATCCACCCACCATCAACTTGGAATTCCCGCCAGTCTTTACTTGGCAAACAAGGAAAAGCCACACCAGTCTCGACAATCCCAGCCCGAATCATCTGAAGTCAGATGTTCCGTCTCCAAATGAGCCGCCCGAACCTTTGAGCATGGATGAAGAGACAATCAAGCACGTCTCGTCACATATCAATAATGAGCTCCTCGAGCCAACCAATAGATTTGGACAGAAAATTTACAGACAAGCAACAACAAGGTCCTATTTTGACGTGGACTGGGCTATCACACAAAGATACGCCGTTTCTCTTCCAACATTGATTGCGGAACATGCTGAGACTGCCCCCGACTCACTCTCACCAGAAGCAGCATCCTTGAAAGATGTTGTAATTCGGCTATGTCGACTTTTCAGCTTCTTCGCACCGCTTTCATATCCGTGTGCTGTCAGCGACAAGTTCTGGGGAGCAGTCCACGATCTCCTTACCGTGAGGAACAATTACTCCCTCTATTCCTACAATTTCTAATTCCCAGATCTGCAGACCATCCCCCAATATTGGGATGAACCCAACATGCAAGAAGCAGGCAACAGAACGGGTCATCACCGGATGCCGGAAACCTTCTTTGTAGCCAACCCCGGCAACACTAATTACGCTGACAATCAAAACAACAGCGACTTGGATGAGCTGGCCTTGCGCGTCGGGGATTGCTCAAAATGTGCTGCATCCCGGCAATACTCTACTCGATCGGATGCTGTGGACCATCTATTTACTCACGTTTCCGCCGCTTTCCCCAAACAACGCTCAGTGAAGAGCTCGCAAGCACGATGGGTGATGGATTTTGGAGAGTACATGACACACGTATGTCGGAATGATGACCGGATAATAATTGGGGAGTTACACGACTTTCTGAGGAGCTTAGAAAGAATGGCAGCTCAGATCCAGCATGGAGTGTCAGCTAATGGAGAGTTTGACCGAGAGACCTACCGCATCCCATCAAGCTTGGTTGATGCCTTTCAATATGTCCTGATGATGGTCGTGAAAAGCGCATATCTCGTGAAAAGTTCTCATAAGAAGCGAGAAATTTACACAGGTCCGAGCCCTGCGTCGACCTTCTTGGTTTCATCAGAGGTAGATGGGGTCGCGGATGCTGGGACAGAGGCAGAGACGTCTATGGAAAGCGCCATGAGAGACATTGTCTTGATGACCTACACCGACGAGCTAGCCGATGTTGTGACCTACGAAGCCGTGGGCCCCGGATTAGTCCTTGCCGTTATTATGGGAGACGTCCGCTCCAGAGACTCGCAAAGCAATCCGGTCAACTTGCTTGAGATCTACCGTGAATACGTCCGCACCCTGGTCAGCATCCCTTTCTCAGTGCCTGCTACTAAGCTCTATGTTACTAATCAGTCTGTACTTTCTCAGCAATTCAAAGTCACTCAAAATCCCCACCGACGCCTACTGCAAGAAATATATCTCGTTCGTGAGGAGCTAGAAATAATCCAAAAAGCATCCGAGAGACAGCGCCTTGTCCTTGCAAATTACCTGAGCATCTTGAATCCACGTTCTTTCCGCATAACGACAGAGTCCCGGATCTCCTCATTTGGGCTCGAAAAAGCACGGGTGAACAAGCTCCTCAACCAGCTCAACACCGAGCTTGGGGGAATCTCACTGCTTAACGTGAAGCTTGACTCATTGGCCAGCCAGACGCGCAGCGGGGTAGATGTGCGACAAGAGGACCAGGGAAAGGCCATCCTCGTCTTCACCATTGTGACTGTTGTGTTTATGCCCTTGTCGTTTGTGACCAGCTATCTCGGCATGAACACTAATGACATCCGCAATATGGCCAGCTCGCAGACGCTGTTTTGGACAATCTCCGCTCCGCTAACGGTGGGTATTATTACGATTGTCTTGGCAGTTGCATTTCAAATAGACCGGATACGAGAGTTTTTCGACGCTTTTTGGGCGTATGATTCTTCGCTAGTGGCGAGATCTGGCTCGGGCGCTTTGCGTCGGGATGGGACGGAAAATCACAATGAGAAGCTATCTAGATTGTCAACACCCAATAATTGGGTTATAAAAAGCTGGCCCGGAGGAAGGAAGACCGAGCACGACAGTTCAATGGGCGTTTAGTTCGTCTATCCTATATCATATTCAGCCTTCAAGAGCTGCGAGATGTACCAACGCCAGTATGAAACTCGATATGTTGGATCTAAGCCGATTATATACAAAAAATCGCGTCTCATTTTGTAAGCCATATACTAATATACAGGAGCCCAAAACATTCCCGTCTTGAACACTTTGTTTTTGCAGGGATGAGTAGTAGAGAGATTCTTTTATTCAGCCACCTGGCCACAGAAAAGAGACACGCCGGTCTTGGTACCAGCCAAAAGAACAAATCCACCATCTATAAAATACAATGCTCTGGAAACACAGGCTGCAGGATGCGGTATTAAAAGCGAGTAAAGAAAACAGGAACCTCTATGCTATGTCGTTTGAATATGATGACCAAAACCGAACACCCGGGACAACATATTCAATGTGGGCGTGTCGTTATGAAGAAAGAGATGAAAGAGAGGATAGGCCGAGAGCCATCGAATGTAGGTAGATCGATGATGTTGATAAATGAGGACAGGAGAAGGTTTAAGCCAGAGCCTTGTGCTCGGATGGGGGAGGAGGAGGAAGCTGTTGGGAGTATGTGGTTAGCACACAGTTCTTGACTCTTGACTCTGGATCTGAACGAGTCAATCTGAGGGGGATGGGTTCATCATACCTCGAGCTTTGTGTTATCAGCCATCATACGCTGGAAACCAATGCCAACACCCTCAATCACAGCCAAGAAGACGGCACACATGATGGCAGAGTTTCGGGCGGCCTTGTAACCACCACGGATAGCTAGGGAACCACCGGTGAAGAAACCGGCGATGATAGCATTATAAGGATCTTCCTTCTTGCGAATTCCTTTGATTGAACAGTCGTATATGCTGAAAAGTCCTCCCCAGCAGCCGAAGTTACCACCGAGGACGGGTGCGCGCGCCTTGATAGCTGTGAGAGCACCTATCCGGCGTTCACCATAGGGACTGTTGCGGAAACCCTTCACACCGTGCCAGACAGCACCACCTATAGCACCCATAGCGAAGGCACCGCCGAAGTCGCTCAAGGCAACCCAGGGGCAGGGATCGCGAGTGTGATCCATAATTTGTAGATGATGTGAGTTGAGACTCGGAGATGCGAATGTGGACCGGCTGATAAGGGATAGACACGAAGTTTGAAGCGGCTGGCGATGACTCCCAGAGAGAGAAAGAGACCGGTGAAAGACGTGAGGGTCGAAGATTGAGAAATCCGGATCGATAACAAGATAAGGGCGGGTCGACTTTTTCTCAGGTCCGGGGTGCACGTGACATCCGACCCGGTCGCCACCGAAGTCTTTGATTTCTACGATCTCCTCCGTGTTTATTATTACTTCGCATCATCATTCGTTCGGGTCTGTAATCCCCGGGTCCCTTGCCCGGGGGAAGAGAATATTCCGGCCACTCATCCTTGCATGATGTCCCGGGGCCATCAGAAAATTTCTTTCGTCAATTTGACAATGAAACTCGGGTACTCCGTACGGCTCTTTAGTTACCCGATATCATAGATCTCATCACCTTGGAACTATTCTGCCATCTAAAAGAATGATATTCTACGGGTGCAATTCTTTCTCTATTTACAGCAAACTATCAGCTCACCTACCCTGTTAATTCCAAGGAAAGGGTTCGAGAGAGCCTTAACTCACAATCATCTTTCTTCCACGCTTTATGAGTACTAGCGGTCGTTAATTGACAGTATTCGGGACATCATATGGGAGGTTTACAGGGTTTTTGATAGCTCAAAATACACAAATCCGAGAATCTGAGCTCTAAATTGCTTCAGCAGCTCTCGCACAGGCTTTACTTTACCAACTACTACATTAGAGAGATTTTTTGGACTTCAAATTGGAGGAACGTGATTCGACCGCATACGATTTCTAGGTAGCTATCTGATATTAAGTACGCGCAGGGGGTAAATTAACTTGTCCGCTATCCGAAGAAATATCAACATGGCATTCAGAGATGGTATACTCGGCCTGCCACAGGGCATTTATTCCGATTCACTTGGAAATGTGCTAGAGTATCTAGAGCGTGGGATGTTGAGGTTTTTCATCAGTTCCTTGTCGAAGCAGGGCCTGATTGACATCAACTTCCCCCTCGAGAATGTAGATTTTCCACCCTCATATGCGGGAAGGTGCCAAACGACCTCGGGATCATGGAGAGGTGAAAAACCTTGATATACAACGCGGGACATAGTTGCCAATTCATTTCGCTCCTTCAATAACCTTGCTCTGTTATCTTCAACAGTACGGGCGCCTAAGTATGCCATCTGTTCGTGACCCTCTCATTGGATAATATTGCCAGGCAGTATTTTAGTACTCCAAAGGTCATATGCCTGATTTTGTAAGGTTTATGCCAAACATCTTTTGAAGTTTCGTGAATGTCGTCTGCCACCAGCATAGTCTGCGGCTAGATTGTCGATTTTCCACAGTCACTCTGACTGAGGACTGGCTGTTTGGAGATTCATCCTGTGTGTCGATTGTCATTGGAGAATCACCCCCTGAAAGCTCTCATTTCAATGCCCGGTAAACAATTGCCCTTGAATCACGGTTGTAATGCGATTCTACAGCTAATCTGAAGCTGGGAAGTAAATTTTCGGTAGGCATCCAGCGGCTGGCTTGGGTCAATGTTTGTTCGCGATCGTACCCTCATCCGCCACCCCAATCAATGCATCAACCTCGGGTATCAGGCGCATGATATAGCTACTCGTTACAACAGTTGTCCTTAAACCTTCTTATCAACATCTACAATGCCTTCTAGTTTCGAGCAAGGGCTTTTCCGAAGTCCTCTTCAGATGCTGGAAACAGTCACTTGACCTTGGAAAAGGACCAGCACTATTATTGTTAAATCAGGATGAGTGTATGATGTTTACCGGTTAGAACTTTATCAACAAATCACGAAAACCTTGGAAGAGGATCAGATAAAATTAAGTAGAGCAGCATGGCTGGACGGACCGTCCGGGAGTTTCCGCAACCTTATTCCCTTTCTTGAACCCCAGCCCCCAGGGGACCTTCGAAACCACCAGGGTCGGTATCAATCCCGTTGTCTCCCAAAATTCAGTGTCCAGCCATCGAGACTTTCATAATCCTATCACGCCAATGTTCTACCGGGAACACGACATTGACACCATTTGCTTCCAGCCTGTCTTGTCCGTCATTGTGCGCGATAAACGTCCCTGGCTCTTTGATTCCCACATACACATTCTTTATAACGCTCTTGAGTCTCAAGATCCTGGTCGCGCAGGTCATATTACCGCTAAGCCTCTCGTCGCATGGCTCCATCGTTGTGTATAGCGCCGTGTTGGCCGGAAGGACCTCGTGGATGCGTTCCTCGGGGAGGTTATGCTCATCGGCGATCTTGATAAAACAACACTGCTCTGCGTGCGTGGTGCCTAGATCTCCTTTGTAATCTCGCGGGTATTCAAGTGAGTATCCTGTTGAAAGGACCTTCCCGGTAGCGGCGTCGACAAGTATGGCCCCAACGCAGAATTTGTTGGCAGCGGGCGGTGACTTTTGCGCCTGAACAAGAGCGAATTCCATGAAAGCCTCGTGGTCTCCAACCGCGAAGGTGGGGTTCATCGGGGAATTCGTCATAGTGTGGCTTTTCTTTTTTTTTTGACGGATGAAATCAACACAGCATGATCAGAAAACGGCGGGAAATGGTTAGGGCGTAGGGCGTATGGCATATGGTCGTGGTTCTATGAGTGCGTTCTTGATGTCATGTGGAGTTTTCTTTAGGGTGAATTCGCTTGATATACACATGGTATTATGGTGATCTTTCTTGAGCGGGGGTACCACTGAAGAGCGGTTAGAACAACAAGCTGATTGGCTATTTGAAGCACGAGGGACCACCCAGCTAATACTACAACAAGCGTGCTCGAATCCTGGAGTCTGTCCTAAAATAACCCCATTTTGCCATTGTGTGATTATTCTTTAGGCTGACAGACCGTCGTGCAACATCATCTCATATGATTCCGGGCAACCGCGGTTGAGACTCTACCCACTAAGTTTTGTGGGCTACAATGGTTCACTCTCAACTCCTTAGCCTTCGAGGAACTACAATCTTGCCTGATCGCTAACTTTACCAGTTCTTTCGAAAGCAAAGCCGCGCGAACGTTGAACTACATCTATACAGTTCCTCGAGCACTCGCGAATCGACTAAGAGCTCGAAAAGCCATTTTTCTCTGTCAAAAGCCCTGTCCAGAACGTCCACTACCTCAGGCAATCAAGCGGAGGACGTGAAGGGCCCACTTGGACTGAGCCTCCTTTATTCCCCGACCACGCCGGAGATCGAATTTATCTTCGTCCATGGTCTAGGGGGGGTTCTAGAAAGACATGGAGCAAATCCTCCCTGCAATCTCATTTCTGGCCAAAGGAGTGGCTCCCCAGAGATGCCGCATTTAAAAATGTCCGAATCCATAGCTATGGATATGACTCCCACTATCTGAAGGGCAAGGAGGACTGTTTGAACATACACCACATTGGCAAGTCATTACTAGGCGCACTTAGCACTTCACCATATATTATGAATTCCAACACACAAATCGTTCTCATCGGCCACAGCATGGGTGGCTTGGTGATAAAGAAAGCATACATCCTGGCGAAACAGGACGCGATGCACAAATCACTGGCCGGGCGAATTAGCACATTCTATTTCCTCGCCACGCCGCATCGAGGTGCCGACTCGGCAAGGATGCTGAAAAACCTCCTCAAATTTGCGTACGATCGCGCTTATGTTGGCGATCTGGAACCGAACTCTGGGGCAATCCAAGTCATAAATGACGAATTTCGCCATTTTTCGGCTGATCTTGAGCTCTGGTCATTCTACGAAACGCAGGATATGAGAATATTGAACTCACTCATCGTCGATCCAGAGTCAGCAGTGCTTGGATACCGCGAAGAAAATCAGATACCTATGACTGCTGACCACCGGTCGATATGCAAATTCGATACATCCGAGGACCCCAACTACGCTCTTCTTCGCAACTCTTTCGCTTCTACGGTGGGCAGAGCCGTCACAGCGACAGCAGGGGTAAATATAAAGCAGGGAAGAGAGAGGATCAAAGCACTCAAGAACTACCTCGGAGTGTCCGACGTTTTGGATGATGACTATGCAAACGTCTGTGAAGCTCGGGTGCACGGGTCATGCAGATGGATCTCAGCTAAAAACAGTTACATCAAATGGAGAGACGGAGAATCCGAAATTGACAGGACGCTATGGATCAAGGGTAAGCCAGCAACTGGAAAATCAGTCCTTGCCGGTTATGTCATCGATCAGCTCAAAGAGTCCGGTCAGATGTGCAGCTACTTCTTTTTTAAACACGAAGACAAATCAAAGTCCAACTTAGGTCGTTGTCTCCGATCTCTGGCTTTTCAGATGGCTAGCTCCAATGCAGGAGCCGCTGATGCCATCCTGGAGATGCAGGCCGACGGTGTTTGCTTGGATCACGCGGAGGAGCGTACCCTCTGGAGAACCCTCTTCCTTTCTGGTATCTTTCAGACAATAATGACTCGACATTACTGGGTTATCGACGCCCTGGACGAGTGTTTGAATCCATCTGTCTTTTTACATGCCATTCTTTCCAACATGGACATATCATTACCACTCAGAATCCTCGTCACAAGTCGCGATACGGCCGATCTAGACCGAGGTTTCTCATTCATTACGCCCAAGCTAATCCAGTCGTTACAAATCTCGACAAAGGATACCGAGTCCGATCTCAGGCTTTTGGTTGAGCGGGAGACCGGACTCTTGGGAGTCATGCAACCTGATGATTCAGGTAAACTAACTGGGAAAATTCTGGAGAAATCCAAGGGGTCGTTTTTGTGGACAATCTTGGTTATTGAGGAGCTCTTACGTTGCCACAGTAGAAAGGAGATTCACCAAATTCTTGAAAGCGTGCCAAGAGGCATGGAATCACTATATAAGCGGATTTTAGACTCCATGTCGCAGGCTCGTCATGGAAAGGAGCTTGCCAAGACCATTCTCATGTGGGCGGCATGCGGCATCCGGCCATTGACAATCAGCGAATTAGATGGTGCTCTGTCCCTGGACATCCACGACTCGTTCCCAAGATTGGAGGAGAGCATTACCGCGCTCTGCGGCCAAATGGTGGTCGTAGACAAATATGGGAGAGTGAAGATGGTGCATGAGACCGCCAGAGAATTTCTTGTGACTGGAGGACTGGACTCCGAGTTCTCCATCGAGAAAACCAGGGCGCATACACGCATGGCGCAGGTGTGTCTCACCTATCTGATTGGGGAGGAAATGAGACCTCCGAGGAACAGTCGATACCGTTCGTTGGTTTCACCACCAACAAGACTAGACTTCGCCGCGTATGCATGTGCAGCATACTCATATCACCTATCCAGGGCTGACCCGTCGGCCGCAGTGACGCTCCAGCTTGTCGCTCAGTTCCTGAAATCCAACGTGCTCACTTGGGTGGAAACGGTTGCCGTGTCTCGAGATCTCAATCACCTCACCCGCACCTCAAAACATCTCAAAAGCTACGCTAATGCGTGTGCCATTGAGCATTCACCTCTAGACCCTCGGATAAAAGTTATTCGAGAGTGGTCCACTGATCTCACTCGGATTCCTGCCATGTTTTCCAGCGCCCTCACTGTATTACCGTCAGCAATATACTCGTTGATACCTCCATTCTGTCCCACCGGTTCTAAGGTGTTCAACACCGGGGGCTCCGGTCGGAAGCTCAAAGTTCTTGGCACGCCTAACACGCAATGGGATGAAAGGTTGCTGTGCATCAACTTTCGTCAAGGTCAACCAAGGGCCTTGCGCTACGGAGACGAGTTCCTTGCTGTCGGTGTTAGTTCAGGGACTGTGGTGCTCTATTACGCCACATCCTACCAGGAGTACAAAAGTTTAGAGCACGGCGAAGCAGTCAAATTTATCGCTTTCAAGACCAAAGGCGACCTTGTAGCAACCTGTGGTATGAAGTTGGTCAAGGTCTGGGACGTCAGAAGTGGGCAATTGGTGCATAGCCTTGCGAGCCCTCCGCGTCCCCTAGAAATGGAATTCGACGGAGAGAGCCTTTTAATTGCTAGTGGAAATAACTACGTCTCTACTTGGAATTTGAGACAGGGCGACTTAGTGGGACCAGTACAGAGACCATGGTATAACACCAATATGCCAGAGACGACCCGAATGCCGCGTGGTACCCCATGCGCACTGGCTTTATCTACCAGCCACAGAATGCTTGCTGTTGTCTACAGCGGCCAACCTATCACAATATGGGATATAGAAGAGGACGTATACGCTGGTAGCTGTGGAAAGAAACTCTCCGGTGGGGAGACCAGCACACATATCGTCGTAGCCCTTGCTTTCAATCCGGATCCTGATATTAGCCTTCTCGCAGTCGCATACCTTGATGGTGACCTTGCACTTCTTGACCCCTTTGCTGATGAGCAGTTGGAATGTTTTCGTGCTAACTGCCAATCCTTGGCTCCAAGCCCGAATGGACGACTCCTCGCGGCGGGCGGTGCAAATGGGATCATCCATGTTTACGAATTCGATACACTCAAGCTCCTATACCAGGTCAAGTCATTCAGCTCATACATCAAGCAGCTTGACTTTTCTAAAGACAGTATGCTTCTCGCAGACATACGAAGTGCCCAGTGCACGGTGTGGGAACCTGAAGCTTTGTTGCGGGAGTCCATGAGCGATGGCAGCAGCGGTACCACGTGTACTACAATTATCGAGGCAGCTTCCATGAGACCTAAGGCAAAGATCACCGCCATGGTCGTCCATCACACGTCTGAAGTTATCTTTTGCGGAAAAGATGACGGATCAGTCATACTTCATGAACGGGAGATGGCAACGAGTCTAAGGACTCTCTACGGCCATAAATCACAAGTCCGCTTGCTGATCTGGATGAAAAACAAAAACTCCCTTCTAAGCGTCGATGCATCCAACAGGATCTTCGTACACAGAATCCTCAAGTCATCAGACAAAGGTTGGCACAGCGATCTGACGGTGCTCTTCAAGTCCCACCTCGAATCCGAGGAGGCAATCGTTGATGTGCTAGTAGGAGAAGCGGCGGCCAAGTTTGTGGTATTGACCCGCGAGGCTGACCATCTGTTCAACTTGGACAGCGGGAAGCATGAGAGTGAGCGGACATATCGACAAATCCCAAGAACTCGCAAATGGATCCCCCACCCAGAATCCTCTCTACACCTGGTCTGTGTCAACAATTTCCAGATATCCACCTACCGCTGGAGCGACTGGTCTGAAGTTTCATCGATTACATTGGCCTTGGATGAGAAGGCAGAGCTGAAAAGCGCAATACCCTACTCGCTTGACCAGACACGAAGGATCATACTGCACTTGTCCTATCCAGACAGCCCAGTCAACATCAATAGGATTGCTATATTTGACGCAGACTTCCTTTCCTTCACAGAAAGTGATAGCAGCTTCTCGTTGGAAAAGCATTCGGATGCTATGGCGTCGTTTTGTGAACCTACCACGGGCCGAGGTAGGGAGGACATGGTCACGACATCGAGCTCCGGCCATTTGCTTTGTCTACTGGTTATGAGATTCCAATTAAGGGTTGCTCACGTCATCGGAGTTGACGAATCGAAGAAATTTGTGTTCTTGAACCAGTCATTTTGGGTGTGCTCTGTTGATCTCAGCGACCTAGAGATAGCGCAAGGTCAGCATTCCCCGACAATTGACATCTATGAACACTTTTTCATTCCATCTGATTGGTTTGCTGGGCGAAGGGACATTGTTTGTGCTGTGGCAAAAGGGGATATTATCTTGACTCGGGGTGGTGACCTGGCAGTGATCAGGGGCGGATTTGACTATTCCAAGAAAGTGTCCATAGAAGAAGAGTCTAAACCACACGGATACGTATAACCATGGGCAGAAATAGATTCTACATAAATCTTCCCTTATCAGAATACGATAAGGAACCGGTCTACACAGTCAAGGCCCATGTTACATGGCGAGATCTACGATAGAATATCGATATGCCGTTATAGTTCAGTTTTTACGCAAGGTGACGAATGAAGATGAATTCGTGAGAGGATCAAATACAACTCAGACTGATACCCATTGACAAACTTCTACGAGTTAGAATACTGCCGACCAAGGGGAATGAGGGGCAGTAATCAAAGTGCTAGAAGCTTTCAACAATACTACCAATTCATAACCTGTCGAAAGTTGAGCCTGTAATTTTGTGCTGCATTTCGGCGCACTGTTCGCGTCCTCGTAACATGCTACAAATACCGTACAGATACCAAGCTGAATATAATCCCGAAGTCGGCCCTTCGCTTCCGCACCACCCAAAACATAATTTCATCTGAACGATCATTTGCTATTTTCACAAAAGAAGCAAAAATGCAAAAACATACAACAGTGAGGATTCGCTGGTGGTCACCCACCCAACTACTAACTCACCGGCGTGTGGCTTAAGTACGGCTGAGCGGACGGGAAGCCCTGTTTTCCACACCCTATGGTCGTATGTACTGGAAACAGCCTCAAAGTGCCTTAGGGCGGACCATTGGGTTGTGTTTTCCAGATATAACAAAAAAGCGAAAAAAAAAAAAAAAAAAACAATCGTTGGCAAGGTGTACTTATACTAGTCTCTCCTATAGTAGCGATAGTCTATGTGCGTTTATTTCTATAACTACGATAGAAATAATATAAGCGCTTTTGTAGGTACAGTAAACCCCCTTTATAACGAACCCCTTTATTACGAATACCTGGTTATTACGATCGGAAATCGGTGCTTCAATTAATCCACCATACTAATAACGAATTTACCCCTTTACTGCGAATTTCGTTCCTTCATCAATCCTACCATACTAAATTCGCTATATCCAGGTATTACATATCACCTTTTAACCAATCAAAATACCTCGCCGCGCTATCCCTACCTCCGAAAAGATCGCTCTCCGAGAGTACCGTCGAAACAATACCCTATTATCCAATAAATAGCTTACTTAGTGGTTCCAACAAACCTACAATCATCGTCTATCACCCTCAACAATCTCCAAGATCCTTTCCTCCCGATATTGTCACCTTAACGCCGAGCTTTCGAAGCATCAACTTAGTGCTAAGCGGACCCGAATCGCTAAGTGGCCGGAGCTCGAAAAAGCGCTTATCCATTAGGTAAAGCTCGCTGAGAATTATATCCCTATGACCTAAGAGGTTATACGTGAGAAAGCACGCTTCTTCTAGGGCCAGCTACCAATATATGAAGGTATTCCTATACCTTTATTTAGTAATAGCTGGCTTACTGGATTCTAGCACCGTGAATCTATACGAAACCGGTTACACTTTAGGGAGGATAGAAGCACTCTAGAGTCTACTACTAAAGCTATAATCCTAATTCGGTAGGCTCTTTAATTATATAGCCCTTAGGATATATTTAATTGTAATAAGACTAGCCTTTATTAGAAGTGGGTTCCTGATCGAAGCCTTACTACCCGATCTTTACCTAGAAAAAAGAAGGAAAAAGTAAGGATCTTAGCACTCTTTTGCTATAATACTAATGGATCTAAGAAGCCAAAACCTTGGTTTATTAGAACGGTAAAGAAGCCCTATACCTTTACTTCCTCTTGTGTTAATATAGATAATTTGAATATACGGTGGAAGTGGAATTATAAAGCCTAGATAACTAGAGAGATTTTTGAGGAATAGCTTCGGTGGTTTAATAATTAAATACTAAATCGTAAGGTAGTACTTCTTATAGATAACTTCTTAGTACACGAATCTACTATAAAGGCTATTAATACTAGTAATTAACCCCTTCGGAATACCCTGATTATCTAGCTCCTAGCAAATTCTATAAGTCGTTTTTAGCCGCTTAATCAGGGTATTATTCGTACGTAGAAGGTATACTAGAAGCGCTAATAGGTAAGGTTTATTGTGACTAAGTACGATCGTGGTCACAATCCTATAGTATCAATAAATATTCTTTAGGCTATCTAATAGGGTATCTAAGCCTAGGATCTTGATATATTAGCTCTTACAATTAAGAACTATTATCAAAAAGGCCTTTCAATATCACTTAATAGCCTAGATACTAGTAGTAGTGATACTACTAGTATACCTTAAATAGAGATTCAATCGCTTATTAATAATATATCTTCTGATATACGTGTGATGTAGGCTTAGATTCTAAACCCAATAGATATTGAGAACTTCTTAAACCTAGTGGATGAACTTGTTAAGGACGATTTAGCTACCATTGATGACGTTGTACTTAATGAGTTCCTTCCGGAGGTTGATAAGGATGAAATTAAGGATCAAAAGGCGCGGATTCTGTATAGTGAAGCTATTCAGGCTTTGAAAACCCTATGTTTATATGAAGAGCAGTAGGATCAGGGTGAAACCTATCTAATTAATGCTCTTTATAAACATGAAAGGGTACTGGAGGTCAGGAGAATAGGGGAGCAAAAGCAGAGGGATATCAGAAGCTATTTTGGAGTATAAATTTGTATATAGACCAGATATATATATATAATATATGGGGACCTGGATTTAACGAAAACCTGGATTTAACGAAAACCTGGATTTAACGAATATTTGGCCCTGTCTCAATTGATTCGTTATAAAGGGGGTTTACTGTATATGATTGTAATAGGCTCCGCTTATTATAGTCACTAATTCCTTACTAGTATATCTTTATCAACTATATTTGCAAATCCGTTTTTTGCTTCCACTTTGCTGGCCGCTCATTGGTCGAGGGGTCTGCTACCACTTGGCGTCCACCCCATCAAAAATTGCCATGTTACCCTTTTTTTTCGCTTTTCTCCATAACCCTTGATCCGATTCACTTCAAATTTGGTGTGTATATAGGAGGAGTTATCTATTTGTACTCTGCCAAGTTTTATCAATTTCAGACTATAGATAGTTATGTTTCTATCTTATACTTTTTTTTCTGCCAGCCGTATACCTACCGCTATAGAGCAGAGCGCGAGCGAAGCTCTATAGGAGCGTAGGTATACGGCGCTTCTCGCTTCTCGCTTTTCTTTATTTAATATTTATTTAATATTATTCAAATAAACTGGCGAATCCCCTAATAGATTTTGGTTTAGTTGAGCGAGGCCTGCCCGGAGGGTAGGCCCGAGCTTCTTGTATTATATATAGCTACTAAAGGATACTTGGTTATACCTATTATGAAGGTCTCAGGGTTGGTTCTATATGATTACAGATAATGATAAAAATAATTAGAGCTTAAGTAATTGATTTGTGTAAATTAAGAATTATTAAGAAATTGTGATTCAGAAAGGATCGCATGAGTTTTATTCCTAGGAGGATCTATCGACTATATATAGATCTGTATAGGTCTGTAGATAGACTACTATGGTAGATAGTAGTCACGTAAGGACCTATATAGGTACCTACAGTTCCCAAAGACGTAAAGTCTTATGTTTAAAATAAGCTTTCGGATCTTATCCTCCCCCACCGAACTAGAACTAGTCTCTAGTTTCAATATCTTGTGGTCCTACTTATATATTTTCTTAGGTTTAAGCTTTTGTATAGGGGTTTCTAGGTAAAAAAGTGAGATTTTTAGCTTCTCCCTCCCCTAGTAACTAGAAAGATAGTCCTCTATTAACTACTTATTTATAAAAGATTTTTAAGGAGATTTGTGAAAGAGTGTAGGGACCTAGTTTAGTCCGTTTATAATCGAACTACGATAATTATAAGGAGATAAAAGAAAATCTATATAATATAATAAAAATAGCTTCTTTTGCCTTTATTTATTATTATAGCCCTTTTTTATAGATAAAGGTGTAAAGGATAAAGGTCCTTTCAGTTCTGATACTTGATCATCTATCTAAGTACGTCATTCATATCCTGGGGTTAAAGCGGGGTTAATTTATAATCCGCTTAGGACTCAGTTCGGGTAAATATATGGTACTAGAGCATAAGAACCCCAAGATCCTTAGGATCCTATTCCCTTCTATAAGAGTTAGTCTTACTACTTAAGACGAATACATTTTGATCCCCTCTCCCAATCACTAAGCCTTATATCTTACCTAGTTGATAGGCCTTATACCTGATAATCGTATACTCTTACACTACCTTCGTGGAAAAGAGCGGTGATAGGGTGAGATCTCACTAACTCTGCTCTATAACTTATCTTGAGGCCCTAGTGGTTAGATACATCCTTACCTAGAAAGTGAGTGCCTTTGTCTGTTAAGGTTGTCCTATTACTAGGTAGCAAATAAAGGTACTGACCAATCGGACTGCCCGGGGCCAATTTTGACCACATCGCATGTTCGCCTAATGCCGGCGGTCTTACCTATATAAAGAAGTATGCTCCCCACTAGGGTAAGCGCTAAGATTCATATCTTTATTTCCAAGAGGATTAGCGCCTACTACCTTCCCTTTTACACTTATCAAATACCCTTCTAGTATTCCTACGTGAGTTTCAAACGTACGAAATCCTCTTCCTCCTATCTTTCTTTCTTTATCAGTCCACTTTTGCTCTTCATCCTTTTTTTAGGCTAACTAGACCACTCTAGAAGGTCATCGCCTGATCTAACTCCAATATGAAACCCCTCACCTACCTCTCTCTCCTCCTTACCATCTCTACAACCACTACCCTCGCCGCTCTCCCCCCTAGACGCGACCCCCGACGAGGTCGCTATAGCGGAAGCTGAGTGCGGGTCCCTAGGCGTGATGAGGATCGACCCAGCAGAGCTGCCTGAGGGGGTTACAATGGCCGACGTCCGTATGTGCGCCGACCATCCGCTTGGCCGGGGGGTGTACCTAGGTCCGGGTCCTGGTGCCTTCGCCAGGTTCCGTCGGTTCTTACCGAGCTGGGTATTTTGAAAGGACAGCCTAGGAGCTAGGTCTAGCATATAGGCTTCTTCTGCTCACGGGCGGGCTAGTTTTTCATACCTAGTCTGGTTGCGTGCGCTATGCGGTGGGAGCAGCTATTTAGGAATAAAACACTTGGAAATGTATAGTGTTATCTAATATTGATTTTTGGAACAAGCTTGATTGATATAGTCTAGCTAGAGGGTAATATTCAGATCTAACAGCTCGGAACAAATCTTTATTATACACTAGGATTGCTAATAATCCGGCTAGGAGAGAGAAAACAATACTATAATGTAATGCTAACAAAAGCAACAGTTAATATCTTTTATATATAATATTTAGGTGCATTCTCGCTCGCCTTGCTTTGTTCACAGTGCTTGATCCAGAGGCTAATATTGGCAACAAACCTGCACGCTGGCTGATTTTCACGCCCTATTTGACAAAGAAATTGTCCACAATACCAAACCGTTGTGTCGCGATGGCGGTACCTCGGATAATATGATGCAAACGTGGCTACGACGTATGCCTTATGACCATATCTGCCATTTGCTTCTTCTCCTCGACCGTTGCCAGACTCTAGATGAATGGCGGAGAGTTGTGGTCCCAATTGGTAATAGTGAACCTGTCTGGACATCGTGATCTTGATCGAACATTGTGGGCCAACCCGATTTTACGCGACCTAAGAAGCCAGTGGCGAAAGCGGCATAACTTTGTAAACAGAATTGGCTAGGTTAAGTCATTCTCTCCGTGTTAAAGCACTCCACGTGCTCTTCACGGATCTCAATATCGATATTCAACAAGGACAACTATATCACACTAGACATTTCAGATGCAAATGAAACAAATTGTCAAGTCAATCCAATCTATACGCAAGAGTTACTCCAAATTAGGGTCGTATCATGTTTGAAACAATCCTAACCACGTTCAAGGTTTAGGCCAGCCATCCAGATTTCCAAACCACCGCGACCTATAGATCTCGTCGCCGATATTGATCTTGTGTCTCTTGCCATGAACAACCAAACTCGTGTGGAAACCACGGAACTTAGTCCATCATGACTGCACATAGATGAAACTGCCATCGGGTGCAATACTAAAACTCTTTAGGTCCGACTGAGGTAACTCCTCCCACTTCCCGTCACCAGTAAACCCATGGCGATCATTGGTTGTAACCTCAAACCCTTGTAAATATTTATTGGTGACGTTCTCATAATGTTCTGTAAACTGACCCGTCTCGATATCAAATGCGTGTAGACCGCGATCTTCCGACACAAGGAATTTCCGCTGACCAGGGATAGGTACTAGGTCATGCAATCCGGCCCACCAGGGGTATCCCTTACCCCATTCAGCCTCAAGTAGGTATGCCTCGGGCAATTTATAGATAAAGCGGTCGTCCTTAGACAGTAGGCCCGTCCTAGAGTCCCAGGGATATCCCACGATAGTCCCATAAGCAGGGACTAGATCGGTGCCGTCCGCTGCGGCGTCCGTGCCAGCAGCCCATAGCATTTGTCCTTGTTCATCCCAAATCAAACCGTGTATAGCTCGTAAGCCGGTGATATTTTGAAGAATTGGAGGGTTTGCAACGAGGGCGTTGGCGGCGCTAGCATTATAGACAAGAATACCGTCCCAGGCTCGTTGACCAGTAGTACCCACAGCAAGTAAATTGCCCGGTAGGGGCTCGAGGGTATGCGCATTCCAGAGGACTTCGTTCCTTCTACAAAGTGCAAACGTGATAAGCTTGTCCGTCGCTGGATTTTCGGGGGTGTGGTTGATCACGAGGGCAAGATCACTATAGACGGCACCGACACTAGTGCCGTTGTTCATATATTTGAGCTCCGTGGCATCGTTGGCGTGGGCATAGAGACATTTATGAACATCGTCGGGCAGTGGCTGCGTGACGTCGTCGCGTTGGAAGCTCCAGTTCACGACTCCATCGCGGTCATGAATCTTCAAGAGGGGTGGGCGGCCATACACGCCGGTGACGATCTGTTGCCAAGGCCGCCGCTCAGACCGTAGACGCTCCTGCGGTTGGATAGGAGGAATACAGTAGTCTGCGAGGGATTCAAAGAGGAAGGGAATCCATCTCAGGAATCCGCCCATCATGATAAGAGGTTGTAGGCCAACTAGGAGCACTGTTTCAAGGTAAAGTCATATTTTCTCTCAGTAAATTTCGCTTTGCATCTTTCTCAAATGCATGTCGCCAAGTGGAGAACAAAAGCCAAACCCCTGTAGCTAGCACCGTCAATTCATTACCGCGCTCCGTTACATACTTCGTATACGTTCCTTGGCCCGAGACGTACATATACTTTACGCCCCTCTTTAGCCGCTTCCGTCTTGGCGACCGCGAGGTGGGGCCATTTTTGATCATCTCTCAGAGATGGTAGTTTCTTACTCCCGAAAAATTCGCTTTGTGGTCACCGCTGATATTGATGCCTGTATATTCCCTGATACCCTGGAATTACTAATGTTCCCAACAGTGCTGACAATTTTGTTTTTATCCCTGCTTGGGACAGAAAATGAACACACATCTAATGATTGGTCGCAGTGCTACACCCCTGTTAAGCGCCATGTAAAACGCGGATTTTACCGATATCTGTGATGCTTGAGGCAGAAATAAGCCCCCCTGAGTGTGGTATTATTGGATGATGATGTCGCACCAGGAACATCTAGTCCCTTGGCATTCCTGTAGTTCCATGCGTGCTACTAACTTATCAGCCTCTGTTCAAAATCTCAAAATCATGACTGAGCAGCGAAACTCTTTTGTAGGGAATGTTTTAATGTCTTAGGTTATTTTTCTCCCTTGCATGGTAAACTAGCTAGCCTGATCAGATGAACATCGATATTATGATCTGTAGTTTTGTATCATGGGGGAAAACATACACGCTTAGCCTCTCAAAAAGACAACATATAGGATAATTTCGGACCCTAGATTGGTTCTTGGGCCCCACGCTAATTCTTTCCAATACGTACAATACGTAGCCCCTTGAGAAATAGGACAAATTTCTGTGAAAGTAATATTAGTTACAAAAGCCGCCTCATTGCCTTCTGGTGGCGTTACAATTAACAAACAACTTGCGTCTAGCGACGCCGAAAACATAGCTGGGGAAGAGTGTTAAGGATTCTCTTCTGCTGTTGACTCGCTTCAACATATGATATCCCAGGTTTACCAATTTGACCATGCTTTCTGCGATTTTTATGTTCCTCTTGGGGGTTACTAGTTTTGCCGGGGCGAATGGCTCTACGACTACGCTTCCATCTTCTCAGCAAGGTTGGGCATCAATCTCTGAGACCTGTGAGATATTGCCTTTTTCTGAACCAAGTCACCACGGGCTAAGAATTTCTCACAGGGTCGGCGGTAACATGCGATTGGGGCCAAAATTATGTTACCAGTACCGTAGATGGTGTTGTCTTCGGGCGATGCTGCGATAACATCTTTTCTAACTGTGGGTTTGGAACGAGGTGTGACTCGAGCACCATTTACTATCATTCTACCGGCTACTCTACTTGGTGAGATTTCTCCACGTCGAATCTAAACCACGTCCACCATATCTCGCACCTTGCTAATCCTGGCTTTGTCAAAGTAAATCTGGTAAAACGTGCAACGTTATGAACATCTATGAGTTTGCGACAACAGACACCCCTGTCGTGGATCTTTTCTGTTGGAACGAGTGGCCAGCATCTACGATCTTTCGCCATACTACTACAGAGACTACTACGTCCAGTAAGTTAAATCTTGATGATCGTCCTTCGAAGAAGTTATTGTCTCACCACCATTACCCTCAGCGACCGCATCTCAGTCTACACCCACACCCGCAGCTACCCTTACCACGCCTTTTTCACCGGCCACCCCCAGCGCCACCACTAGCCCCAGCACATCGACCGAAGAGCAAGAGAGCGAATCTTGGATTGCTGGAGCAGTCATTGGTCCTGTTGCAGGATGCGCGCTTATCGGAGCTCTGGGCTTCTGGTTGGTTCGTCGTAACCGTAACAAGAAAAATTTCTATGTACAAGAGGCACAGCATATGACAGGGTCATATGCATCTGGAACGAAAATTTCTAGGGACATTGGCCCCTCTCCAAATGAACTTCCTGGAGACAGTGTTCAGAGTGAACCTTTGGAGTTAGAATCGCATCACCGCCAATGAAACTTTATATCGAAATCCGAGCGATGTTATTCTGGAGTAGCCGGTGAAGAGTGGCTGGTAAATCATGCAAATCCGAAGATTAATATTTGCGTAAGCCAATACAACGGAATAACCTAGATTCCTTGAAACATGCTAGCGCACCATCAAATCAAATCAAATCAAATCAAAGTTCTATGAACCTGTTGCAGACTAACTAGTATCGTAATGGCTATGCAGGCGCTTCTTTCCAGTTGAAGCAAGAACTCGTATCCTGTACGCCTGATCATGCTCCAGTACAGACCTTGAGCTGGTTCTCAGCAAGAGGACCAGCCCTACATGTAAGTCAAAACCCATAGACCCAGTGATAAAACTCGCAAAATGCGTCACAAAGCAATACGAATGAGAAATTCAATGCCGGTGCGCAATGAATACAAAAAGAATGCGTGGGATGCACCGTTCACCTCTCCAATGTCCTCAGTATTCTCACTAGACATGTGAGCACCTCTTTATCAAGCCCCCAGCTAGTTCCTGCTGCAGCAAGATCAGACCCAGTTCTCCGACGTCTTCACTTCTTCCTCGATTAGGTGTTATGTTTTTCCGGCCATTGAGAGCATCCGCCCGGTCAGGTACCGTATATTCCAGTAGCGAATCGAGGTTCTCTCCTCCCTCGACCGTAGTAGCAAGCATTGGGTAGTGCCCATCGTCTTCGGGACTCTGCACTATAACCTCGAGGTCGAGGTCTTCGGTTTCATCATCGGACTCTTCTTGCTCAGTATGTTGAAACTGGGCAAGTAGGCCGGTTCGGTGCATGAATTGGGCAACGTAGCGGGTTGCCAGCGGATTTGACACAATCATGTCATAGTTAGACAGCTCTTTCGGCCCGATTGCTTTATGCAACTGGTCAAAGAGCCGTTTTCTCAGTACACCGAAGGTCTCACATTGGAGCAAGACTTACTTCGGCGTTTGAGAGCCCTCTCCATAGGGGTATTTATCGGATTCCACTTCATTGACCTTATACAAGGAGTGTCAGCGCAATGCGCTGAGACCGCAGTTGTATTATAATCGATGAGCGTGGTTTCGATAGGTTTTCGTATAAGCGTAGGACCATTTCAGTAAGCGCTTTGTGGGCTGAGCGGTCCTCTCGCTCTCCCACTGTTTCCTCCACCGGTCCTGGATCCGTTCACGGACCATCCGCCTGGCAGCGGCAGCTAGTAGGATCATCGCTTTATCCGCTCCGGAACCACCTCCGCCGGTGAGTTAGTAGTGGGGTGGGTTGAGTGATCTCCAGCGAATTTATATTGAATAAGAAGATTGGTACTCCAAGGCGGCCCATTTTTTCTTTCTTACTGTCATTTCAATACTAGGAGGACATGTGTCAACCGATGGAAACTATTACCAGAGAGCTATGATCAAAACAACACGCCTGAGAGAAAGTCAGCATGGGAGGGGAAGGACACGTCAGCGGTTCAGGGGTGTGCAGGATATTCAGGTGTAGAATAGTGGTGTTCAGGGCGTTCAGGTGAATAAGCTGAAGGGGCTGAAGATTAGGGCGGCGGGAAGCCCTGTTTTCCACACACTATGGTCGTATGTGGTAGTTTGTTGATGAGATGTAATGATATAGTCATGTTAAATTCTTGATAACATCATTCTTTCTATAGGCACCATTCCACCAGAATTATCTATATCAGATGTCCTGAGTCTTTCTAGTGACTTGTATGGACTTTCAGGCTGTACGACTTGACCGATGTCAAGAACAAGAAGTCGGTCACAATCAACCGCTGTTTTCATGCGATATGCTGTGCTGTCTACATGGTGATGTTTGAGTTCCAGACTACAGTTGCTACTAAGTCCCTAAGGAACAGCAATCTAATAAAAAACATATACTTCACATTATCGTCTATCCACCCTCGGAATCAGGAAAAATATTAGAATCACCCCGATGTTCAGCACCTAGCGATGGGAAAACGCCAACGGACAATTTTAATCAAATCTATTGACAAGCTTCATGATCTTGCTGCCCGTGCTGCTCTTCTCAAATCCCTCGAGGTCATCCAGGAGGTTCACTCTGAATAGGTGTCGGTTTTCAGGGAAGACGAAGAAGAAAGTTTCAACCAGGGCCACAAAAGTTTCTCTATTCATAACCCCCTCGCCTGCAGCAGCACGAAGCATGCGAACCTCCAAAGTGGACTGTGGAGATGAATCAAAAGAGTCCAGGATCACTTGCCATTGTAGGATCCCCGAGCCCTCGGTCTGCATGAGGTTCTCGATCTCTTCGAAATTGAAATACTCGCCGAACCATTTGAAGCTGAACCGACGATCCCGACCTCCAAGACGGAGGACTCGAAGGTATTCTAGTTCTGACTCCGGAAGAAGTTCAGCGGCAGCCTCAGGAATTCTATGGATTGACCCGACGTCTCCTGTTATATACCGCACAAGAGGATTGCGTAACCGTTGCAGTGACGTCTGGACAATAATTCCCTGTTCCCCCTCGGGGACCGGTTTCCCGCCAAACTTTCCAAAGGAAGAGTCCTCATTGATGGTAGAGGAGTGAAGAATCTCAATGAGCATAGTGCGGGTATCAAAGACAAAGTCTCTTGCCGAAGAAATACAGCGTCCGGTGATGTCAGGGTTGGCGATTGCGTATGGACCGGCCTCGGCACTGCCCAGAATTGACAGAATCTTCACAGCACCCAGAACCTTCAAGATATAACTTCTCTGGGTATATGTCATCAAGTCGGAGGTATAAATCACTTTGTTGACCCTGATTTCACTTCTCTGTTCAGCCGGAAGGGTCGAAATATGGTGGACAATATGAATGATTTGACTACTGTCCCCTGTCAAAACATTCACACGATAGTTGATCAATGTGTGGACAACCTCTGCAGCATCCATACGACTTCCTGCACATAGAACAGATGCTCCTGCGTTTTCCAGGATTTCACTGACAAGGTCGAGGGACCTATCTCATAGAATGTTATACGTGGATATTCCAGTCCGTGACAGGATCTATGTTGTACATACCTGTAAAGAAACCCTGATGTGTGGGTCGAGAGAACCCAGTCGTTGGGCTCAATGACTTTGCAGATTCTCAGAAATTCCCCAAACACTGCCCTCTGCTTGCGGTTTTCCTTCGTGTCGGTCGCAAACATCAATGGTAGCCCACCGGAGCCTCCTCCTGTGGTACTGATATACACGCTTCGCCGGTATTCATTTCTCGGATCTGTGTCATTGGTAAGTCGTTTGATGACACGATAACTGTTAGAATTGGTCAACTATAATTGAAGAAAAAGAAAAAAAAACACGGAATTATAGCTTTACATGTCGTCTTTTCTGAGCAAAGGTTGCAAATGAAGGTCAGTCTGCTTTGACTCTGTCGATGAATGTTGAAGGGCCTTCTGAATGGCTTCTGGATCAGGCGGGTACTTCCGATCGGCCTTATAGAAAGGATGAATTTCGGCCACCTTGATGACCTCGCTCAAAGAGTATGTATCGGAAGTCATTGTGGGTTGACGTACAAGCTCGGACTAGAAATGGAGTCCTAGGGATATTCAAGTTATATACGCATAAAAAAAAGATCAGAGAGGCTGGTCAGGAATAAGCTAGACTAAATTGTGACGAGTCCTGCAGGCTCGATGGAGAATATTTGACAGTGGATAGGCAATAATTATCCAGATTCTCCGCCAGACTATTTAGCAGCTAAGCCCTTCGCGACCCTTGCGGCGACATCTTTGTGCCATTGGCTCAGGGGTGGTCGGTCAAACTCAATTGGTGTAGAAAAGAATGGGTGTGGAAGGAAAGAAAAATGATAGGAAAATACACTCACGTATACTGAAGTGGGCGGACGCCAGCCACCATTGAAAAGAAAAATAGGAGTGTGGGAAGAACTTATTGGAAAACTAGATCCAATTGTGGATCGACATCAGAAACTAGAAAACCTGAGGGCGATCATTATATGCAAGACTCCACAGATCGGACCAGTCATCTTCTGCAGGTGGAATGTATCACGACTCCCCACTAGTCTGGCTTTGATTAAGCTGGTCTCTTATCAGCTTGAGAACGGAGTACAATATAAAAGAATTCCTCGTTGATCCGATGGGCCTATAGCGTCTTTTAGAGATGAATATGGAATGTACAGCCTTAACATTGTGTTTCCCAGCAGCCAGGGGAAGCAAATTAATCCAGTCTCTCAATATCTAGTAGTGATTGTGTAAGAACTATTGCCCGCTGGACCCAAAAGAATTGTCATCGCGTCGCCCAACGAGCTAGCACATCACTTGTGGAAGGTGAGATCGAACACGAGGTCGTCGTCAAGGAGAGTACGGAGTAAATCTACCAAGCTCCTTTTGACGCTGACAGATATGTCCGGCATTAAGGACCGGCATGAATTCCGTATCCGTACCGCAGCGGCGGGTGTGGTCAACCAGTACTGCTCCGGATTGATCCGCGCCAAGCACTTAATTGGTGACGATGAAGCGCGGAAGAGTGAACAGCCCGCGCCCCTGAAAGCCCCACAATTAGCGCAGTTGCGGTACAAGGCGCTGCACAAGGTACAGTAGGTGTTGAACTTGGTCCGACTCTCTAGACCATCAAGAGTGTCGAGTCTGTCAGCGGGAGTCGCGCTTGTCGGACGATTGTCTTGCTCGGGCCAACCTTATCTAAATAAAATTCCAATCGTACTGCCTATTCCACCTGGCGATCCTGGACGGAATTCTGCAGAGCGCAACGTCGGCGTCTGTCGTGGGAGAGGGTGGCCTGATCAAAAATACCCTGATCCTCGCGCTCATAGCTGACATGCTCGTTAGTAACATCCCTCAGGGTCGCATGTGGTGGCCAAGTCGCTATACGCCGTTCGTGGGCGTCGGGGTGTGACCAAGAGCTGGACCACCAACATCGCCATCCACCACCCGCAGACCGGCGCCCTGCTGCTGCGCTGTGGGGTGTCAATCCCACCTGGGTACATGTGGGTGAGAAGCCAGATGTCCATGTGTTCAGCACGGCGATTTGAAAGCGCACTACCTGTCTGCTCAGGCGGGACCAGCTCTTACATCTCACGCTCTCGGCCCTAGGCTCGCGCGCACCGCATATACCCAAACAACTTCCTTATTTCCAAAACAAGCTCTACGTGGCTATGATCCACAATGACTAAACAACTTCAATCCACTCGAAGATATCAGGCACCTGATATCTGTACCCCCGCGGCCCAGCATCAGCAACCTCAGCCGCTAAACTTCTTTGCCATACTTTTTAGCACGTCGAGCGTCATCGGAAAGAAGGCCAGGCAAGCTACGCAGCGGGAAACACCTTCAGGAGGATGATCGTGACATATATTTAGAAGGAGCGCGACGTTATGCCTGACCTGCTCGGATGATCTGTAGCGCCGATGCCGGATGAGATGAGGCAAAGTCCAGGCCCCACTAGGTTGAGGGTACGGCCAATGAGGTGCGATCTGTCATCATGTCGCATGAAGTGTATAGCACAATCTCATTTCACGCCTTACGAGAGGCTCTAGTCGTAAAGATTCTTTATCCACTAGTTTCGTCCCTAACTTATAAAACTCTGCTTGGCCCCCAGGATTTGGATTATATTACAACTTTTCTTTTCAATTGATCTTTCTTGAATCAGAAGCCAAGATGAAGTACGTGCAACTTGGAAGCAGTGGCCTTCGCATCGCCCCGATTGGTGTGGGATGCATGAGCTTTGGAAATCCCGAAGGCCGCTTCAAATGGTCAATCCCGGAAGAAGACGCAGTGCCCGTCCTCAACTACTGTTACGAATCCGGCCTCAACTTCTTCGATACAGCAAATGCTTATTCTAACGGGCTCTCGGAGGAGATCTTGGGCAAGGCAATCAAGAAATACAACTGGCGCCGCGAGAACATTGTCATCGCAACTAAGCTGTGGGCGCCCGTCGGTCGTGGTCTTGAACAACCAATGGCGATGACCGATGACGAAAAGGACAATTCTGGTTACGTCAATGAGTACGGGTTGAGCCGAAAGCATATTTTCGACAGCATCGATGCCAGCCTGAAGAGGCTAGACCTGCCATATGTTGACTTGCTGCAAATCCACCGCTTCGATCCCAGAACCCCCGTTAAGGAAACTATGGAAGCGCTTCACGATGTCGTCAAGTCGGGCAAGGTGCGGTATATCGGCGCGTCGTCTATGTGGGCTCACCAGCTTCTTGAGTACCAGTATACTGCCCGCCTCCATGGCTGGACGGAGTTTATCTCAATGCAGAACCTTCACAATGCTATCTACCGCGAAGAGGAACGGGAGATGTACCCCGCGTGTGCTAAATTCGGAATGGGTGGCATCCCGTGGAGCCCCATTGCGATGGGCTTCCTGGCTCGGCCCTGGTCTGATTTCTCTATCACTACACGTGGAGAGGGACAGGGCCAAGGATTCCTTGGTCAGCCTATCACAGATGCAGACAAGAATGTCAACGAACAGGTTGAGAAGATTGCCAAGCAGCATGGTGTATCCATGGCGACTGTGGCAATTGCATGGTCCCTATCCAAGCCGTTCATCACTGCTCCAATTCTAGGAATGAGTAAGAAAGAAAGAGTTGATGAAGCGGTTCGCGCTATTTCTTTCGAGCTTAGTCCTGCAGAGTTGAAGAGCATCGATGATCTATATGAGCCCAAAAAGGTGATTAGCCACCAGTGAGATCTGTATCTCTGGGGTGAGGGAAAGGGTCATTCTATTCTTAACTATTCTGGTATATAATACAATCTACAAGAATATGGAAACAAGAGTTGAGCCTCATTGGTATCTGTTCTAATCGATATAATCATCCTGCTACTTTTATGTAACTGCAGTGCGATTGTAGTCACCTAAAAAGCTTGGAAATAATACATAGCATCGAGGAAATGACAAAAAGGACGCGTAATGGACAGACAATTCATATCCCTTGGATATGAGGCAGCTGCTTAATGTCAAAGCAGTGTAAGCCCCTTAGGCTATAAACAGGAGCCTGAGTTTTTGGTATGGTCTGGTGGTAAAATACGCTCTGGTTTACCTGACACTCAACCACCGCACTGACCGTCGAAGGAGTGTTTGGTTAAGATAAATGACGACTGTAACACCCCTGATCCATGCATACGAAGGAATGAGGAGTTCCACCCCCATATTTCCCACACCAACTTGGGGACCTTGGTCCACACAAACGGTGGTGTTGCAAATATCTATTGCCAAAACATTCATTTCTAACACCTAAGATCAGGGCGATCATTATGCGCTTGTCCCCACGTATGTCATCAAGCTGCATAGGCCGACAATCAACAGAGTCTTGTACGAATCAGACCTGTATTTTCATTCCAACCTAGACGCAGACCCACCAAATCCGTTGATACAAAAGAGGGGTGTTTCATTCCTTTTTGCCCGCCACTGATTTGTAGAATGCGCTAGGTCAAGACAGTCCTTGATAACCCATCCCCAAGAACGAGCAAAAGACTCCGTAACCTCCCACCCCGCCGGATCCCAAGGGTCACTCCAAACAATAATCCCAGTCCTCTCCGAGCACGCATTCCCAATCCCCTTCATATCAAGGCAGAGCTGTGTTTCTTCCTCAAAGTCTCCGGCTAGAATCAGATTATCCCTCATGTGCGGAACCGGAAGTAGATCTAACCACGGGTGGTGTGGGATAGAGCGCTGAATCATGGTGGGCTGAAGACTGGGTGGAAGCGAACTCTCGAAGTCATATTGCCATGGCCCAGCAATATTAAAGGGTGAAATAGCATCATCATGCAGCTGGTCGGATGTGAGGCCCAAGACCGCAGTGTTTTCCATAAGTGCTCTGGTGAAATTAAATTGAATAAGATGGAGTAGAAGATCAGTGCGTGGAGATCCCAGCGAATGATAATAATGTGCCGTCATCTCTAAGCGTTGCATCGTGACTTTTGTCGCCATTGAATGGGAGTGGAGGATATGCACATGTTCAATTCTTTCCAAGGGGGCGAGTGAGGTCACGTCTGTCACGGTATGCGCTGCTAATGCTTGTTCATCTATCCGCTTTGTAATAACGCCACGCGTATTTCGCCCGTGTTCGTTAGCCACCAAATAGTTGATATCAGGTTGATTTCTTCTGTCCAAGGGCTTTGCTGGTTCTTTGTTCTGTAAACCTGTGGTATGGTCAATTCGATTCTTGGTAACTGATGGGGTATAGAGAGAACATACGTCGAGCTCTTTGATTCAACCGATTTTGCAACCTTCGGCGAGTTTTCGGGTCCGTTATGCCTGACCAATCTTCGTCTGGCCATGCGCGGAGGCGCTCTGAGAACGGACGTAAAGCGATCCGCTTTTTCGAGGGCTCCTCCATTGTTCGTTTCATTTCTGCGATATCCTACTCCTTCTGCACCTCGATGACAGGAATTTTGGGGCACTAGTAAATGGATATCGTAAGAATCAGGGATAGCGTGAAGAGTGAAAAAAGGCCAAGGTCTAAATGCATTTTGAACGGAAACAAGGTTTCAAGGTTGAAGGAGTTTGCAAGGTTGAACCAATCATATGCCCCCATTGACCCACCCTGTCATCGGCCTGCATGGCGCTTATCCATATTGGGGATAGAGGATATACAGCCGATGTTTACCCGTGGAGACCCATGGACCGTTGTATACGTCCACATACCTACAGCTCCAGGCTACAGCCTTGAATTACTACGCCAGGACACAGTATCGTCTCCCTTACAAGGTGACAAGTCATAGTGTTGCGTCAATCATGCATACTCCCTTGGCATTAAAAGAGTCTTAGGTTGGTTTCCACCTGCCTCGATGATGCACCGACTTGGCCTACGTTATCATTCTTGACTGCGCTGATCCTTTTTTGGAGAACAAAATGATATATAATGATCTAGGTCTCCCAATTCCAAGATATACAGAAAAGAAAGTCTTGATAGTTCTTTGAGCCACCATAAGTTACAATGCTGCGGACCACTCCTTGGTTCATATCTTTTCTTGCCGTGGCAAATGCAAGGGAGGCCATTCAATCAGCCACAACAAAGCCTGTAAACTGTCAACGAGCAGTATGCTTTTCAAACCCCCTTCCGCCTTCAATATTAACTATCTGTAGTGTGTGCAACTCTCCACGGTCTTCGGACCTGCAGTCCATTACCCTGACAGCGATAACTTCACCATTTGGGATGCGAAGCAGCAGGAGGTTCGTCCATCCTGTCGCATCGAGCCCAGTAGTGCCTCTAATGTGGCTGAAATCTTGGATATTCTTGTTGACCACTGGTGCTACTTTTCGGTCAAGGGTGGCGGTCACTCCAGGAATGCTGGAGACTCTAACTCTGTGGGCGGTGTTACTATAGACCTGGACCTCTTGAACCAAGTCGAGGTGCTAGACAATGGGAACAAGGCACGTGTTGGTGGCGGTGCAACCAGCGTTCAAGTGTACCATGCCCTGGAATCTCGGAATCTGTCTTTTGTCGGTGGGAGAGTAGGCAGTGTGGGCATGGGGGGATTCACACTCGGTGGAGGAACATCCCCATTCTCAAACAAGTATGGATGGGGTTTGGATAATGTTTTCGAATATGAGGTATACTTAACTCCACGAGAAACCGCAAAACGAATTCATTGCTGAAATACGTGTCCCCAGGTTGTCCTCGCCAATGGTACGGTTACCACCGCCTCCGAGATACATAATCCAGATCTCTATTTTGCTCTCCGGGGAGGAGGCAATAATTTCGCCATTGTCACAGCCTTCACGATCCGCACATTTTCCCAAGGTCCTGTCTTCACGGGGCAGACGTCATACTCTGCTAACCAAACCGAGCAAGTCCTTGACAAGGTCTATGACTTATTCACAGATGAGGATCTTACCAGTGATGTGGAAATGGGCTATGATCTATACTATAGCTACCGCTCAGGCAGTGAAGACTTCACCTTGATGGGCACCCAGCGCTACGGGAAGGCAATTCGGAACCCCCCGGTCTTCCACGAAATTGACCAAATCCCCACATTGAGCAGGTCTCAAACCATAGAATACATGAGCAGTGTGTCTAATGGCACTCTCCCAATGGGTACAACTCGGTAAGCGCTGGCCTTTTGTCCCTTCCGGTGTTTTCTTTCTTTGGGTGCTCATTTCTTCGTGGTAGAAACTTATTTGCTACTCTGACCGTGTCCCCATCTCGTCCCCTGCTCTCGAAAGCTCTCCAGATCTTCCGACAAGAGGTGGAAGCTATCAAGTCTGTACCCGGCATAAGTACCAACCTGATCTGCTATCCGATGCAAAGAAATGCCATTGCAGCCATGAAGAACAGAGGCGGCAATGCGCTAGGAATCGATGTCGAGCGTGAAGAACCTCTTTTTAGTATGACCTTCCCAATTTCTCAAACCACCTTAGTCCAGGAATATCTTCAGCACAACTACTAACACTTCTTCTAGTTATTCTACTCTCCACGGCTTGGTCGGATGCCAATGATGATATGGCCATCAATGGGATGACCACAAATGCCGCTCGCCGGATTGATTTAGCAGCCCATAAGCTCGGTGTTGCCAATCGTTATATGTATATCAACTATGCATCGGCCGAGCAAGCTAGCCGAGTGTTCTCTGGTTATGGTGCGGAGAATTTACAAAGACTCAAGAATATTCAAAAGGCGGTAGATCCTCGTGAAGTTTTCACCTCAAAGGGTCTGTGGAAGGGATTTGTGAAACTGCACTAGTTGAATGGTGAAGAGATGACAGATTGTTGGAAAGAGCTTCCTTGTGTATGGGAAATACTTCTTGGATTGTCAACCACAGGTTCATGATGTTTTCCCTTGAGTACTAGACTTGGCTCTCTGGGTATCTAATTTATCTATCGGGAGTGCTGATGAGTAATTCGGGATGAACATTCTCGTAAATGTCACAGCAACCCCTCTGTCCAGCTGGTCGGGGCCCGATCTGGTTGATTCATTCCTTCAGTGAATAATTATTATGCCACCCCGCAGTTTTGGGAAATGTTCTACCATTAGGATTGAGTTACAGAAACCACTGTTTCTTTTGCTCATCAGTGTTGACGTCTGTCAGAGAAGTTGTCCACTGTAGTCCGTAGATATTCTTCAGCTCCTTAGGAAGGATCTGGACTCTCTTTTTTGGAGTCAAGTAGGCGATAAGATGTAAGGCCTGGTCTCATCATTAGCGCTCTTCAAGGCCCACAAATGGGCCTGAACCCCAGCCCAGCCAGCAGTGGGCTTTGGCATCTTCGAAACCCAACCCAACCCAATGTGTTCAACTAGGAACTTACAATCACTATATTCTGGCCCTTCTACTCATTGCACAGACTTGAGATGCAAGATATTTATTTGTGAGCATCAAATAGATACATCTCCACATATAAAATCAAAGCTGTGAAAGTCGAAAAAAATCGAATGAACGCTAATATATCCCTGAGATATAGGGGCACCCCCACTTTCTTAATGAACCTCTTTAATTTATAACCTTTCTGAGCATCATATTTTCTCGCATTTTCAGATCTCATTAATATATTGACCTATCCTTTTACAATATTTCAGTTATCATAACAAACTATTACCCTAAAATACAGGAGAGAAACGGCAAGGTGATAACACTGTAGGGGGCAACACTTTAGGATTCCTGATCACTGCCGGATTTATATCACTGTATATAAGCTAGCCATTTGGTGAATTCAGAGCAAAAAGGCAGTGGTTTTAATTGTGCTGATTGTGAGTGACTGAACCCCCCGGGGCCCGATGGCGGCTTATCTCAGCCCTGGACCCAACGGATGCGGAGACATACGGACGCAAAATAGCTTCCACATGCTAGGAACAGGCAAATGGCTTTGACCAATTGGATGGGTCTACACTACCTTTTGAGGGGTCTCAATCGTACATTTCATGTTCCGTATCGTGTTCGGGAGTGGATCAAGTTCCAGTGTTACCGGTCTCCGGTGCCCGAGTGGCCCGCGATTATTACAAGCATTCTAGGACATGCCAAGCTTTCAAGGGCCCAACTATTAAGATTTGACTACGGAGGATTCGATATGGAGTTTGGGATAAAATATGGACTCATTTCTCTTTTTTAGCTCCGAAATTCCTTGATCACTTCTCCCCTCTCTTTATTTGACCGTGCACTTGATTGGAAATCACCTATCAAAGGAAAGCCGAAAAAAAAAAAAAAAAGAGAGATACCCGTGCCCCTATCCTCTTTCAAAATATAATACTTTGCGTTTCATCAAATGTGTAGAGTCTGCCGAGCCGAAAAGTCTAACAAATGATAGGAGGCTGAACATCCCAACTCGGTCGAACAGGCCCGGAAAAAAGCAAAAAAACTACCACCCTGGCTGAGGGGAGGTGACCCTACCGTAGGAGACCCGTCGGAATTCCGCCTGCCAAGTGGCTACCAGCTGACCAAATCATGGGTTCTCCGAGGTAATCTGGTATCAACCGAGCGTGTATTGGCTAGAGAAAGAACGCACAAGTCAGCGCCAAAAAATTGGCATAAACGGCCGAGACCTTACCCAGGTACCTTATCTCACAATTGCCCCCAAAAAGGTCTATGCACACGGAGCACACTACACGCATCTCGCTACATTTGGTGTTTTTTTACATTTTGATTTGAAGGTGATATTACTCCATATACTCCGTATCAGGGCGAATATTCTGATGCCGAGATCTGGAAAGATAACTTGAAACCAATGGCAATATTCGACGGGCGTTGGAAAAGGGTCCGAGCTTTCCAGAACATGTTGCCATCTTAGGGGCAATGTTATCATCGGGACTAGACGGGGGTTTCTCGAAAGAGCGTTCATTTTAGCAGAGGCAAAACAAGGTTGTATCGCGTCAAGCATGGTGGCTCATTCTCAGATTGCATGGTATCATGGGAACACTTGCGCTAATGGTCTGATAAGAATGCACGTACACTTATATTGGAGTATAAAAGCCCTTAGCACCTGGGAGAAAAACGGGTGTGACCAGCCCTATAGCCATACTCCACCTTTTTCGACCTGATAATCATATACTCCGTACATGATATATCACTCAGTATGTCTGAGTCGCCTGTAAAGACCGGTGACATCTCTGTGGCTAGCCAGGACGGCCTCGGTGAAAAGGCGGGTGTCACTGTGCTAGCTACAAAAGATGAGCATACACACAGTGGCGAGGACTTCGATGAAAATCCAGATGCCATTATCGTTACCGGTGCGGATGCAGCTCTTCATCTGCTGCCTCTTCGAGATGACTTTGACACTGTCTTAACCCTTCGAAGTATTTTTCTTTCGTCTGGTCTCGCGTGTTTCCAGGCTGTGATGTACCAAATTTATCAGGTACTTCCAATCCATCCATTTCCCACACGAATACTAACGCCTCGGTCCATAGTTCAAACCCACTGTGGTGACAATCCAAGGCACTTTCATCGTGCTCATCTCTTACTTCCTCGGCAATGCCTGGGCTAAATTCCTTCCCCGTGGTGATAAATTCGAGGCTCGCTGGAGGGCGAAAAACGGTCAGGGAAAACTACCTTTCTGGATCACGGCGTTGAAAATTTTCAACAATGGAGAATGGAGCCTAAAAGAGCATGCAATCTGTTCAATTACTGCTACATCGGCCTCAAACGCCGCTCCTAGCTCGCAGGTATTTGCAGCACAGGATCTATTCTACAACCTCCCCTTGCGCCCGGCAACTGTGATCTTGAGCGTTATCTCGATTGGTCTGTTTGGCTACGGGCTCTGTGGAATCATGCGCCCGATCGCAGTCTGGCACACCGAGGCCGTCTACTGGAGTAGTCTGCCCACCGTCAAGACTCTCCAGGGACTTCATTGGCACAAAGTCAAAAACTCGAAACCCCTCAGATACTTCTGGTATGCATTCAGTGGCATGGCATTATATGAAACTATCCCTGCCTACATCTTCCCGTGGTTAAATTCTGTTTCTATTCCGGTATGTGGTTTGTGTATTCCAAGTTTTCCTTGCTCTCTCCGGTTGATCGCAATTTTATTTGAACAAAACTTACTGACTTCGTACTTTATAGTGCCTGGCTTCACAAAAGGCCACTGGTGAGACTGCGAACGTGCTCAACAATATCTTTGGTGGAGCCACCAACAACCAGGGTTTAGGCCTATTCTCGCTGTCGTTCGATTGGCAATATGTGAGAGATTCCCCTCTATACCCACGTATTGATCTAGCAGGACTCTAACAGAAGTAGCTCACATCTTTCCAAACCTCCCTCCCTCTGAAACTGCAAGTCCATCAAGCCGTGGGGCTATTTACTTGTTTTATCATCATGATAGGCATATACTATGGCAATGCCTGGAATGCGAGATCGCTTCCATTCATGTCGACGAGGATGCTTATGAGCAATGGCACCAAGTACCCTATTTCCGAGGTCTTCCCCGACGGTGTCCTTAATGAAGCTGCTTTGGTTGAACACGGGCTGCCGAAGCTCACTGGAACGTTCGCATTTGCCATGTTTATGGCCAACGCAGCAATTGGTGCCTTGGTCGTCCATTGCATTCTATTCTGGGGCAAGGATATCCTGAAAGCGTATAAAAGCGCGAGAGAAGGTAGATACGATGATATTCACCATGAGCATATGGCCAAGAATTATAAAGAGGCTCCGTGGTGGTGGTATATCATCGTGCTCGTTGGCAGTTTTGTTCTGGGTATCATTGTTGTCACGAAAGAGAACATCACCTTGTCGGCTTGGGAATATGTGGTCGCACTCGTGATCGGATGCATTTTTGCACCCTTCGTAAGTACAATATCCCTGATAATGATCTTCATGGAGCAATGCTGACTATGACCGTCTTATAGAGTACCATCATCTTTTCTCGCTTCGGTAACGGTATTGCTACCAACAATTTGTCCAAGATGTTGGCTGGGCTTATCCTTCCTGGACGCCCGATCGGTAACATGTACTTTGCTGCGTGGTCGCATAACGTCATTACCAATACTGTCAATCTTTCCAATGATCTTAAGATGGGCGAATATCGTGAGTACCTCCCTCATTCTTCTAATCAGAAGCCGACACTCATTTTTGAATCTATCTTCCAGTCAAAATTCCTCCTCGTATCATGTTCCTGACGCAAGTTTACGGCACGGTTCTTGGTGGCTTCATCAACTACGCCATTATGATCTCCATTGTGTCGAGCAATCGAGAGCTTCTCGTCGATAGCAATGGAAACTCCGCCTGGAGTGGTGCAACTATACAGTCTTACAACACCAATGCCGCATCATGGGCATTGGCTCCTTACATTTATAAGATCGGCACCCCATATGGAGCCGTGCCTCTTGGTATAGTCGCCGGTGCTGGTGTTGTGATGATCCACGCTCTCTTCCATCGAGTAAGCATCCTCGCTCTTCTCTATTCTCAATAAAGCTGACACCCCCTACTTTTAGTTCGTTCCCAAAATTGGAAAGTTTGACACTTCGGAAATCAACCTACCGCAGTTCATCCAATACGCCGGTTATATTCCCTACAACCAAAGCCAGACCTGCGTTCTCTTCACTTGGATCATTGGCGGGTTTTACGTCCAGTATTATCTCCGAAACTACAAGCCACGGATTTTCAAGGAATACTCCTATCTGATTGCGGGAGCCTTTGATGGCGCTAGTTTGACTGTTCTATTCATCCTCTCTTTTGCTGTGTTTGGAGCTGGTGGAGTGTCGCACCCCTTCCCAACATGGTGGGGAAACAACGCCGACGGGAACTACGATTGGTGTCCGGTTGCAGAATAGGAGAAGTGAAATGGATGATGGGGGATTTGAATCTGAGGGTTCCAGTCACAGGAGCTTGAATCCCATGCGGATCGAAGGATGTTGACTGCCGTACTTATAGTAATATAATTGATACCTTCTCCGATGCATAAGAGCAACATATTGTATATCGTCTATAAAGGTTTATATCAGTGTTCAAAACAAGGCTAGAGCTTCTACTTGCCTTTCCTTGCTACACCAGATTTCTTCCTGCATCCCATCATTCACCTCTCTTAACACTCAACCTGCTACCAAAATACACATTCTACTCGTGGTCATGCCGAACGCTTAAGTATATTGCTAATGTTTGAATACCCGCTCATCCCCAATTTCGTATCATTAATGAAGTCAGATCTTGCATCCGTCGTGACTTGTTTCCACGTCATCTCACGATTGGGCCTCTGTAAAGCCCATAAATGAGCCCTTTTGACGTCCCCGGGGATCAGTACCTTGCTATACGGAGCTTAAATGCTTACTTGATGGCAAATAGTAGTTTAATACAAAAGCTAAAGCAAAGGTCCGAGTCCAAATCTTTTTTACAAACTCGAATCATCACCCCAACCCAACCTTCCCGTCTTTTCCAGCCCCCCAAGCCAAGAATCCACTTGCATTAAACGCTCTCCTATTCTCCACAACACTCTTCAAATACTCAAAATCCCAACATCGTCTCGCAAACCCGGCGCCCAAAAATCCATGCTCCTTGTCAACTGCCGGCTCAAGCGTACTATCCGCCGAACAGGTAATCGCCTGAGCAAGGTAGTCGAAACAATGCGCTACATGAACAGAGCGGTTCCGACCGAAGTCGAAACGTTGAAGCTCTGGCTCAGGTGTGTAATAGGCTCGCCGGAGGAGGTAGAGGCAGTGAAGCTGGTGGAAGGCGGATGGAATTACCACAGAAGAGGACTTTGGTTTCGAGGTGTTTGCGGTTTCGGGGATGAAGTAGCCCAGGCCGTCTGTTGATTGTGTTATTACTATATTTTGTATTGGATGCCGCAATGAGGTGATGCAAAGAACATACTAGGTATTAACGCATCCCATATAGGCTCTGAGACATTCCCTTCCCGCGGTGGCTCCTCTGTGAAAGGGGATTTATGTTTGAATTTGCCCGCGATTTGAGGGAGCGGGAGGTGAGGTGCTATTGATATGTCTTCTACAGTCCCTGATTCATAGCTGTGCGTTGTGGTTATGTTGGAGATGTAGACGGTGATTAATACGCCCGCTGCGAATGCGGTGATGAGAGATACGACGAAGCATATGATGTGTGGGACTGTAAATTGTGTCTTAAATGGTTTTTCAAGATGAGGTTGAGGCTCCTCTCGGTCTAAGTCCTCATTGACATTTGAGAGAGGCTTATACTCATGCTCTTTTGCAGTTGTCAACATTATTGTTGAAAGACCGAGTCTTATTTTAGAAAAAAGATTTGAAGAATTGGTCGTTTGAAGCTAAAGTTGGAACTGACTGAAACTGAGCATGTCCAAGGCTAACTCGGATGTTCGGGTTAGGGTATCCCTTGCTTGACGCCCATACAGTCAGCGGTTGGACCCGGGGGCTATGCAGTGTTAATATGCAGTGTCAATCACCTCTAGGGCTGGAGTCACAGATTATGTCATTGATTTGATGGAGGCCTGCATGGGCCAGTTGAAAATGGACTGTTAGCGCTGGAATGTATCGTAAGCGGGACTCGGCTTCTCAACATGTAGCAAGTCGGATCTAAGCGCCTTTCCAGGTTTCTATCACTTCGAATCACATTTGTAATGGCAAAAGGGCTGACAGAGTGTAAGGCGTGGCACCTTGCATATTTTTGAGTGATCTACATACTGTTACTGTACTCGTCACCTGTAGGTAGAAGAGGGGTGTGATTCATGTACAACATAGACGCCCTTAACTGGCTGATCAGTATGCATTTGGGTTGGGCTGGAAGTTATGTAGTACTATGATAAGAAAACTACTATATTTATGACATCCCTCGTGATCTTGGTTAAGAGTCTCTAACGAAGTCAAGTTGTCCTAGACCACAGGCTACCTAGGGCAATCTCCAACTTTTCGAAACATCATTTGTGACTGCTGTGTCTTCAACTTCACAACGAAAAAGCCACCAACTACCCAGCATGCGTACATATCTCCCCCTCCTTGCCTTCATGGCGGCTTTTGCATTGGCTGCACCCACACCCACTGATAGTGAGTATCACCCAAAGAGAGAGACATCCTACAGTTAGACTGGGCTGATACATGCTATCAAGACACTGCAGTTGTCAGGTCCGTGATGGTTGCCAGAGAAGATAACGGGGTCAAGGCAGACAAGGGAGATAGCAAGGGACACGCCAACGACGTGGTTGTCGCAGATGGATTTTAGAAGGTTCTTCTCTGACAACCCCAGGAGTTGTATCTTCGACTATGTACTTAAGTTCTGCAAGACTCGTTCCTTTGATCCTTCAAACTATCATTGGAGCCAATTCCACTCACAGTGCACTCCGTACTCTATACAAGAGATCTCCCTGAAGCCACAATCTAACCCGTATCGTAACTATACCCTCTATACATTCCCAGCCACCCCCGTTGCAATAGATTCTTCGGGTAATCCTACCAAGATCTCCTCCGTGGGAATATACCCCTCATCGACCACATACCCACTCCCCGCAGGGCAATGCATGAATCTCTTCAACCCAACCTCATCCTCGGGATTCTCAGGGCGTTTATAGCAAGCCGTATGAGCTTTCGCCCATTTTTCTAACTCCCCCAATCCCTACAAACACGATGCTGTCCGATTCCACTCACAACCTCAGCCCTTCTCTCCGTGGCCCTAGGCGTATCATCCGCATCACACAGCGTTTGTCGTCTCAACGCATCAAGACAATGCGCGATATGGTGCCAGGTCCTCGACTGTTCCTGGCCGGTCCTGAACTCGAAAAGGCTATTGTAGATAATCTTCAAGCAGTGCAGGTTGTGGAAGCCATGAAGGATATAGATTCCTTTGTTTGTATCCCAGGGAAATCGTTGCGCCGAGCGAAGATTATGGGATGCAGCAAAGGAATCCGAGAGAGCGACGACCCCGCTGTCAATATTGATGGAGTGCCAGAGGGCGTCGGCTAAAGCTGTGTTGTGGGAGGAGTAGTCGGTTAGGAGAACATAGGGCTCTGTGTGGGTGAGATGAAGGTTGGCGTATTTTGATGGGGGGTTGATGGGATTTGTGGTTCGAGGCGATGACGGAGAGGGTGATTATGTTGGCAGCGAGGGATAGAAGCAGGATGGGGACCAGAATGAGAAAATGACGCCTGTAGGTTTTCTCGCTCCCAAGGCTATCTGCAGGTAGGCCTGGATCTTGACTGGTCGTGTCGATATCCTTGAGAAGACCAGTGTGTTCTTCCTTGTCCTCAGATGAAATTCCCATTGTGGGCAGACTCCAGAATTAACTGACTAGATAAGGATTACAAGAATATGTCGAGTAGAGGGGCAGCACGATCTTCCACGCTAAAAGTTTCGCGAATAAAATCAAATCATGGACACCCCCGGCATGCTGCAGCTCGCCCCCCCTGCAGTTACTCTCGAAAGGCATGCACCAACATGTTCCAAATCAAACCACCAGAGCTTTTGCCCTTCCCGGTCAACCTTGCCTGTGACCCTCTCAATCAAGTAATCATGCCGAGCTCACTGTCATTCCTGGGTGCCTCCCTGGTGCTTGTACAACCTATGTTGTATAGCCATTCCTGAGATGATTATCGTTTGGAAATCATCATCTTGATCCCTTTTACTAGCCAGACGTTTCAAATTTTGTCATCTTGAATACCTGATTGGTATACGAACTCATTCTTCTCGCTTCATTTGACTTGTATCAGAATCTGTTATACAATCCAACAAAGCTTGAAGGACGGAGTTTTCAGCGCTCGCGCGTTTCGCCGAGAAGCGGCCAACCATGGCATACCACCGCGCCCTCCCACTCGTCAATGACCGTCTGGGGTTAATAGTCATGACATCGATATTCTTCTTGACAGGGATATTCGCAGTAGTGCTTCGCTTCTACTCCAGACGACTCACTAAAATACCCCCGGGCCCTGATGACTGGTTCGCACTGTCTTCTCTTGTGTGTCTATCTTCCATTATACAAGTCCGGGATTTTCAGCAACGCTATACTGATGTTGACATGAACAGTTCTTCGTCCTCGCCTTGAACGGCATCTTCCTCTCGGGCATAATACAAGGCGCAATAACCGGTCACTCTATAGTTCTAAACAACTGGCCTCAACCCAGCGCGCTCGAAGTCCTAGTCCAGAAATATAAATATGCTTTCCAGACAACAGAAAAAATCGCCTTTGGACTAATCAAACTCTCCATCTTGTTGCTTTGGAAGCGAATGTTAAGTCCTATCCGCTCGTTCCAGCTCTTTTGCTGGTTTATGATTGGGATTGTCGCTGCCTGGAGTATATCGTTCTTCTTTGCAACCTTGTTTCAATGCGGAACGAACTGGGACTGGAACTGGGCACCGATCAAATTCTTCTTGACCGAATGTACTGATACGCTAAACATGCTGACGGTATTCTGTGGGACGGACTTGCTGACGGATTTTGTGATTATGTTTATGCCTGTGCCGATCATCTGGAAGTTGCAAATGTCGATTAAGAAGAAGATCGGGGTTACCAGCGTTTTTATGGTCGGAATATTGTAAGTTTTTTTTCTAATCTTACCCTGTGGAGAGTCAGGAAATGAGTAAATGCTCACCCTGGGGTCTTATAGCACGATCGGCGCAGGCGTTGCGAGGACATACATCTATCTTGTGACATCTTATGACAAGGAAGATAACCCTGATTTCATTGCCGATTTTACACTTTTTATTCTGTGGTCAGAGATCGAGGTCAATGTGGCTATGATTGTTTGCTGTATGCCAGTCTTTGGGCCTGTCCTTGGACAATGCCGCGATACTCTATATCGTCGTTTTGGTCGGTCAAAGGATGGCGAGTTTGGCCTCCTTGGACATTCTACATCGGCATCAACGAATGACGGGAAAACACCTCTCACAAATTTCAGTGCGAGTGGATCCTATGCACATCGTGACCAAGGGTCTTACGAAGCAAAACCGGAGGGCCCGTGAGCGGGCAGAGCTCAGACATAGAGATTCGCTAGCCAGAGCCCCAGGGAATGTAATATCAGGAATCAGGAAGTACGGGATGGGGAGGGATCTATAAGATTGCTATTTGATCCCATTCTATTCAACGAATGTAATGCATATTAATTCCTAGGGAGTAAGACTAAATCAAAAGAAATTCATAAAGTTTAGGCCATGTTCACCCTGGGGGCCGTGGGTTTCCCATATGAAAATGTAACTACCCGGTATATGGACCGTACAAACAAAGAAAACGTAAAAAGCAAACATACCCAAGCAGGGCAGCTAGGCATCTAGGCATGATCGCCACTAACGGCAGATCATCCGTAGTATGTAGTAATCCGTACTCAGTACATCGGTACACATCAACCCCTTACAGACACCTCAACTCTGATTTTTCCTTATCTTCTCACTCATTTATTGCGAGGGATAATTCAAAAGGTTTAGGACCTTTAGCCTCTGATATCTTTCTGGTCACGATGACTAACCGCTTGTTTGCGTCTGTGGTAGCCGTGCTTCTGGCAATCATCGCAATATATTACCAGGAACTTTTCAATACTGTTTTTTCAAGTTCCAGTCTCAAGGTAGTGGACTCGACACGAGATATCACATACCTGGGCAGTCTCTCCCCTGCTGGGATTGAGCATTTCCAGAACATCTACTACGCTGAGGCGCCCACAGGGCAACGACGTTTCGCAGCGCCCGTCCCAACAAGACCAGGGAAGGGATCTGTCATTGACGCAACCAGGGCTGGCGCCTGGTGTCCACAAGCAACGGGGGATATACTTCCGTTCACAAGTAAGGTGACTGACATTAGTGAAAACTGCCTGAGCTTGCGAATTGCGAGACCGGCAAGAACACAGAAAGATGCCAAACTTCCAGTTGCGGTTTGGATTCATGGAGGTTAGTGTACTGCTCTGGAGGTAAGCGCTGCAGACGCTAATGAGCAGACAGGTGGCCATGCTTTAGGCTCAGCTTCCGATATTCTCTATGAACCTGACGGCTTGGTCAATCTTGCTGCTGCTGATGGGCAGCCGCTAGTGTATGTTGGCATAAATTATCGCCTCGGCTGTAAGTCATGCACCAAAACCCTATAAGACTCTTCGCTGCGGTTGTGGATAGATTACTGATTGATATCAGTGTTCGGGTTTGCCACTAGCGAAACAATGATTGAGAGGAAAGACACAAATGCAGGGCTTCGAGACCAGCGTGCTGCTTTAGAGTGTACGTACCTCACTGCTCTCTTATATCACTCACCATAAGAAGCTGAAACGTCGAGCAATCAGGGGTCCGCGACAATATTGAATCTTTTGGCGGTGACCCTAATAAAGGTATACTCAGCCACCGTTTCCTGTATTCAATCACCAATATACTGAGGCGCTTTCTAGTCACTGTCATCGGACAAAGCGTGGGGGCCAGTGACATTGGTCTGCAGCTAACGGCCTTTGGTGGGGATCGAGATGTTCCATTTCAGCAAGGAGTGTGAGTGAGTCGAGGCCTAAACCTGCGCAACGCTAACCCACAGCCCTAGAATGATGTCTGGCGGTCCAGGGCTGAACTTCAACAGCCAGCCGGAGCTGGTTGCGAGTAACACGGCTGCGATTGCACAGCAAGTAGGATGCGGCGGCGGTCAAGATTTGCAGACACTAGAGTGTCTCCGGGCTGTTCCCTTTGAGCAACTGACCAACCTATCAGTCACTGCATCTCGCGCAGCCCGTCCGCCTTTCGGTGAAGGATACTTTTACCCAACAATCGATGATGACTTTATTCAAGATAGACCCTCAGAGCTGACGCGCAAAGGAATGTTTACCAAAGGAATTCCCTTGATAGCTTCCTGGGTCACAAACGACGGCGCTTGGTACGCACTTCCAACTACTGCGACGGACGACGAAGTTCTAGGTAGTTTTGGACTCTGGCTGCACAAGCTTTCAACACCCACGAAAGAGAAGCTCCTACATCTGTACCCTCTAGAGGACTTCGAACACATGATCAGGCCAGAGCATGAGGGCCAGCTTTCACCGCAGTACTACCGCGCTGCCCAGCTGAATCGCGACATCTGGTTCACTTGTCCAGTCCTTGACTTTACTTGGCAGTACGTCAAAAATGGAGGCGTAGGAGCCTCACAGGTACGGCTGTATGAGTTCAATCAAACCAGATACACGCCAGTATTCGATTTCATGGGTGTGTCAATGTGGGGTGTGGCTCATCTCAGCGATATCCCCTACTTGTTCGTCAATGACCACCTGGGGGCCGGTGCAGATAACTCGGACGATCAGCTTGCGCTAGCTCGAGATTTCAGTCGGACAATTATTCAGTTCGTGCATCCCAAGGCCTCAGACGATCGGCTTCAGTCATGGCCGCCTGCCTTCTCGAAAGACTTTGCGAAACCTTCAACAGGCGACGTGCCTAGCCATATCTCGCTCCAGCTGTTTGGTGGGCCTCATGGCTCGGTGCCCACTACATGTAGCGAAGATACTGGAGCTGACATGGAGGCCATGACCGACGCAGAGAAAGCACTTCATTGGGAAAATTTGTTCAGTCGCTGTGCATTTCTCAATAGCCAACAGTTTAGAGAGGAAGCAGGGGTCTGACGAGCAGACCCTTTTGCTATTTTTTTCCTGGGACGGTGATGCACCTGATTTGACTTATTTAGGTAGTCGTGGAGTGCCCGCTCTTAGGGAATATCGAACATCTTCTTGTCAGCCGCTTCAACCTAAAGCTATTAAACTCACGTTCGTTCCTATCCGGACTAACCGTATATGCGTTACTCCTACTGTCTCGGGTAGGGATGGAAGACAAACTCGCTTCGTAGAGATCAGGGGACAAGGTTGTGTTGGGGAAGCCAGGGCTACTCGATGATTCCCTCCCCATGCACAAGGGATGGTGCATGAATTTTGCGTTCACATCCAACACTTGACATTTTGTACAGTACTGCCTTTTTCTCTTTCCAGCTAATTATGCAAATGAGAAGTCGACAAAACCTGAGGAGGCGACTGGAAAAGACATGAAAAGGTCCTGTAAGTGGAAACATATATATATATATATGCATATATAGTCCGGGATCCTCCACATCGACGTAACAACGGCCTAAAAACAGCCTAGCTCTCTTTTGAATCAAATGTCAATTTATATCATTAATGCCAAGCTATCGCCCATATTCTTAATCCTTTACTTACAAGAGATATGTCGGTCCCATATAGAGATTACTTCAAGTCAAGGAGGTCACACCCTATAGACTTCGTACACTAGACAAAGTGTTAGAATCATCAAAACCCGACTGTGTGAGAATATATCAAGCTATGCATATTCTCTAACGGACCTAGGTAGACTAGGAAGGTTAATGAAGGTACACATAATGCGGAGTATACAGCCTATCAGCTCACTGACATATGGCTTGCTGATGTTCTGTATTTGGGTGGTAGGGTGAGAAACAGGTGAGCGCCGCTGTAGCATTACAAGACCTGGGTGCGAATGGGGTAAGAATAATAACTACCCCTGCCAAGTACATGGGGGACATTACGCTACATTTCTTCCCTGAAACAAGTTTTTGACATTTGCACAAAATATACTGAAGCCTTTCCAACGCCTGGCTCAGCTTGCTCTTATTCCTCGGTTGCTTTGCATGGAGATGCTAAATCACCTATTCTGGCGATATAACCTATGCTGTAGAGTATGACTAGCTTGACTTTGATGCAAATGCAAGTCAGTTCATATTTTCTGACTGTGAAATCATTGTGCTGGCTGACAAAATGCATCGACTCGAAGTGCTAGATAATGCTGTACAGACCCAACACGTCCATCGCCCAAACGTTTGCCAGGGAACCCTCCATTCTAGATATATATGCCTTCAGGGCTGATTCATGGCAGATTCATTAGAGCACCATATGACAGCCCTAAAGAAGAAGATGCCGAGGGCAAACCAAAAGGTACCGGCGAAGGTGGAACTCACAAGTTATGCCCAATCTAGTTCGACTTCCCTGAAAATGAAACTAGAGCATGGTAAGACTCGGTCAAAGGCCACAAGCCCTGAGCAAAACCAAGCGCCCCGACAACAAGAAGCACATAATATGCAATCGTCCACCCAACACCCAAACCATTACCACCCCGAACCCCGATAAGATCCTCATCAGAATCCTCCTTCCCCCTTGTTATAGGGGGCCCGATAGGCTGACCGGCTTCAACACGTCCCCAAAACCGCGGTAATCCAGACCAGTTACAGAAACCATGGACGAGAACAACGGCTAGCAACGAGCCGGTCCGCAAATAGACGAAAGTCGCATACCAACCGAAGATAGTCGTGTACCCGAACTGGAAGAGCGAGCGCAGCAGCGCAGCCCAAGCTGGCGTATCCGGGTGCGTCAAACGGAACTCATAGAAGTGGTGCACATGCGCAATACCGAAATACAGCGGCACAAGAAACACAATTCGGACCGGCGAGGTGTGTGCTAGCAAATGTAGCGAAACCATCCCGGATCTGAAGATGACTTCTTCTGTGAAGGGGCCCTAGGGGGATGTCAGATTGGGAAGTCCGAGAAAGAAAAAAGAAAGAGAGAAGAGGAAAATAAACAAAAGATGCAGGTGCTTACCGCAACATAATTCCTCCAGCCAATCCAGCCACCGAGACTCTCAGAGAGCCTACTAGGACGAAACCAGAACTTCCACTCGCCCTCGACAATGCCACGCTCAAAGAGTGGGCCCAGGAACAGGATGGCCGTTAGGAGAAGACTCCGAAAGGTCTCTAGCACACCGACGGGCCAGCAGCCGAGGAGTCGAATGCCAGCGCCGATGGAGGAATTCCCTTTCTCAACAATGAGCCAGAGAACAAAGACTGAGCTCACGATACAGGAGCCCGTGACTACACGGATGCGGGCGCGAATCACGGACGGTGCATCGCGACTGAGAGTCGGTGATGGGCGTGTTTTTGGGGAGAGATAGAATGGCACCACGTAAAGCAATGTGAGGATGACCTGAACGGGGAGTTAGATACAAGGATTCAGAGTAGACAGTTTTTCGTCTTTTTTTCTTTTCAGTTCTAGGAATTCTACATACAGACAGAAGGGCGACCGTATATTCTGACAGAGCAGGCTCATCTAGATTGGTTAGTTGACACTATTTTTGTTCACGAGTCCCCTACATACCTTGCTTGAAGTATAGACTCTTAAGCCGAGCCATTATTCCTACCGGCGCCATGTGAAGAGTTTGGAGTGGGAGATGGGTCTCTTATGGGGTTGATGGGACAGTTGGAAAGACCCTTCTTTGTTCCTACCGTACGCAGGATGGGCTGGTGATTGGTTGGAAGTAGTACAATACAGTATGGTACTGTCATCTTTTGATACAGCATCAATGCGAACGCCTACGATTGTTCTTGATACTCGAGTCCATACTCCGTAGACTGGACATATATGTTGTCTTCCATTCCTATATGTGAGTTTCTACCCAGGGAATATGTCTCACCAACAAAGTGTCAAAACCTGATTCGAACTAGTGGACCGTGCCAAACCGGGAGGAAAATCGAAGCTCTCCCCCCTTATTGAGCTCCTGAATTGCAAGTCAAATGCGAGGGATCGTGGGTATTTATATTCTCCGATCACGAGGATATCAATATTTGTACATTTCATTACTTCGTACTCCGTATTTATTATTAGCATCTGTTCCTCTCGGCTGTGCCCCCCCTGACGCTATAAACTAGTGGCAGTTCATCAGGATCAGGGACAACGCACACAGGATCCACATAAACCACGCGATTAAATGAGTAAACATGTTTTAAGGAGTCAATTGTGGCTCTGAAATGACTGAAACTCCGCATAAATATGGATATCTGTATATTAAACTTGATAGTCCAGGTACCAAGTCCATATAAAGATATAAACAACTCACGAACACCCCCCGAAAAAAAAAAAAAGCGAGCGAATTGTGAATTGTCCAGTACTTTTGTTCTCATTTTGACCAATCACTCAGAACCCCCCAATTGTCAACGCCTTTTTCTTTTCCCTTAGCCCATGCAGCCTGCATAACCCCCTGCCGGTCTGGCTCAATCGAATCTCACTTGCTTAGACGCTCACCGCTGGCCAACAAAATCCTCCCCCTTCATCCAAGTGTCTCAAGTTCTGCTTCTCGTGCTTCCTACTCCTGTGCTTTTCGTGTCCCTTTTTTGTTTTGAAACGTTCTAATGATTGTTTTCCTGTCGCTCTTTAATGGCTTTTGTTTGAAACAAACTAATTGACGAACTTCTGCACGTCTACCCACGCTCTTTTGATGAACATCAGCCTATAGAACCCATATCGAAGGGTACCACATTCTTTACCTCGAATACTCGGAAAACAAACATTGAACAATCCACTCATTTTGACCTCTTGTTTACAGCTTGACGCCTGTCAACCTTCGCCTTTGATTTATCCCGTCTTTTCAATCAATGCTATAAAGTCCAAATAATGTCTTTTCCCGCTCGGTCGACCTCGCCTCGCGCGCGAAGGGCATTGCACGAGCGTACCCCCTCTCACTCAAATGAAAGATCCCCAGCCCAGTCATTGCGCATGGTGCCGAACGAGGAGCTTGATATGTACACTGCGACCCCATTTCCGACGAGACCCGAGCAGATCCTGTTACCTCTCCCCGGCAAAGGACAACAACAATACATATCAGACACCGGCTTCAGCTATTCAGATCATTTAGGATCGTCGGCATATTCCCCACCGGTTTTCACCCAACCGACACACAACAGCCCGAGAGACCACTCAATTGGTGAGAGTTGGGATGTATCCTCCACCGTGGATACCGGCAACTCGCCTCCGCAATTGTGGGATGACGACCCGTCCTCCAGCAAGTCATCGTTGCCAGACGCGGGGAAAGCACCAGACTATGGGTCCGAGAGTTCAGAACCCGAGTACTCGGATGACGAGATGATGGTCCTGCCGACGACCACGCCAACTATCAAAGCCGTGGTCTCCGAGTCATCCATGTCGCCAAAGTCCTCCGCGGAGTCTGTCACTAGTTATTCCAGCCCTGTGCTCGAACAACACGGGGCCCCGTCAAGTCCGAACTTTGTTATGCTGGATAACTCGAGCGTGAACTTCAACAGTTCGGCTACAGCATCGGAGTCAGATCCACGAACAAACTCCCTCTCTTCGTATAATTCACGAGGAACTGTCGTCAGACATGTCGGCTCTGCACCCTGGTTCCAAAATGCCTTCCAACCAGCTTCATCGGATCATTCAAGCTATGGTTCCCCGTCATTCAACTCCAGTCCACCCGCCCAGTCCATCGCTTCATTCCACTCCAGCCCACCCGCGCAATCAATAGCCTCATTCCGTTCATCATCCAGGGCACCATCAGGCAGCCGTTCCCAATCAGCAACTTCTTCTTCGCGCAGCCTCCGCTCCGCTTCTGACTTGCAGGCAGCCATTGACAATGGCGTGCCTATTCAATACCCGCGGATCCGCGCGCCATCGTCTTCAAGCTCCCGTGCCGGCACATCAGTTACATCAGAACGCGACTTTACTCCCGGCCCCCCATCCGGACGTTGTAATCCCCACCTGGCATCAGGACGCTGGAACCCGCACCTATCAACAGTCTCATCCGTCTGGTCCGCTGATGAATTAAGTAACCTCGCCGGACAAGCAGACACAGACTCAGACCGCGAAATGACAGAGCCGACCCCACCACCACCAGCAGCCCTAAACCCAGAAACAACCAGATCCTCCGTCTGGCTCGTCGACTCCTCAAACGACAGCGAGGATGAGCGCCTCGACAGTCTGACCAAGCTCCCCACTCGCCCAGTGTTCTCCCAAAGTCTCTCCTCCGGCTCAAAACGAAGTAACAGCACCCGCAGCCTTCAACGCCCAGGCACGGGGACAAGCACAATCCTCAACATCCTCCCAACCTGGGCAAAAGTCTATTACCTACGCGAACCAATGGGCCTCAACTCAACACTCTCCATGATGGATGCTAGCCGTCCATCATCTATTCGTCCACCATCTACTTATCCACCATCTACCCGCCCTCCATCTACCCGCCCACCATCCACGCGTCCAGGAACCGGAACCTCAAACTCAAGCGTCTTCAACCTCGTCCCAGGCCCCCTTAACGTCCCCCGCCCCCGCTCCCCAGAACGCATAGCATCTTCCCCACAGCGAAATTCAATTGCCCAGCGCGGTCTAGAAAATGACCCGCGCGATCCACGCGCCCACTGGGTCCCCTCACCGCAGCCCGAGGACGGCGAGTTCACCGGCAGCCACCTCCACCGCCTCCGACACAGTTGGTCACCACACCTCATCCCAGACCGACGTGTTCTACAACGCTCGACAAGCCGATGGCGTGCGCCATCCCTCGACTCTCGCAACGAGCCCGTTTTCGGTCGTCGAAATATCCAGGTCTATTCATTCTGCCTGGGTTTTATTTGCCCTGTTGCATGGTGTGTTGCAGCGTTCCTGCCACTACCGCCGAAACCGAAGATGCCGCAGATGGTCGAGTATGAGTCTAGTTCGGATGTTGGTGCTGCGCTTGAGGCCCAGTGTGTGAATTTACAGCAAAGGAGGAGAGATAATGCGCGCTGGTGGAGGAATCTTAATCGATGGATGATCTCCCTTGGGGTTGTTATTGTTGTTGTTATCATTGTGTTGGCTGTTATTGGGACTACCACGGGTTTTTAGGGTTATTCACCGCATTTTGACTGCGTTTCATCGCGATCTTGACTATTTGGCGCTCTTACGACTTGGACTTTCAACTCTTGAGGCTATCCTCAATTTTTTTCTTCTCTTCTTGGGATTGATTTCCCTCAACCAGTCGACTGGTTTCTTTTCTCCTTGCTGTGCACTAATACTCCAGGCATCTCCTTGCTGTGATCTGGATGTTTCTTTCTCTTCTTGGTTATTGACTATTTAGCCTCCTGCTTCTATGCTCTCCTTCTTCCTTTCTCTGCATTCTCCTTGATTGCACATTTCTTTTCTGAACGATTCCACGACTTCAACGCACATAAATATCCTCTTCTGTTTTACATCTTTCTGTGCATTTCAACTTTTGCCTTCGGACTTGTCCATGGCCTCATATGTTTGCTGGATTCCTATGCATGGCGACTGCCTTTGTTTGCATTTCTGCTACACATTCGTGTAATAGATACATTGTTTGTTGTGAGTTTGCTTTTTACTGCTTGAATTCGATGTTGAATTTTGTTTTACCGCATACGCATACGCATACGCATACGCGTATTCGTTCTCTGCGAATTAACTCTCTTCGGCGTTCTATATTGCATCACAATTTACTTGGCTTGGTATACTTGACCGTAACTGAATAAAAGCTTGCTGCTATTTTCTAAGCAACCCATGCCCCGGAAATTGAAATCTATAAACACATTCACTGACCTCAACGAGAGAGACCATTCTCGATCAAGTCATTAAAAAACATAAAACCAAGAAAAGACTCCTAGTTATTTTTTCACAGCAAAGCGGAGAACACCCAAAAGACACCCCCATGAGCCAATTCAAATTGACCTTTTAATCCCATGCTATCCAATGAATCCATCACTCACAGTGACTCAACCAATACTGTCACCTACAGCTTCCGCCCAATCTTCCCCTCAACAGCAGCCTTCAACTCCTCACCCGTAGGCATCTTAACCGTACTTCCCCGCCTAGCACGGAACTCAATCTCGGCCCTGATCTCAGCAACAGCCTCGTCAAAGTCACGCTCAGGATCATTCGGCAAGCCAAGGTCGGGCGGACGCACAGAGTCGGCGCTAGTGGTGCGACCGACATAGGGACGGTTGCGGTGCTTTAGCTGGGAGACAAGGTAGGTTCTGAGTGGGGAGAAGGAGGCGAACGCGACCAATGAAATGGCGCAGTTGATGATGCCGTAGAAATAGACACGGGACCATACAGTGACAGACTTTTCGAAGCTGAGGATGATGAAAGGAACAACAGCGAAGGAGAGGGTTAGCTGTGTTGCTAGCCAGCTGAGGATGTCGTAGTAGCGCTTGTTTGGTGTTGGCTTGGTGCCGTCCGGTGTAAGGAAGAAGGGGCGCACGTAGCGGCGGAAGTCTATTGTACGGTTAGTTCTTGGAGGGGTAGGTCATGGAGGAGATATCTTGGTCGTGCTTACTCTTTGCCACGGTCTGGATGAATGAGCCCAGAACAAAGGTCATGTAGTATCCTGGGTGGAAACCGTGCCAGAGCGCACTGGTGGCGAAGGTAGCCATGCTGGCGCGGAAGCCGGGTTTCTTGCCCCTGGGCGTGACGCGGAGATAGACGTAGTTGCGCAGCCAGTGATTGGTGTTCTTATTCCAGTTACCCAGATAAGCGTGCGAGTTCTGCGCAGTCTCCATGCCCCACGGATCAACGTTCTCCAGTCGGTTCCAGAAGACCTTGCCTGTCTTCGGATCGAAGCTGTTGTATCCCATACCGGATAGAATACATGCACCCTCGGTCAAAGCCCAGACACCGTAGTACTTAGTGCGAGCGGTAAAACCAAGCATGTGCACGTTGAAAACGCGACGCAGGAAGGAATACTGCAAGAACGCGTCCGAAAGCACAAAGTCGACGGTAAAGTATGAGCTCAACTGGATGAAGGCGAAGATCCAGATCAGACCAGCGGCGGCTTTCTTTGCAGCAGGTCTTCCGCTACGAGGGATCTTGCGCTTCTTTCGGGTGGGTGGCACCTTGGAGGGGTCAGTGCCCGGAGGGACTTCGAAGAGCGTGGTGTCGATCCAACGGCGGTAGTCCACATATTCGAATGAGGGACCGGCGAAGAGAGAAGGGAAGAACATGACATAGCCCAGGTAGTCGACAATCCCCGGGAAATTTGTAATAGCAGAGTACTTCTGCGAGTCCGAGAGTCGGTCCTTAGGCAGACGACCGTCATGAACATTCCAGCAGAACGAGGTAAGTTTCATGACAAGGACCATCTGCGCACCAGTTATGTCAACGGCCCCGCTCTCGTTCGCCCTCTGACGTTCGATGTGGTTAATCGACATGTGGCCCATGAGGAAAAGGAACCCAATCCATGGCATCAGTGATCCATCCACATAGTAGGCGATTGCATAGGTGCCCGCGGCACTATAGAGTAGGGTGCGCAGACCATCCCAGAGGTCGAAGAGTCCAACTATATAGAACAACGAGACGGCGATAATGAAGGCATTCTTTCTCCAGGGTTGGCCGTCGGGGATACGTTTGAGGAGGGCGGCCAGTGGGTATGAGATGAGGAATGAGCCGATCAACTTGACTGGACTTAGGGGTCAGAAACTGCTAACAAGGTCGGGAGCCTGTGGAAATGAAACATCGTACGCTCATCAGTCGATGCGCCAGTCAGTCGAGCTGGCACCTCAAATACTGCGGGGGGAGAGGTTAGTTAGACCGAGGAGCTTAAGCTTGGGAGCTGACATACTCTGATCTACATAGGGCAACATTGTTGACCTTGTAGTAAGGGAAGGAAACAGACAAAATCGAAAAGAAGAGAAGATTTAAGGTGAAGAAACAAAACTGGCAAGGGGAAAAACAAGAAAACCAGCTTGTCATGTGGAAAGTGGAATTTCCACCCCCAACCACTTCCCGCTCTCTCCACAATCATCGCCTCGATCTTCAACAGCTTCAACAGCGTCAGCAGATCCAGCAGATCCAGCAGATTCAATCAGGAGCGGGTATAACTGCAACTCAATTCAATTTAAATTTAATTCCCAGATCTGCCGACCATGGACGTCGTCGCGGCTGCCTCGGGGTACATCTCCAAGATGGTCACCGTGGGTGAGTCGGCAGGAGCTTCGTCATCAAAGATGAAGATCTTGCTTCTGGATAGCGAGACAGTGGGTGATTTTCCCCTGCCAGAAATCTACTGATTTCGATCGCTAACTACTATGATTCTAGGTCCCTATTGTTTCCACGGCCATTACTCAATCCGCCCTCCTCAATCATGAGGTCTACCTTATCGACCGCTTGGACAACACCGCGCGCGAGAAGATGCGACATCTGCGATGTATCTGCTTTGTGCGACCATCACCTACCTCTATTCAATTTTTGATCGACGAGCTTCGAGAACCTAAATACGGCGAATATTACATTTACCTTAGCAACATTATCCGCAAATCTGCCCTCGAGCGGCTTGCGGAAGCGGACAGCCACGAGGTCGTTCAGTCAGTTCAGGAACAGTTTGCCGATTCTCTTGTGGTAAACCCGGACCTTTGCTCTTTGGGTATGGGTTTCCCGTTGCAACGGATATGGAGCCAATCGCCGGACTTATGGAACCCGGATTCACTACAAAGAGCCACGGAGGGGGTTCTGGCCCTGCTCCTCGCCTTGAAAAAGAACCCGCTTATCCGCTATGAAAAGAACAGCCTTTTGGCCCGCAAATTGGCGACGGAAGTCCGATACCACATCACGCAGGAGGAGCAGCTATTTAACTTCCGCCGGACGGATACACCGCCTATCCTACTCGTTCTTGACCGTCGCGATGATCCCATCACTCCTTTGCTCACTCAATGGACGTACCAGGCGATGGTACATGAGATGCTTGGTATTAACAATGGCCGCGTGGATCTACAGGATGTACCTGACATCCGACCGGAACTGAAAGAGATTGTCCTGGCTCAGGACCAGGATCCATTCTTTAAGAAGAATATGTATCAGAACTTTGGTGATCTGGGCCAGAACATTAAAGAATATGTGGAGCAGTACCAAACTAAAACACAAAGCACTGCGAATATTGAGTCTATTGCCGACATGAAGCGTTTCGTGGAGGATTATCCTGAATTCCGCAAGCTGGCTGGCAATGTGAGCAAGCATGTTACCCTAGTGGGCGAACTCAGTCGACGCGTCGGTGAGGATACTCTCCTTGATGTGAGCGAGTTGGAGCAGAGCTTGGCATGCAATGATAACCACTCCAATGATCTTAGGGTATGTTGAAACGTTAAATTGATGATGCTTTGCTCACGAGCTCACTTTTCACCAGTCACTACAACGAATCATCGCGCTGCCAAATGTGCCATCTGATAATAAACTGCGCCTGGTGGCTCTCTACGCGCTCCGCTATGAGAAGCAACCCAACAACGCGCTACCAATTCTCCTTGATCTCCTCATCACAGCCGGCGAAGTCTCATCTAACCGCGTAAATATTATCCCCAAGCTCCTCGCCTATCACCACTCCCTCCAAGCCCCTCCAGTCGCAGGCGGGTTCTCCGACCTGTTTGAGTCAACATCCTTCTTCTCCGGCGCAAGAGACCGTTTCAAGGGTCTCAAAGGCGTCGAGAATGTCTACACGCAACACTCCCCTCGGTTGGAAGTGACTCTTCAGAACCTCATCAAAGGCCGCTTGAAGGAACTACAATACCCCTTCCTTGAGGGTAGTGGGCACACGCGGGACAAGCCGCAAGACATCATCATCTTTATGGTTGGTGGTACCACGTATGAGGAGGCCAAGATGGTGGCGCAGGTCAATGCCAGTTCCCCCGGTGTACGAGTCGTTCTGGGTGGCACTTCCATTCACAACAGTACCACCTTCCTGGAAGAGGTTGACGATGCAGTGGGCACCTGGCCGGAACCAGGACCTACGACGGCTGCGGGACGGCTGCGCCGGGAGGTGGGACGATAATTGTTTTAGTGTGTATATGGGTATTGGAATAGCATTATATCAAGTAAAGTCGTGGGGAAATGGGTCGTTTTCATAGAAAGAGAACCGGACAAGAATGATGTCCGGCACAATTTATTTCACATTTGTCGCTATTCCGCCCCGTAAAGAGAAACGTCAAATGCGGAGAGCTTCTCCTTCCTCTTCTCCCCTCACCTGAGAGCCACAACATGGAGCAGACATCCCCAAAAGGAGGACCCTCCTCCCCACCATCGCGCGAACCAAGACTTCATCTCCCTTCAACCACTGATCCGCCCGGCCCCCAGAATCCCGCCAAACCCCTCGTATGGCTGGTATACAACCCTTCAAGCAACGAAAAGCACCAATACACTAACCCACCTTTACAGATCTTCGGCGCAACCGGCCACATGGGCCGCTCTTTAGTAAAAACCGCCCTCGCCAACAATGACCTAGTAGCAGCAGTGGGACGCACATACGAGAACAGCCCCGCATCGATGAAAGAGCTTGAATCGGCGAACTGCATCGGACTCCTATGCGACGTACGAGCGCGAGAGACTGTGAAGCGCGTTATTGACCAAACAATCACACGCTTCGGCCGAATCGACATCATTGCAAACTGCTCCGGCTACGGCGTGATCGGCGCCTGCGAAGACCAAGATGAATTCGACATCCGCAACCAATTCGAAACAAATTTCACAGGCACCCTGAACATGATCCAGCTATCTCTACCACATTTCCGCCAGCGTCGCGCGGGGAGGTACCTCATTTTCAGCTCGACGTCTGGCGCGCTCGGCGTGCCGGGTCTCGGACCCTACTGCGCCTCCAAATATGCCGTTGAGGGTTTGATGGAGAGTATGCTATATGAGGTGGATAGTTTTAATATAAAGGGTACACTTGTCGAGCCCGGTCATATGCGTCGTGATGATAATGCGGATGTTGTTACTCCCGGGGCTTTTGCGAATAACCCCTCCGAACATCATCTGTCGTCGCCGTTGCCGCTCTACGGTCATTTTTTGGTGAAGCCACCCAGTGAGCCGTATAATACGACTACGTCGCCGGCGGCGCATGCGCGACGTATGCTCATGTGGCTCGGTGATAAGCAGCCTGCTAGCGCGGTTAAGGCGGCGCATCTGGTTTGGCAGCTTGGTCATTGCTCTTACCCGCCACTGAGGCTGATTCTGGGGACGTATGCTGTGGAAAGTATACGGGATCGGTTGAAGTGTATTATTGAGGAGATTGAGGATTGGAAACATCTCAGTTTCCCGATGGGGGAGACGCAGCCGGTTGGTGGTGGGCGTGATAGGTCTGTTCAAGCTGAAGGGAGTGAAAAGGGTAATAGATGATTTTGGGACTCGTCAATGCCTCAAATGATACCCAAATCCGATCAAAAAGCTTCCGAAGAGGATAGCTCTCCTACATCTTCCCACTGTGGGGGGTTTCTCATGTGGGAACCTCTATAGACCTTCTGGGGTTGAATGCTTCATTCGCCGAACAAACGAGCATCTGCTTTATCGCCCTCGGACTTCGAGGCTACGCTTTAACGAACTATATTACATGAATACTGTACGCAATATGAATGCTTGCCTCCTTGGTAGATCCCAAATTCTATATCATTTGTCCAGCATATTGAGCTCCAAACTACATATGTATGCTTAGACTCGAGGCATCGGCACAGAAACATCTATTAATTTTAAAATATGAGCAATTCTCTCCAAAATTATTCTTCTAGGACATGGACCAACGTCCACACTTCTTTTCTTCCATATTCATCCTTTTTTTCTCGACAAGGGCTTTGCAGGTAGGGTTTGCTTCCATGGCTCTCTTTTCCATTTTGCTTCGCTGTATTGACTTTGTATACTCCTGGCCTCCCATCTTCATAGAGTGGTGGATCTACTTTGCTATTACCGGTTGGCTTAGCTTGTTGATCCTGCCAGGATGGTGCATCTTTTGAATTCTCCCTTTGGGTCTTTTCCGTCCCATGAGTCATGTATCAAATGTTCTTTAAACAGGGCATTCAGCTCAGATAACCCAATTTTTCCAGATTTCTCTTCCTGCTTCATCCTCAGGGTCCATATGTACGCAGATTCAAGTGAAATGGAGTAAATTTCCATCGAGGAAAGAATATCAAGCAGTATCATCGCTTCATTGGCTCAAATTTGCGCTTGCGCAGCATGCTGGAACAATTTCCCACTTCAACGACCATTTGTCGATGTTGGTGTTCTCAATTCAGCTCCCGTCCAAGATCCATTATGATAGAAAGCTATGGTGGTGCAATGCGCGGTAAACTCAGGAACTCTCTAAAATGAGACTTTTCCCGAGGTAGGTCGACTAGCAAGCTGACGGATCACGATATGTTGGAGCGGCCTGGGCATGCCATTCTCACAGTGATGTGATATTTACTCTTGGTATACGACATGATTTGTTCTTCTTTACTGTTCCTAAGCACTTAAGCCAAAAGGAAATGAGGGAGAAGAGAAAGCTCTGTACAATGCCTACCAGAATTAATATACAAATCTGACGAAGATAGTAATACAAATCCCACATCTATATAGAAAAGGGAGATCAGAAAACAACATTAACAAGCTTACCCCCCTTGACAACAATCACCCGTCGTCTTTTCTCCCAATCGTTCTTCTCCTGAAGCCACAACTTCCCCTCAGCAGTCCCCAAGACACGGCTGACAATCCAATCCTGTTCTTCCTGTGAGGGAGCTTTCTTGCCCTGCGGAGACTGAGTCTCCATGCGCGGAATGGTCACAGCGCAGCGAAGCTTTCCGTTAATCTGAACAGCGACAGTTTGGCCGCCGCGAGATGAGAGGGTTTCCGCTTGGTCGGAGGTGAGGAGGGTGCTGGGCCAGGGCGACGAAAGGACTGACGGCACTGGTGTTGCAGAGCTGGTATTTGTCGTTGCGTGCAGGACTTCCCATGATTCAGAGGCCAAAGCTGGGGCGATGGGGGCTAACAGACGGAGGAGGGATGAGACGGATAGGTAAAGGATGAGAGGGGAGGAGGCGGGGTTCGAGGCCAGAGTGTTGGTCAGTTTTGTTAGGTCCGAGATGACCGTGTTCAGGCTGTAGGGGTTGCTTTCGATGCAGGTCGTGACGGATGCGATGGTGTTATGGGTGGCTAGGACTGCGTCTGCGTCGGAGTCGCTGAGGTCCTGGAGAGACGACGGGAGGGGAGCGACGTGTGTAGTAGAGGATTTCAGATCTGATTCTGAGACGCAGAATGATGCCTCCGTTAGGGTCTGCTGGGTGTCTTGGACAAGTTTCCAAAGTCGACCGAACCAGCGCTCGACGCCGACGACCTTGGCTTCGTCCCATTCCAGAACTTCGCTGACTGGTGCGGAGAACAAGATGTGTGCGCGAGTAGCGTCGGCGCCGTACTTTGATGTGGTGGTTGTAGGGTCCACGCCGTTGTACTTGCTCTTGGACATCTTTTCGAAAGAAATATTAGGGGTGACTGTTGTTCCCTTTATCAAAGGCTTATCGGGATTTGTCAAATCAACTTCGGACGGGAGGAGGAAGCGGCCAGTCGAGGGCTCAGTGAAAGTCTTTCCGTGGACCATGCCCTGGCTGAGAAGCATTTTGAATGGTTCTGCAGGGGAAGCAGCGTTTGTAGCTGGGGAAAGCTCAGACTGAGAGAGGAATTTGTAAATGAATCGAGCATAGAGAAGATGCAGAATGGCATGCTCGACACCACCGATGTACACGTCCACCGGCTGCATCACTGCAGGAGAGAACGGAGCTCCCTTGTTATCAGAGTCCAAGAACCGCAAGAAGTACCAGGACGAGTCCACGAAGGTGTCCATGGTATCTGTATCGCGCCGAGCAGGACCATTGCAACTGGGGCATTTTGTGTGGAGCCATTCCTCTGAGGATTCCAGAGGATTTCCCTTCTTTCCCTTGAGCCACTCTCCCTCGATCTTCGGCAGCTTTACAGGAAGATCCTTGTCGGGCACTGGAACAGGGCCACAGTCCCCGCAGTGAATTATGGGGATTGGCGCGCCCCAGTATCGCTGGCGACTGATCAACCAATCCCGCAGGCGCCAGCTCTCCACAAACGCAGCCTGGCCGACCTGCTCCAGGTCATTGACAATCAATTTTGATGCCTCCTTAGAGTGTAGCCCTTGATACTTCCCACAGCGCGAAGTTAAGAAGCCTTCTGGTGTGAAAGCTTTCGTGTTCGACGTTGGAATGACGCTACTGTTTGCATCATTACCACTTGGCTCGGCCTCGATAACAACTGGGATCGAGTCGGTGTCCACATTTTCCTTGAAGAACGCCATATCCCTGGTGTCATGGCCCGGAACACCCATGACTGCTCCCTCGCCATAGTCGCTAAGAACGTAAGGAGCCACAAAGACAGGAAGCTTCCTCAACAAGTGAGGCGTTTCTGTATCAATCTTACACAACGGATGAGACACCTCAATGTCAGACAGCCGGTATCCTGCTTTGGAGTCCGGTGCAAGCGACGAAGCTTCGCTCAGGAATTTGCGAAGTGCCTCGTCTTTCTCGGCAGCCTTCAACACAATTGGGTGATTCAAAGAAAGTGCGAGATATTCCACGCCATACAAAGTGTCTGGGCGGGTAGTGAATACATTCACATCGACTTGGTCGCCTGCGTGTCCGATGGTCACAGGGAATGTGACTTTGGCGCCATAAGACTTCCCAAGCCAGTTGCGCTGCATCGTGAGGACACGCTCCGGCCATCCCCCAGCAAGAGAGTCGAGGTCTTTCAGAAGTGCTTCCTTGAAATCAGTGATCTTAAAGAACCACTGCTTTAAGTTCAGCTTCTCAACCTTAGCCCCAGACCTCCACGAGAATCCATTGGCATCAACCTAGATGAAAATTAGATCAAATCGAATTTCACCCTCCAATTCCAATTTACCTGCTCATTTGCCAAGACCGTCTTATCAACAGGGTCATAATTGACCAACGCCTCCGCCTGGTACGCCAAATTCTTTTTATACAACATCAGAAAGATGCGCTGGGTATGCTCATAAAAGTCCGGGGCGCACGTAGCCAGTTCCTAGTCATGAATCTCAATCAGCCATTCATCCAGACTAACTCATGACCAACCCGCCGACTCCAGATAAATCACACCAACGTACCCGATCCCAATCAAAATCGGCCGAGATACATCTCAACTGTTCCTTCATCTTCGAAATGTTGGCCTGCGTCCAAACCGCAGGATCAATACCTCTCTCGATCGCCGCGTTCTCCGCCGGGAGTCCAAAAGCATCCCACCCCATAGGATGGAGCACGTCATGTCCGCGCATTTTATAGAACCGCGAGATCACATCTGAGATCGTGTAGACGCGCAAATGGCCCATGTGCAGCGTGCCGGACGGGTATGGGAACATGGACAGGATATAGGATTTGGGTTTCTGTGTTTCGCCCGGTGTTGAGCGCGGCACGGCGCGGTCACTTTCCCATTTTGCATGCCATTTTTTGTCGAGGGCGGGGAGGTCCAGTCGGCGGGTTGAGGTGCTGGATAGTCGGGTTAGGGTGTAGACTGGTGAGAGGGCTCGTTGGATCGGACGCGCGTGAATGCGGCCAGGCGCGACGGCGCTGTTTAATCGGAGTCGTAAGATAGATTGCATGATGGCCGTCTAATCATTGTGTGCCTGGGATGTTTAGATGGTGAATTGATTGGAGGGATTGGTCATGTCCGCGATTTGAAGGTATGGCTTGATTCGCTGCGCATCTTCAAAACTTCCCCGGAGCCCGGATAGCTCTAGTCCCGATTTGGACTAGCGTATCAGCGCTATACAACATACTTTAGGCATGTTTCTAGAAGCTGTGAAGATGCCGAGGTCCTTTGATATTTGTATGAGGGTTGATCTTTTGGCGATGTTCTGAATAGGGTCATACGTTGCAATATTGAGATCGCTATGTATCGTACATTTTACTCTATCCTAAATCTACATCCTCAAAATATCACCATTCCTATCAATGCCACCGCGGAAATGATCCGCAAGCACTTTCCCGCCTAGAATAGTCTCTTCAACAAGGCCCTCCACATGCTTGGGCTCGATACGGCCGTACCAAATTCCCTTACCCGCCAGCGGGTGAGGCTCTGAAGAGGTTCCCAGTGTCGTCTTCGGCGGGATATAAACAATCACATTGCCAGCATATTTGTGTCCTCCAACATGACTGATAAGACCAATATTAGCGTGGTTCTGGCCATCCACTGTGGTCCCTTCACTGCCCGCGGAGGTAAATCCTCGCGCTTGCAGCACGCGCTTGAACTCGCTTTCCAAGGCGGGGGCCATGACACCACAGCGCATATCGCGGCCTCCATGTCCGCATATTAATACTGTCGGGGAGTGTTTGATATCGACTACTCCTGGGAAGTTTGATGCTAGGTCTGGGGATCGGGTCATTTCTGCTTGCTTGCTTGCGGGGAGAGAGGTATGCATGTCGTGGAGTTGTTCGGGGAGAAGATATGCGCGTACGAAAGTCGTTAGATCGGCTGTTTGGGCGAGCGATGAGGCTTTTTTCACGGGTATTGAGGGAATGTATTTAAAGCTCGGGAAGAGGAATGCCGACGCGGAGGCGGGAGAAGAAGTTGCAGCTGGCGCAATAGATGAATTCGTGACCAAGACATTGTTGAAAGGCTGGAACCATGAGATCTCGAATCAGCGAGAGTTCGCGCATCCTTTGTCGGGTTATATGATTCACTTACATCAAGATACGGCCCGCCACGACCTAGCAGGCTCTTCAGTCCCCTCACAAGGTTGCCCCAGCCTTTATTCTCGCCATCATCCTCAATGCGACTCGTCCAGTCTGGCTGTCCTGTGCAAACGAGAATCTGCTGCGCGTAGGCAGCCATCGTCCCATTTAAGGCTTGTTCATGATCGATCGGTAAACCCTCCGGTAGGGCGGGCGTAGGTGGGCAATTACAGCTTGGTTCAGGACATGTCTTGGTAACTGGGAAGGGCGGCGGGATTTCCAGGCGCGCGCGGAGTCTGTTGCTGTGCTGAGGGGTGCTGGATAGTAGGCGAATTGTCTGGCAACTTCGATAAGTTCGCCCGCTCCAGGCGTGCGTGAGCGGTTGCGCGATTATTGGTCGCATTGAATTTAAAATTCTGGATAGACTGGTAGAAGGTAAAGAAATTCAAAGGCGAAATGTCCAGAAAACAAGAGAGGTGTTAATGTCCGAGTGCCGAGTCCGAGAAATCGGAGATCCGGAGATTCAGAGATTATCAAATCCCCCCCCGTTGATTCGCCTGATCTGCAGATCTCAACAATTATGAGTATTCATGAAGCTTTCATTTTCTTTGAAGTAAAGGATATAGCTCGGAGCTGAGATAGAAGGAATCTTATACCAGAACACTTTCCAGAAAAACAAATGTGTCTAAGTTTGGGGGCATATGCTTCCCAAAGGGGAAAGCTTCCCTAACGACTCTTGTGTGATGGAGACCTTTCAAGCTTGGAATGTTTATGGCAATAAAAAAAATCCCACAAATAACCACTCAAGGAATATTACGTCGAGAAATCGATGTACTTGTTAGTTTGCTGGAGTATGGTTGAGGCGGGAGGTTGATGCAGTCTCGAGCCATTGGGCGCACGATCCAAGTGCCCAGGCACTACGGTATTGATATGGAAAAATATCTCAGTAATATCGCAAATGAAGGGTGCTGGTAATGATATTACGATTACGCTGGCTGAAGCAGTTCTTGAGGTTCGAAGGCACTTTGGACACCTTTTGTTCGGGTCTGCGGATGTTTAGACAGATATCAATGCAGGTGGTTATCACCCGATGTAGAATGCTCGGGGTAGGGTGACTAATCGAAAATCAACCAGACACCGGGGGACCTTCAGGGCTGTGGAACTTCCAGGCCCCTGACATCCCCGCACTGGTCATGCGAGAATTTGCCGACGGAGAGAACCACATTGCGCGTGCAAGTTGTAAGCTTCACGACGATTCTGATCCGTTGCATTGGTCAACGAGTGATTCTGCGATGTTGAGTTGGGACGATTGGTTAAGACGGTGAGTCGGAAGTGTAGCTAGTGCATCTAGTGCATCGTACGTCGGCCCGCAAAAGTGATGATATATATGTTGTAGTCTGTTCTGCGATCGGAGGATGGCTCCTGTCCATAATATCAGTCTAGTCAGGTAAGTATTTGGACATGCGACATGGTATATCGTGTCACAGCATATCCGAGCAATCCCAAGCAAATAAATCATGCATTGCAGTTATCCATGACCATTCGACAGAGGCGAGCAAACGCGCAACGAAAACACAAACACGGGCGAAAAGACCCCGGTTATGGTGGATAAAAATATAAGTAATCCTGCTCGAGTCCGTTCTTGATGTCATGCCATCCGGTCTTGTCCATCCGGGAGTTTATTAGTGGACCCGATGTGGACGCTTCTCCAAAACCTCCTCGCGAGGAGGTAACATGCGAATAGGGGCTCCGTAGTACAAAAGTAATGGGAGTTGGAGAAGACTGAACTTTGAACGGTTAAAACTGCTTAGGGACCAAGGAAGTTTAAGATAGAATCTAGATGTGAATATCTGGTAAATCGTTAGATATCATTAGATATAGTCCCTGATCGTCTGTAAGTCTACTTTGATTTTTACCCCTCATTATGTCAGCTTATGTCATTTACCCCTCTGCGGGGAGGAGAAGAGTTTGATTATGTACTCATCCTGTCATCCAGGTACCTAGGTAACCTTGGAAGTACCTAGCTTTGATATAGATAGGTATTTGAAACGCTATATACTATAACTTGTCTTATAGAGAGCTTTTTTATAGTGTAAATGGAAGAAAAGTACATGGCATAACGTACGTATAGGGACCGAGTCCAAATATAGCCCCATCCTTACAACGTACAACATAGTCTGTCCCTCATGCGGAGAGATCTCCAAGTGAACACGTCCGGCCCTCCCGTTTCTATGCGTGTTATTTTGAGGGGAGGGAAATACAAAAGAGACATATATATATGTTCAGCTCCTGCTGTGAGGATGGTTTCTCTCCTCCCATTCTATCTATCACCTATTCACCCATTCTACCCTGATCTACTCCGATCTACTTCGCTCTACTTCGCTCTACTCTACCTGTAAGTCTTATGATTTTCTTGTTTCTTTCCCCCTGGAGTCAAGTTACATCTCTTGGCTGCAATCATCTCCACTTCTCTCAAAGCTTGTCGCATCCGGCTCTCTACAACGCCGTTCTTGGACATTGACATCATCCAATACTTGTCCGTTATAACAGAGCGCTGACCTTTTGTTCTTAGCGAAATCTTGAAAATTATTTTCTAATCCATCACAATGGTATTTATTCGCTCTGTTTCCCGTCAATTGAGACGACCCTTCCTCTCAGGCTCTCTGAAGCCAACTATTGCCTCGAACCCATTCACTCGGGCTTCACCTTTGGCCAGCTCTATTTCTGGTGCACGTACGCTAACCGCAACTGCCAATCTTCAGGGCAAAGTTCTATTGGTTCTCTACGATGTAAGTCAATTCTTGGTGCATTATATACTTCAATCGCTGACCAAGTCCTTTTCTATGGTATAGGGTGGTGAGCACTCCAAGCAGCAGCCTAAGCTGCTCGGTACCACTGAGAACGAGCTCGGTATTCGTAAGTGGCTCGAGGACCAGGGCCACACTCTAGTGACCACCTCCGACAAGGAGGGCGAGGACTCTACCTTCGACAAGGAGCTCGTCGACGCTGAAGTCATCATCACTACTCCGTTCGTTTCTCATGCATGAGCTTTCAGAAAAACTCTCACTAACGATTGATCAGCTTCCACCCTGGTTACCTTACCGCTGAGCGTCTGGCCAAGGCCAAGAAGCTCAAGCTCGCCGTCACTGCCGGTATTGGTTCCGATCACGTTGACCTGAACGCCGCCAACACCACCAACGGCGGTGTTACCGTTATCGAGGTTACCGGTTCCAACGTCGTCTCCGTGGCTGAGCACGTCGTCATGACCATCCTCGTCCTTGTCCGCAACTTCGTCCCTGCCCACGAGCAGGTCAAGAACGGCGACTGGGACGTTGCCGCTGTCGCCAAGAACGAGTTCGATCTCGAGGGCAAGGTCGTCGGTACCGTTGCTGTCGGCCGTATTGGTGAGCGTGTTCTTCGCCGCCTCAAGCCCTTCGACTGCAAGGAGCTCCTCTACTACGATTACCAGCCCCTCTCCCCCGAGACCGAGAAGGAGATCGGTTGCCGTCGCGTCGAGAATCTCGAGGAGATGCTCGCCCAGTGTGATGTTGTCACCATTAACTGCCCTCTGCACGAGGAGACCCGCGGCCTCTTCAACAAGGATCTCATCTCCAAGATGAAGCCCGGTTCTTGGCTCGTCAACACCGCTCGCGGTGCTATCGTCGTCAAGGAGGATGTCGCTGAGGCCCTCAAGTCTGGTCACCTCCGTGGCTACGGTGGTGATGTCTGGTTCCCCCAGCCTGCTCCCAAGGATCACCCTCTCCGCTACGCCGAGCACCCCTGGGGTGGCGGCAATGCCATGGTTCCCCACATGTCTGGTACCTCCATCGATGCTCAGATCCGCTACGCCAACGGTACCAAGGACATCCTGGAGAGCTACTTCTCCGGCCGTGAGGACTACCGTCCTCAGGACTTGATTGTTCACAAGGGTAGCTACGCCACCAAGGCCTACGGTCAGCGCAAGTAGAAAGTTTCTTCACCTGATGCATTGTGAAGTGTCCCCTGGCTGAGATGCTTCCTCTTATATTTTGTTTCTTCTATGTTCACAACAGTCCCATTTGCTCCGGCTGGCATGGGCGATGCTGGAAAAGGTAGCATCTTTCACGATACCAATGAATAATATTTATAACCTTTACTCCTTTTCCACTTTGATTTGCATTTAGATTTCTATGCATACGTCGTACATATCTCGATATCGAGTACGATATGAAGATATGTGCATAATGATTGGTGGAGCTATGTCGATCTTATCAAATAAATTGAGCCCAGCCGTTTGGTGGGGGAAGTCTAGAGCGTGCAAAGCTGTCTTGAGAAATTCTTGATGTCCAAGTATGATAAAGAGAGATAGTCCGGAACAATATATAGGTATGATTATGATATAATCCAATCAATCAACCTTGTCCTGCTTGCTCCATGGAATTTCCATCAAAAAAGAAAAGAGAAGAAGCAACTCTATTCGCAAAGTACAAAGCCATGCTCGAAATATCAACCATCTAGTTTCGCAAAATGTTCGTAGACACAAAAAGAAAGGCAACCACCAAGAATGCAGATATATGCGTAAAATGCCATCTTCAGCATTTCAAACCCTCCCTCCCCGTCCATTCCTATGCCCCTCACTTCCCTCATCATCACTATCATCCATAAAACCCTGCTCCAGATCCCGACTCAAACGACTCTCCGTCTCAGTTATAGCATCATTTCTCCGTTGGTCCAGCGCACCCCGCCTCACAGAATCCATATCCATCCCAACTAAGGTCTCCCCTTCCTCATCGTCAATACCGATCGTATCATGGTCGGCTACGCGCGCGCCCCACCGCCACCGAGATGGAAGGAAGAGGTGCATCACCTTATCAGCTATACGGTCGCGTAGGGATAGTGTGCGCGCCGAGATACTGTGTAGCGGGAGGTATTGCGAGTAGCGCTGGTGGTAACGACGGAAGAAGGGGATTATCACGCATGAGGCTAGGATGTAGATTGATAATGCGATTGCGGCTGGGGTGAGTATTGTCTATGAGTAGGGATGTGTTAGCTTGGGTTTATTGGTCTTGGTCTCATAGGTGTTTCTGCTAGGAGAGACCATGGTGTGTGTCTTGCGCGTCGGGATAGGGGGGTTTTCCGCGCACCTTGGTGAAAACACCTGCTGATCCCATCTTGGTAGTGGAATTAAGCTTGAGAGCCTAAAATATGATGGTGCACTGAGATTTGGTATGGCGCGAGAGATTGCGGAGGTTCCGGGGTTGGGTCTGAACTCAGAGGATCGGCAGATCGACAAAGCGGGAGATCTTTGGAACTTTTGTTATCGCATTCTTCAAGAAGCGTCGGTACCATAGTTATGAATCAGGTCCTTGCTGCGTAGCCTAATCCACAAGGCACTTCATTGTTCTAAGAAAACATGCGCCGGTGTTGGATAGTAAGCCCATTTGATCCTCGGGCCTATACTCCGTACTGGAGCGGGGGAGACTAAAAATACTCGCCGGGAACGCCATTGAATTACAGATAGCCCTTGACTTGAGCTAAACCTCGCTCGAGTTGCAAGTCCTTCATTGGGCGCCCTTGCAGCAATATATATTTCACTATCATGGATCTATCTACTATTTCTCAACCTGTCGAAAACTGCAAGATTTGCTACCTCGCATGTGCCACAAGAAGTTGATGTTTCAAGTGAAGTATAGCTGAAGATTCAACGGGATACCACCAGCGGACGTATGGCTCAAGCGGACAGCGTACTCTCAGTACTCGCGCAGAATCCAGACACACGCTGAGTCTAAAACTGATATAAAGTATGATGTGGTTCTCAGATGGAAGGAGGTCAAGTTCCCCAATATTCAGTACCGATGTCTCAGACGTCAATACTTGTACCGGACACAAGCCTCTATGACATGACAGTGGAGCTGAAGCTTGACGTGGTAGTGATGATCCAATGCCTGGGCCGGAGATGTCCAGTTGAGTTCATACTGATCTGTCTCACCCTCGCGACTAAATCGTGAACATTCTCCAAGCGGTGCTAATATATGATTGATAGGATGAATACAGCTGCTCAACTTTACGGGTGTTTTATTGTGTCTTCGAAACCCCGTTCTAAGTGCCCTGGACCTTTCAAAGTACAAGCTTACGTGATCTTGATGATCACGTGCGCGGTCGGGGAGTTTCTCCGGGACAAACCCCCTAATATCAAGAGGACTGATTAGATGAACGCTTAGGCTTTGATCCTGGCGTCAAACTGGACTTAACATTTGCAAAAAAGGCTTGCATGTTAATTTCCTTTTCTTCTATTTTGCCTTCTTTGTGGGGTGAGTGCCGTGAAGAAACCCCTTTGCCCCTCGTCTCTTGCGACTCCGCCGTATCAACGGGTATACTAACTAGCCAGGGAGGGACAAATCAGAGAGCCACTTTCGCCCCATTTGAATGTCATCGTCTCCCATATCACTTGCGACCGACATCGCATTATCGCGAAACCGATATCTCTATTTAATACCATTCCCAAGAGTGTTGGAGGGCCCTTTATGCTGCGCCCTGCCTCATCTTAGTGACGCACGCCAAAATGCCACAGAGTTCACAAGCCGACAAATCCAGGCAAACATCGAGTGGAAAGTCATTCTTCGGACGGAAGTTGCACAAGGAGAAGCCGACCGAGGAACGATACGATAATTATGGAGGCTCCTATGATAGCCTGGCACCTCCGGGGAGCGCCGCGGGCTCACGCTCGTCCCGCTATTCGAAGCGGTCTTCTATTCAATCTGTCGATATGACCCAGGATTTTGACCCAAGCAGCATCGCGCATACCTCAGGCGTCATCACCTCCATCCCCTTTGAAAGTCTCCCCACCGATACCAGGACTCCGATTCCAATCGACAATTCTCGCCCTGGTTCTTCGCGCCATGAGCCTTCGCCTAATCATCTGGGCAAATCGGGAGGTGACTTCCATCAATATCCGACCGTGACTTCCACATCTGCGCCAAATGGGTACGCTTCACATCCCTCTGGCCCCCGTCCGCCCCCACACACCTCAAACAGCACCTCGCACGGCACCCTGAGCAGCATCAACTCTGGCGATCGAGGTGCCAGACAGCAACAATGGGGACGGCCAGGCAGCTCCGCAGCGAATAGTGGGCCTAATCATAACACCTCTTCAATTGATTCGTCCTCAAACTCCCGCACTTCCCTCGACCAAGCCAGCATCTACTCATCCGTTTCTTCTAATACGCGCGGTTCGAGCTACTTCTCCTCCTCAGAGAATTCCGCTCGCACTCTTACAACCTCGCATTCTGGTGACCGCACCATGTTGCCCAGCTCCAGCTCGGGCCGTTTGTCAAATGCGGGATCCTCCCACCAAATCTCTGTACCGGCTGCTGTCCCCCGACCACAAGATAACTACCTCACTCGACCGAGAGATGACCGCATTGTGGACCAGTTGTTTCTAGAACTGATGCAGAAGCGAGGATGGCAGAATCTTCCTGAGCAGGCTAAACGGCAGATGTTGTCGTACCCCGCTTCAAAGAAATGGACATTGGTACATCAGGATCGTTTGACGGAGTTGCAAGGAGAGCAAAAGAGACGACAAAATGCCCGACAAACTCATGGTCACGACGGTTTGTCCGGTTTGCTTGAACGTGCTGATGAAGAAGGTAGCCCGGAATGGTATGTGAAGAAGGTGATGGATGACACCATTACATCCAAGCAACTTGCTAGTTTGAGCGTCAGCTTGCGGACACAGCCAATTAGGTATGAACTTCCCTTTTTCTCGATCTTGTGCATCTCACTAATAACTATACAGCTGGGTGAAAGCCTTTGTTGAAGCCCAAGGTCAAATCGCTTTAACAAATGTCCTCTTGAAGATAAACAGAAGAAAGGTCTCTGGTCCTGTCCCAGCTCCGCCTACAGGCGATAAAGATCTAGACCGGGAATACGATATTGCCAAATGTCTGAAAGGCCTGGTGAACAACAAGTATGGCGCAGACGACGCTTTAGAGCATCAAAATGTGCTGGTTGCCCTCGTCACCTCGTTATCATCACCACGCCTGAATACTCGAAAACTTGTCAGCGAAGTCCTCACTTTCTTGTGCCACTGGGGCGATGGACAAGGCCACCAAAAAGTCCTGCAATCGATGGACAAGGTCAAGCATGATCACAACGAAACTGGTCGCTTCGATGCTTGGATGCGTATTGTCGAGGTCACAATTGACGGCCGTGGAAAGATGGGAAGTCTGGTCGGTGCGAGTGAAGAGTACCGCAGCGGAGGCATTGGCATGGAGAACCTGCTCATGGAGTACGCGGTCTCAACCATGATCCTCATCAATATGCTGGTGGACAGAGCAGAAACGGACCTACAGCTCCGTTGCCACATTCGCGCCCAGTTCACATCATGTGGAATCAAGCGTCTTTTGACGAAGATGGAAGGATTCCAATATGAGGTTATTGACAAGCAAATCGAGCAATTCCGCGAGAATGAGGCCATCGATTACGAGGACCTCCTCCAGCGGGAAGGCAGCAGCATGAAGGATAGCATTGAGGGCGAAGTCAAGGACATGAGCGATCCTATGCAAATCGTCGATGCAATCACATCCAAGATTAATGGAAGCCGGTCTCACGACTACTTCCTATCGGCTATGCAACACATGCTCCTCATCAGGGAGAACTCTGGCGAGGAAGGGCTCCGTATGTTCCAGCTGGTAGATGCCATGCTGAGCTATGTGGCCATGGACCGCAGGCTGCCCGACCTTGATCTCCGGCAGGGCTTGACCTTCACCGTGCAGAGTCTGCTAGATCGACTGCACACCGATGCTGAGGCAAGGCGGGTCTACGACGAGTCTCTCGAGGCCCGGCAGATCGCCGAGGCTGCCATTGCCGAGCGTGATGAGATGCGGGCGCAGGTTGAGCTCGGCGCAGATGGCTTAGTCTTGAAATTGCAAAAACAAATCGATGAACAAGCTGGTATCATTGAGCTGCAACAAAGACAAAATGAATCGTTTAAGGCCGAGGTTGCAGAAGTACAACGACTGCGTGCTCAGGAATTGCAGCGTAATGAGCTGGAGACCCGAGAACTATACCTTATGCTCCGAGATGCCCAGGATATTGCCGCTTCCAATGCTCGAAAGGCCAACAACCCTGAGACGGTGGAGCCAGCAGATATATCCCAGTTGCCTGGTATCATGGACCGCGAAAAACTCATGGAACGTCTGGAACGCCAACTCGAGCGGACTAAGACCCAATTCAAGCTGGAGGGCAAAGTATGGGGTCAGCATGGACCATCTGACCGACTCCGCGAACTACGTGAGAAGATGGAAGGCGAAGGAGATGACAGTGAGGACTTTGCTGAAACTACTCACCGAAACCTCGACCCTGGCTCTTTGGGATCTGTTTACCGCAAGCGCAGCCATATCCCTGCGATGGACTCCACTTTTGTAGATGAGGAGGACATACCAGTGGATAGCAATGGCGAGCCGATGTACGAGAGGCCTCGTCTGGTGGAAATGCATCGTCCTCGTTTGAACCCTGCCCAGGCTACCGGCTTGCTAGGCGAGATTGCTTCCAAGGTTCCTAAGTTTGATGCTGAAGATTCCGATGCTGTTGAAGGGGAACATGTGCTAGAAGACAACGAAGCTGCCACAAAGGCTATGCCGCCGCCGCCGCCTCCTCCAGGTGGCAAGATTGTTCCTCCGCCTCCACCGCCAGGAGGTATGGCTCTTCCCCCACCTCCGCCGCCGGGAGGCAAGATTCTTTCACCTCCACCTCCACCAGGGGGCTTGGCTCTTCCCCCGCCGCCTCCCCCGGGTGGAAGCGTTGGTTTGCCTCCTCCCCCACCGCCTGGCGGAATGGCTCTCCCACCACCGCCCCCTCCAGGTGGTGCCAAGGGTGTCCCTGGGTTGCCGCCTCCACCTCCGCCCCCCCGGTGGGAGAGCTGGATTACCCCCGCCGCCGCCTCCAGGTGGTGGTGGATTTGCTCCTCCACCTCCTCCCCCTATGCCTGGAGCTAAAGGCCTGATGGTCCCTCCACCTCCACCCCCTAGCGGTGCCTTAGGCGCAGGTTGGAGACCGGCATACATGGTCGGAGATGCTTCGCCATCTACAATCCATATGCCATCCATTAGACCTAAGAAGAAGCTCAAGGCTCTTCATTGGGACAAAGTCGATACTCCTCAAGTGACTGTTTGGGCTGGTCATGCACCGACTGCTGAGCAGAAAGAAGAAAAATATACCGAGCTTGCCAAGAAGGGTGTATTGGATGAGGTTGAACGACTGTTCATGGCCAAAGAAACGAAGATCTTTGGGGCCAGCACTGGTGCGAAGCAGCGCACCGCCAAAAAACAGATTATCTCGAACGATCTATCCAAGAACTTCCAGATTGCTTTGTCTAAATTCTCTCAATACCCAGCCGAAGAGGTGACTCGCATGATCATTCACTGTGATAAGGAAATTCTGGATAACAATGTCGTTATGGACTTCTTGCAAAGAGACGAAATGTGCAATATACCAGAGAATGTCGCCAAGCTTATGGCACCATATAGTATGGATTGGACGGGCCCTGGTGCCGCTAGTATGGATCGTGAACAGGATCCCTCCGAGATCACTCGCGAAGATCAGATCTATCTCTACACTGCATTCGAGCTAAACCACTACTGGAAAGCAAGAAACCGAGCGCTTGCACTGACCCGCACCTACGAACCAGAGTACGAGCACATCTCCGCAAAGCTACAAGAAGTCGCACGAGTCAGTGAGTCCTTGCGGGACTCTGTGTCATTAATGAACGTGCTCGGTCTGATTCTCGACATTGGAAACTTCATGAACGACGCCAACAAGCAGGCCCAGGGTTTCAAGCTGAGCTCCCTCGCCCGCCTAGGTATGGTGAAAGATGACAAGAATGAGACTACCTTTGCGGATCTGGTTGAGCGTATTGTGCGCAACCAGTACCCAGAGTGGGAAGGCTTCCTCGATGAGATCAGCGGTGTCATTGGCTTACAGAAGGTTAATGTCGATCAGCTCCGCACCGACGCTATCAAGTACATTAGCAACATTAAGAACGTGCAGTCGAGCTTGGACGCTGGTAACTTGAGTGATCCTAAGAGGTTCCACCCCCAGGATCGTGTCAGTCAAGTCGTGCAGCGATCCATGAAGGATGCTAGACGGAAGGCTGAGCAGCTGCAACTCTACCTGGACGAAATGGTCAAGGCTTATGATGACATTATGGTCTTCTACGGTGAAGACAACGCAGACGAGAATGCTAGACGGGATTTCTTTGCTAAGTTGAGTGCGTTCTTGGTCGAGTGGAAAAAATCAAGAGAGAAAAACACATCTCTGGAAGAATCCAGAAGGCGCACAGAAGCATCCCTCGCCCGCAAGCGAATCAATGCCAACCTCGCCAACAACACTCCGACTGCAGAAGCAGGGCAATCGCCTGCTTCAAGTGGTGCTATGGACTCGTTACTTGAGAAGTTGCGTGCCGCAGCACCCCAAGCCAAGGATCAACGAGACCGCCGGCGTCGTGCTCGTCTAAAGGAGCGGCATAACGTCCGTATAACTTCGGGCTCCAAGCCACCACCTGATTCGGGCGAGGCGGAAGAAGGCGAAGATGGGGCTGCAAACCCAGTCAATGGTGAAAATAACGATGAGAATGGTCTTCTCAGCCCTCCAATCAGCACAGAAGAAGATGGAAAGCAGGAACGTGAAGTGTCTGAAGGCGAAGACGTTGCTGATCGTGCTGCCAGCATGCTTCTCGGTCTGCGAAGTAATTCCGATTCAGGCAATGGTGAACGTCAGAGACGGAGAAGAGAAAGCGCAGACGAAGAGCGTCGAAATCGCCGCATGAGACGCCGGAACCCCGCTACAAGCGGGAGCAAAGATAGCGCGGATGGCTCTAGTGGCCTAGCTACAGTTCAAGAGCCTGCTTCTCCTTCGCAAACAGAAGAGCAACAACTCCCCAGCCCACCCAACGAGTCTCAACCTCCGCCTTCAATTGTCGTGTCGGAGCAAGATGATTCATTATCACAGGATCCCTCATTTGACGGTTCCTCTCCTCACAAACCAACTGATTTGTCGGATTGAATCAATTCACCGACAGCCGATTTAATTTAATGTTTGATCGATTCCCATTGATGACGCATCGGATCCATACCCAACTGGTTTCGATTGCCATCAACCCTACCACTCACTACTACAACCGCCCTCGATTGTATAATACCCATTCCCTACCTACACTACTCTTTGAGCCGCCCTCCTTGATTTGACGAGCCGAGCATGGTGTGATGATACCATTTCTTTGTTTCTTCTTTTCCTTATCCTCCTAACATTATCCATTCATGTGCAATCATTTTCCTTTTTCTTTTCGTTATCCACTCCCGCATACCCATCTGACTCCGACTCCCTGTCTCTCTCTCTCTCTCTCTCTGTAAATAATCATTTCTCCCCTGTCTTCACCAAACGCAACCTGCCATGGAAATGTCGCCATGATTGGAGGGCGTATCATCGAATTGCATCTGAGCCTGATGCTCAATGCTTCCTACATTGTCATCTTGTTCTTTCCTTACTATTTCGGAGCGCAGGCGTGATCAAGTTTTATATCTGCTGTGTATCCTTGACCAGAGCTGCACTAGATGGACTGCTATCTCTTTGTCTTGCTCAGATCCAAGATCTAAATACTCGCAGTTAGACAAGATTCATGTTCTTGATCTTCTTCCAATGTTGGCACATTCGCAGTTCGTACTCGTATTTTGTATTGTTATCAATCACGTGGATATCTTATCGCATGATAAACATCCAACCAACTTTTGGACATTGAAGCATTTGAATACTTTGAAATTTACCAATATTTCCTTGGTTCAATCTTGCGCATGCGAGCATCTTACCGAGCATTGCGTTGGGCTTCACCCTTCGGCCCATCAAGGAGCCAACCATGGCAAACGATACCAAATAAATCCTATATCCGACGTCATGGCTGTCTCTCCAAATCGCCAGGCTCCCGGCATGCTCCCGGGCAAGCTCGAGCCTTCTCGTCGACTCGTTCTACTAGATTTATGCTAGATGGAGACTCTACAATATATGCGCTCTCTACTGCAACCGGGAGAGCAGCCATTGCAGTTGTGCGCGTATCTGGTCCGGCCTGTGCCTCGGTATGTGATCCCTTCAAGAGAACCCCAAACCGCCACAACACCGAACTAACAATACTATCCAGATATATAAAAGCCTCTGCCCAAATCACCCCCTTCCTAAACCACGTCATGCAGCCCTCCGCACCCTATACGATCCGACCCAACCTCCAATGGCAAACACAATACTCGACGCCGGCGCCCTAGTCCTCTACTTCCCCTCTCCACGAACCGCAACAGGCGAAGACATCCTCGAACTCCACATCCATGGCGGACCTGCAATAACGAAAGCCGTCCTCTCCGCAATCGCTCAGACAAACACCCCAGAGCAAACAGTGCGCTACGCCGAACCGGGCGAATTTACCCGCCGCGCCTTCATGAACGATCGCCTCAGCCTGCCTCAAATAGAAGCACTCGGTGACACACTCTCTGCCGACACTGAGCAGCAGCGACGCCTAGCCGTGCGCGGCTCGAGCGACGCATTGCTAAACCGGTACGAGCGGTGGCGCCAGGGTCTGCTGTATGCGCGCGGCGAGTTGGAGGCGCTGATTGATTTCTCCGAGGACCAACATTTTGACGAGTCCACCGAGGAGCTTGTTTCGTCTGTTGCGGGCCAGGTCCGCGCGCTGAGCGTGCAAATCGGGTTCCATATTGCTAATGCATCGCGAGGAGAGTTGCTTAGGAATGGAATCCGGGTTGCGCTATTGGGGGCGCCCAATGCTGGCAAAAGTTCGTTGCTTAATCGGGTTGTTGGGAAGGAGGCTGCTATTGTTAGCACTGAGCAAGGGACTACGAGGGATATTGTTGACGTTGGGGTTGATCTTGGGGGATGGTATTGTAAGCTTGGGGATATGGCGGGGATACGGGCTGAGCGTGTTTCTGGTGATGGAGGGGAGGTTATCATTGGGGCTGTTGAGAAAGAAGGAATTCGTCGTGCTAGAGAGAGGGCTTTAGAGTCCGATGTCGTGATTGTGGTTGTTTCGTTGGAAGACACTGCTACTGGTGTCCGACTGTTTGTCGAGCCGGAGGTTCTTGGTGCTGTTAATGACTGCGTTGAGGCGGGAAAATGTCTCGTCGTGGCCATTAATAAGTGCGACAAGCTACACACTGCTCTGGGAAGTGGTGTACCGCATTCGTTAACTGATACAATCCACGACATCTTTCCTTCGGTCCCGGTAGACCGTGTGTTTGCCATTTCCTGCGAGGAAGCCAAGCGGGGAGCATCGTCTCTCGATACCACTACAGACCCTGGTAATCTGCAGGGGTTTCTACGTGGATTAATTACGACTTTTGAGCAGATTGCCTCGCCGCTTGGAATGGATGACAGTGGAGATGGTCAATACAATCTTTCGTATTGGGAAGATTCTCTAGGTGTCACGCACCGCCAAAGCTCTAATCTACAAAGATGCCTCGAACATTTGGACGACTTCCTATCTCAAGCCTCTTCTGCTGAATCTCCTGATGATTCTTCCCGCGAGAAAGAGCTCGACTCTCTATTTTCCCATGCTGAATCCGAAGTCGATATCGTCACTGCTGCGGAACATCTGCGCTTTGCGGCTGACATGCTGGCCAAGATAACAGGAAAAGGCGAGAGTGGAGATGTTGAGGATGTGTTGGGAGTTGTTTTTGAGAAGTAAGTACTCAGGGATCTTGGTTTGGGGTTTCGGATCCGGATGATGAGCTGACTGTCGTAGGTTCTGTGTCGGCAAGTGAATACCTCAATTCAAAGGATGTTCCAACGACGATGTCGACTTGCAAAGCTGTCCCATCGTGACATGTCTGGCAAGACTCGTGAAATCCAATGATTGCAGGTTGCAATTGAGATGATTGAAATGATTGCTGATGGTGCATTGTCAAGCATGCACGTTCTGGACAGCCTAATTTTGGCCAGACAGAAGCTTGGGGCATGGGCGGCTGGCGGGGGCATTGTACCCTCCTCGACCCATGGCAGGAGACATAATGGTGATTGATTTAGGCAGTGGTAATTGTTGGAATAAGTTGAGAGTGGTGAACGGCGGGTGATGTGTTGGTGAGGAAGTTGCAACAAGCCGATGCAATCGTGTATGAACAGTAGCTCTATATACTTATGATGTATGCAATGATCAAACAAAAATGGCCTCTTTTGATCATCCACCTGATACTTATAGAAAGAAAAGAGACCCCCAAAGTTGTCTGCCTTGGTTGCCGGGGCCCCAATTCATCATCATCATCATCCCAGGCACCCAGGAATGGACCCGGGGTTCAGTTCAGAAAATTAGCCCGAACAACCCCATTGTCCTTGTCAAAGATGCTGAGAATTCTGTAAAACATGGATGATTTATCTGAGTCAGGATCCCAGTACGGCCTCCGCAAAGTACCTACATAGTACATAGTTGGAGTCTCAGTTAGGTTAGATGTACCGATACTAAACATAGTACGCCCTCAATTGATACATTCAGGTTTGAGGCCTATTTCTATCATAATGCTACGGTATCATGGATAATTTCCATGCTGAGGCGAGCTTCAGCTGTGTAGCCCTGGACGGAGCCTCGTTTGCGGTTGAAACATGCTTCTTCGGGGGCGTCGATCATTGTGATTACTTGCATTGTAGATACTTGTATTTTGATTTCTTTTTTCTGGTGGTTGTTTTATCATTTGTATTTGTTATTGGACTAGTATACAATCGGACTTTGGTGATTCAAGTCTAAAACTCATGTCAGATCTAAGAATAGCGGGATAGCTGTATGGAACGTCGATTCTGTTCTAGAAGGATTGTGAATGGCCGCTATACATCAGAGAAAGTCGGAAACAGAAAAAGAGAAAAATCCCTGCAAACAAAATAAGAAACCCACGTTGTGCTCCTGCAGAACCCCCTTCATCCCTTTACCCTGTCGCTGGGGCTGACAACCTTGGGAGGTACCTTGCAGCCTTGGACAAGAACGAAACTGGACCCCTATTTCGCTTAGAGAGAACAAAAATAACTAGATCTTTTCTATAATAAGAATTATAGTCTGAAAGGAGCTGATGAAGTGTAGAATAGGCCGGATAACCACCGATCTGGTTGTGCAGGGTATGCAGGGTGTGCTATGAATAGCTTCAACATCCCTGTCGCTCCATGTGGCCTCTTCCTTAGGGGCTGTTCAGCTTTACTCACATATATGTACCCCCCGTTCAGGGCTTGTATAACCCTTCTTTTGGTTTTATTCTTTGTCTTATTCGGTTTGTCTGTTTCCCAGGGCCTTTCCATACATATATAAGATTGCCCGAGGAGGGACCATTGGATAGTGAACCGTACACTACAACCCTAGCATATGGAGTGTCATCTCACATAGGGTTTTATCAGTAGCAATGTTGGCGAAAAACGCGATACTGAAGGAAAGAATTCAATAAGTATCCATGGACGGTTGATATTTGGTGATGTAAACTATTCTACCCGTATTCCACGCCATTGTCTTTCCGAACAAGAAACAAGCCACAATGCCTCACCTCACTGTAGCCCACTTCTTACCCAGAGAAAAAAAACGAAAACTTAACCCGCGATATCTCCTTTCCCTTTCTCGGACTGAGTATTAGACCAACGGATCCCTCCTAGGGCGTTCGGCGTCGTACCAAGCAGCTCACCATCATTCCAATGGCAAGTGAATATCTGGATTGATGGCGGATCAATTCAAAAGTGGATGTAATCCGTACCAGGGCACTCATAGTACTCGATGTAGAAGTCACGGAGAGCATCTAGGCACTCAGATTTGTCAAGCAAGTGCGAACAGGAAGAGCTGCGTTCGACATGATAATAAAGGTATGAAATTTGAGGAAACTGAGATTGGCAGTGGAAACAGAAGAAGGGATTATCGTCGGTGAGTTGGTTTCCATAGAAGCCATATTCGGGGCACTCGAAGGCGAGGGTGCGGATGCGGTCCTTCTTCACGCAGCAGCCGTCTTCAAGGTGAAAGAGAAGACTGGAGAATCCTACCCATCGTGTTGGACAGAACCAGCATTCGTAGATTGGAAGACCTAGAGGATTGGCGGAGTCCTGTTGTGCTGGAGGGTGAGACATGATCGATAGTTGCAGATGTGAAATGGGGGTAGATGGTTGGAAGTCAATCAACTTATTGAAGATGGTTGAAGAATGGTCGAAAGAGGATGGATTAGGTGTGAGAGAGAGTATGATGGGGATGAAGTAGTGAGCGAGGAAGAGGTCAACTGCTGTTTGTCGTATAAGAGAGCACTTGCTGTTTTTTGATGTCCATGCCTCTTGCCTATTTGCTATTTGATTTGACTAATGCTCCTTCCCTGTCTAGAATGAGTATTTTTCCTTCGTTGTTTGTCAATTCTTGCCCTGGTTGAATATCTGATAATTATAAACATAAAGAGGCTGTCGGGGAGATCAAGGTTGACCGGTAGGATAAGAGCTTTGGAAGAGGATCTTCATTTCATAGTTACCGGACACTCTCATCTCATTACATGTCAAAAATATCTAGAGAGACTCTAGGTGATATCGCCGATATGACAGACATTGGAACTACAAAGAACAAACTGCTATAGCCTAGGTGGGAATGGAGTGCCATGAGTCACATGCCATCTCGCAAATACTCGATCTCCAGATAGTTGGACCCAGATATAGGGATCTATGGCCTAAGCTGTATCAAATATTCCTGGTCTAGCTTTCACAAGGCCATCTTATAGCCTTTTCTACTTCTATACTGCAACCTTCTAACCTTGGATACTTCTATGGCTGTTTGAAACCTTGGGGGTATTTCCTTGCAGCGGTCCGCTCTCTATATGGAAAAGACGTACACTCATAACCCTATATCTCTCCCCTATACGCCTGGTGTTTACATTGTCGGATATACTTCGGAGACAAACACTGCAAACCACAATACCATGTGACTACCCGATGTCGGCCTCTTGTCTTTGTCTTTGGTAGAGATCTCACCCTCCAAGAAGAACAGATTCTACGAAAAGAGCAATTGGATTCAGGAAGAAAATGAGTTCTTTACTCCTATATACCTTCTACATATAACAGTATCGGAAGAACAGCCATCTTGTACTATACAGCCTTGTATATGTCGATCAACCCCGCGATTCTAAAGTTGATCTCAAGTAGATCAAATCGTGGACAATTGAAATACAAGTCGGTGATATGCCTCTACTATGTATATGTAGACAGTACAAACCATCCAAGGGAATCCGTTTGGCTCATCATTCCGCACCTTCACCTTCCGAGTGACTCAATGACCCATAACCAATTGACTCATACCCCGCCATTTACAGGAATCTATAAAGCAGAGTCAATTGGAATGTGCAAAGGCAGATCCGGTGAATGTTTTAGACTGTACTTTGATACAGCAAGTTCTCGCTATTCGAACATATAAATAGTTATATCTCTTTTGACTTTTCCCTGATCCACTGCGGTCCGCACTTTGAGGTTTTTCTCTTCCGCTTCTTCTCTTTCTCGTCTACCTCAATCTACCTCAATTAATCTCATCATGCCTTCCCGGCAAGAAGTCTCCTACTTTGGAGCTGGTCCAGCTCCCCTCCCGACCCCAGTTGTTGAGGCCGGCGCAAAGGCATTCGTCAACTTCAACGATGCCGGTCTCGGTCTCGGCGAGATCTCGCACCGCTCACCCACCGCCAACAAGATCCTCAACGATGCCAAAGCCAACCTCTCCGCTCTCCTCGATATCCCTGATAACTATGAGATCCTGTTCATGCAGGCCGGAGGCAGCGGCGAATTCAGCGCTGTCGTGCAGAACCTGGTCCCTGTCTGGATCGAGCGCCGCCGCCGCAGGGCTGAGGCCGACGTGAAGAAGGCACAACCCGGTGCGGAACAGGCCGAGGTCGATGAATTGGTCTTTCAAAGACTCCAGAAGGAGGTCGATGAGGAGCTGAAGCTGGATTACCTCGTGACTGGATCTTGGTCGCTCAAGGCTTCCCAGGAAGCAAGTAGACTGATTGGCTCGAAATACGTCAATGTTGCTCTTGACTCTCGCAAGACCAACGATGGGAAATTTGGAAAAATCCCCGCTGAGGATACCTGGTCCTTGACCCCTACCAAGAAGGAGGGCGGTAAGGGCTCTGCCTTCGTCTACTTCTGCGACAATGAGACCGTCGATGGTGTCGAGTTCCCGCAGTTCCCCAAGTCATTGGAGGCCCAGGGTCAGGACGCTGAGGATGAGCGTCTCGTCGTCGCCGATATGAGCTCCAACTTCATTAGCCGAAAGGTTGATGTCAGCAAGTACGCTGTGATTTTCGTATGTTGGCTTCAATCTATCTGCATTATAGGGATGATACACTAACAATATAAATAGGGCGGCGCACAAAAGAATATCGGTGTCACCGGTATCACCATTGCCATCGTTCGCAAGGATCTTCTCCCTCCCCACACTGCGACTCCTTCCCCTGCTCTCCTCCACCGCTTGAACATCGGCGGTCTTCCCGGCCCAATCGTTCTCGACTACGCAACCATCGCAAAGAACAACTCCCTGTACAACACCCTCCCCATCTTCAACCTCTGGATTGCCGGCAAGGTCATGGCCGACCTGATGACTGAGTTTAGCGCTCAGAAGGTTAGCGGCCAAGAGGAAATCGCCAACAAGAAGGCGCAGCTTATCTACGCTGCTTTGGACAAGTTCCCGCAATTGTACCAGGTTGTTCCTGACGTCAGCGTCCGCAGCCGCATGAACATTTGCTTCCGCGTCGGCGGCGGCGATGACGCAAAGGAGAAGGAGTTCATCGCTGGTGCCGAGAAGCGCCTGCTCCAGGGCCTCAAGGGCCATCGCAGTGTAGGCGGTATGCGCGCCAGCAACTACAATGCAGTTCCATTGGAGAACGTGCAGAAGCTAGTGAAGTACCTCGAGGACTTTGCCACAGCACAGTAGATTGTGTCTGAATATAATATCGGTGTTTGAGCGAATTCAACCTGGGGCTTTCGGCCAGGAATGTGTGATGGGTCACGAAATAGGACGCTAGTATGTGTCCAGGACAGTTGCGACTGTTTATTCATATTCAACATAACTCCCAGTATATCCATGCTATATATGCTTTAATGACAAAAAGGTTCCGGTGTTCGTACAAAAGTGATCCAAAAATGATCCAAACCCCCGGGCGAAAGCATTCAGAGCTTCCATACACCCCAATCTTTGAGATCAAGTTCTTTGATGACTCCGTTCAGGGGGCCCTGGAGCTCCTGACCTTGCGCCCATACCTTAGGCCCAGCCATGTAACTGATGAACCCTTCAGGACCAGACACCAGAATCAACTTGCCCTTGCGAGAGTCGCCTGTTGACGTTGGTGCAATAGCACCTCTAATAGCTTCCTTTCCAATGAACGTGTTTTCCTCGTCCAAATAGTAATCCACAGTGACCTGCCCGGGATACTGGGACTTGAGCGCCTCTAGTTCTCGCACAATAATAGAAGTGTCCTCTTTTCGTACAACATCAACAGCAGTTTCCGACCAAGTTCCCTGACTTTTCGAAGAGCCAAACCACCCAGAGAACCAGCCTCGGCGTGGCTGTGGCTTCAGGGAGTCGCTGTGACCACCAGCGCAGTCGTCCTTCAATCGATTGGCCCACAATATATGAATCTTCGGTCGATGCTCAGTGTCCGTGCGACTCAGAAGGGAATACCCAGCCTGCAGAGCTGGCGCAATCCCCGTTCCACCGGCAATAAAGAGAATATCCTCCGTTTCTTTCGGAATCGCGCACTCGATTTTGGGACCACGCATCTCAACATCGGCTCCTACATCAATCGTATGCAGGTAGCGCGAGACCTCTCCAAAGGGATCCTTCCGAATGAAGAACCGCAGGCAACCCTCATTTTCGTCGTCGACGCTTAGCGATGTGGCTGCCGTTGTGGGTAGCGGCGTGTAATCTCGTCCAATTTGTAATTGTGGTTGCTTGAACATCACGCTCCAAACTCCTGTCTTCCATGCATCTTCGTAGACATCGTAGTTGCTGTCGTTGGGTTTGCGTGGTCGCAGCGTGAAGAGACTGCTGGTTGCGGACACGGGTTCGCGTGATACAAGGCTGTATTTGGTAAACGTTTCGGGGTTTAAGGTCGCGGATGATGTGTTCTGAGATCGAATATAGGCACCTGCACCTGCTGCTGTTGCGCCAACGAAGATGATGCTAAGCCAGCGGCGCGAGTTGGAACGGGAGGACTTCGGTGACGTTGGGGTTGCGGAAGTTGAAGCATGGCGTACAGGCCGAGCGACAGCTCTGAGACCCTGGCTGCTTCTACAGCATAAAGATGGTAAGTTGTTCATGTGGAAGTGCAATTGGAAAAAAAAAAAGAAATCGCGGGGGACGGAAATTCCAAGGTCGAGACCAAAAGAGAGAGCCGATTGGGCGATCGACAAGCAAAATACAAGAAAATAGACCCCCTTGGCGATCGCTTCTTCTTCACTTCAACTCACTCTGGGGATTTCTCCTTTCTATATAATTGACATTTTGCACTCCCTCGACGTTCTTAGGCAATGGAGACTTCCCTTGGCCACTCTTGACGACATACCTTTCCGCCATCCTCTCTCTCCCTCTTTGACTTATACCACACGCTGAACACAAAGAGACTATGTCGAACACATTTCAAGGCAACAGGAATGACAGCCTTGCCGCCCGTCGAGATTCACTAGAACTTGCCTCTCTCGCATCCTCGTCCCCCGGCTCCGTAGGCGGGTCCTCACGCTCCTCCTCCCCCGACGGCGTCTCCTCATCCCGCAAGCTCTCCCTCGAGGACGAAGATCCCCTCGCAGATTCGCATGATGCCGAGCTAGGAACAGGCCGCCACAGAGCTCAGAGCTCATATTCCATATCTTCGGCTTTCGATTTCGGGGGCACTTTATTCCCGCTGTCGCAAACACAGGGTGGCTACGCGCCCCTCGGGACTCCGTCCGCGGACAGACCGGGATTTGTAGATGGATCACTGGAGCGGAATAAGACATTGACATACCTTAATGGGCTCTCACTTATCGTCGGGCTAATTATTGGATCTGGTATTTTCTCATCGCCAAGTCAAGTCAACGCGAACGCGGGGTCGCCGGGCGCCTCGCTCATCATTTGGGCTGTGGCCGGTATATTGGCTTGGACAGGGGCTGCTAGCTATGCAGAGCTGGGAGGGGCCATTCCGCTGAATGGAGGCTCGCAGGTCTACCTTTCCAAAATCTTTGGAGAGCTGACGGGCTTCCTGTTTGCATGGTGCGCCGTGTTAGTACTGAAGCCTGGATCTGCGGCGATTATCTCCCTCATTTTTGGCGAATACGTCGTTCGCGCCTTTGTGGGTGCTGATGTGGGCGATCTCAATCCTTGGATCAATAAGGGTGTTGCGTTTGGAGGACTTTTGCTAGTGACCCTGCTCAATTGCATCTCCACCAAGTTCGCCACACGTATTGGTGACTTTTTTATGTTCTTCAAGTTCATTGCCCTACTGGGAGTGACCGTTATTGGCATTATAGTCGCTGTGACTGGCTTTTCAGCTGGCGGACATGCAAATGAAGAATGGAAGACGACAGGATGGTTCGAGGGAACCAATACCGAGATCTCTGATTTCGCAGTGGCCCTGTATGCAGGTCTCTGGGCATTTGACGGCTGGGATAATGTAAGTTGACACCCGCTTATATTTAAAGTGCTCATACTCACAAACTGCAGACCAACTACGTGACAGGCGAGTTTAAAAACCCAAACCGCGATCTGCCACGAGTCATCCACACAGCGATGCCACTGGTCATCGTGTCCTATCTGCTCGCCAATGTCGCATATTTCCTGGTTCTCCCTCACTCCACCATTGAGGCAAGCAACACCGTTGCCGTACAATTTGGCGGAAAGGTATTTGGTCCCATCGGAGCCCTAGTTCTAGCTCTCGTTGTCTCAGCCAGCTGCTTTGGAGCGCTCAACGCAACCACCTTCACAAGCGGCCGACTGGTCTACGCAGCTGGCAAGGAAGGCTATCTTCCCTCTATATTCGGCCGCATCGGTCTCCACGCCTCTCCCTCTCAAGGCCCCCCAGCAAGCAGTCGACTACGCCGCCGCTCCTGGGCCCGCAAGTCCCTCTCCCGTCTGTTCGGCGATGAATCCAGCCTAGGCTTCACCCCAATTTACGCCATGGCCTTTAACGGCGCCCTTACGGCCATCTACATCATCGTTGGCGAGTTCGGAACCCTCGTTACTTTCTATGGTGTAGCAGGATACACTTTCTACTTCCTCACCGTCCTAGGCCTGATCGTCCTCCGTATCCGTGAACCTCAGCTAGAACGCCCTTACCGCACCTGGATCACCACACCCATCATCTTCTGCTGCGTGAGCCTGTTCCTCCTCAGCCGGGCTATCATTTCCGAGCCTCTGCAGACACTCATTGTCGTCGCGTTCATAATTACTGGCGTGCCCGTTTACTACTGGCGTATCTACCAGCGAGATGGTCGGATTGACCTCCCCAGCTGGAAATTTTGGAAGCGCGGCTCCCGCTAAGTATAGGAGAACCCTCTGCCTTTTGCGTTATTGTTTGCCCTTATGATTGTGATACCCATGCATATATAGCTGGGATGTACGGTACAAAGTGAAAGCGGTCTTTGGTTTTTGTTTCCGTATTCGCGCCAATGGAAGTTTTTTGGCGACGATGTGATGACCGTGGCTCTAGGAGGGTGCATTTGGATTGCTTCATCTTGCTGGTTTCATGATGCCCCATGCCGTGTCTGCTTCTACCTTGTTTTATTACTGAGATATAGTGTGCTGTATACTATCTGCAGTGCAAGTTATACATAATGTTCATAATATTTGCATATCGCAATTTCCAACCGACTTATTTACACACGAAGTAGCAGAGTATGTCTACAACCTTGGGGGTGGATTCACCGACCCTCGTACACCAAGACCATCCCATATGGAAGCTCGTACGAGAACCGCAGTCGGCTGCTCATTATGCGCCTCGGCACAAGACTCTGCGAAGAACAATGACCCGAAGCAATGATTTGCTGGGTGGTAAATTCGCGTAGAGATTACCGTTCTGTCATTGATGAACACTTCTAACACACTCAAGTCAAAGAAAGCGTGTACTCGAAGCGTCTCCTCAACCTCTTCGCCACGCGCATTCAAGAGAGTGAACAGCGTGTGCGGAGCGGATTCATAGCCGTGATTTACTTCGGCGTTGTCAAGTAGAGGTCGATGGATTTCAAAGGTCTCACTTCGTGGATCCCAGGAAAGAATCGTACAGTTTTGACCATCTTGAACAACGAGTATTAGCATGTGTACCATAGAACCATTCAATCAGAACTAATGTCTTACCAGAGGTGTGTAGAATCTTGATACCAACCCGTGCACACGATCTACTCACGGAAAATTCGGCATCGATTTCCCATTTGGACGTCTCCAACATCATTGCACTTTGTGAAAGTGAAGTAGACAGGGCAACGCCAGCGAGGTGGCTCTCCCGGGCACTTTGTCTCAGCCGCGTGAGTCGGCTGTCTGGACTGATCTTCATGGTATGAATCGTGAAAGTGCCAGTGCCAGGTGCATCGGGGATTGCATCGATTGAAGTAATCGAACCCAACTCCGAGCTCCGTGCCTTCTTGACATTCTTCAAAGTCATCAGCCCCACCATACGAGGAAGTGAAATCAAGCCGCTGAATCCTTGACGATGACGCATGGAATCGGACAAGTCCTCCTCTGTGATCCAGCCACAGACGATATGTTGTGAGGTTTGAGGGTCGTAGAACGAGTTGGCTGCATAGTAGCAGCCGTGATCGAATATACCAGAGAATGCATATGAGGTCAATGGACTGTCTGTGGGACTATGTTTTCTTTCTCCGTTGGATTTGACAGACATCCAGAGCTGGGCTCGGGATTCTCGTTTCCAGCGTGCTTCTTGGATCCCGGCTTGGTGCAGATTCGAGCTATCCAACGGCACGCAGCCTTCCGCTCCCATGATAATGAAGTCCCGAGATGAGCCGGTATCATTAGTCAGGGTTACTAGGTTAGCTACTTCCCAGTTCACGCCGTGGTCGCCAGACCAGCGAGATGGTTGTAGGTTGAGGCCAACGTCGACCAAGGGGCCAATAAAATCCCACTTGCCGAGGTTTGTTGCTTGGACAGTATAGACAAAGACTGTTGGGGTTTTCTTGGCGATTCCTCCTGATATGAAGCCATATAGTGTAGAGGGTGTGTGTTTGGAAAGAGGCCCCTCGGCCCAAGTTGTGATGAAAGGATCTCTCCAGGCCGTCACGTTCAGATGGGAAGGGGGACCAGTGAGGACCGGGTTGCAGTCCTGGCGTTCCCAGGTTTTACCTCCGTCTTGCGAGACAGCTAGACTGAGAGATTCGCTTCCGAACGTATATGGTAGAGTGTGGTGGATGGGGAGATGGCTCACCGAGGTGTATAGGATCGTGAGAGCGCCCTGGTGTCCGGAGACATCGGTTGCCTGTAGGCATCCTGTAAACACGCCCCGACAATCGTACTCAGCAGAGGGCGTCAAGATGGGAGTGGTGGATATCGTCCATGACACTAGATCTGGGGATGTAGCATGGCCCCAGGAGATATTGCCCCAGTCATTCGCGTGTGGGTTCCATTGGAAGCATAAATGATATAACTCTGTATTTGGGTCGTATCCCAGACCACACGGATCATTCAACCACCCTGCGGGTGCTGTGACATGGAATGATGGCCTCCATTGTGAGGGATCTCGAGGTAATCTCTTTTCTTCATGAAAGAGGTTGTTTACTTCATGGGCTTCGCAAGGAGACCGCTTTAGCTTTTGCTGAGGCTTGTGAACAGGAATCTCCAACTCTGCGGTAGGAACAGGATCAGACATATTTGGTATTGAATTTGATGCAAATGTAGAAAATACACGAGTCGTCGATGGATGACAGGTAGAGGTCTACCCTATCCAATTTCAGCCTAGCCACTTCGTCCATCAAACACGTGTAGTCTTTCTCGAGGACTCAGAATTATGTATAGCCTGAGGATATGCTTCATAGAAAATTAACACGATATCTTGAAGCCCGAATCCCCGATTCCCCGATTCGGGGGTCAATCGGAAATAAGTTCGGCATATACAGGAGGATTGTCGGCGAAATTCAATTAGACTACTCCATGGCCGATAGCAACAATCGAGGAGATGGTAGATGGGTAGATGGATAGATGAGTAGACGTGGTGGAAGAGTGTATGCGATGAGGTATCTCACCACATCCCTACAGTGTCGACTCAAATGGGAAATCTCGGAGAAACTCCCATAAAAATAAATCCGCGGGGTGAGAGAGTTTGGGGGAAAAAATCTGGGGGATCTGGGGAACTTCACTTCCAAATGTCTATCCAATATGAAATGAGATAGAGCATATAGAGTATCCTGATGGAAGTGTGTCTTCAAGGGTGTAGACTCACACTTCATCGGATTCGGACAGTCTGCAACATGCCTTTCAAGTGTGCTTCGACTGAAATCCAACATGTCGATTACTCAGATTCGCCTCGAAGGTCCCAAGCAATCAATTTTCAATTAATATTCGCCTGTACAGTATTTGCTGCCGCCTCATTCTTGTTCGGATTCGATGACAAGATCATTTCCCCGGTTGCTGCCTTGCCGGATTTTGTGAGTATGGATGCAATCACACCAGGAGATGATCCCAGCTGATTGGAATAAAGGTTGAGAAATTCCAAGGCCCTAACCCAGTCACTGGGAAGTATGTCCTCACAGCTCGCAATCAGAACCTGGTATTCTCCCTTCCATTGGCGGGTTCTGTGATCGGAGGTCTGCTTGGTTCACCCATGAATTTCCACTTTGGTCGCAAATGGCCCTTGATTGTTGCATATCTCGTGTCTGTGGGTGGTGGATTGCTGCAAGTGTTTGCACCGAATTTGGGGGCCTTTGTGGGAGGCCGTTCTATTAATGCGGTTGCTTTGGGCATCGTGGGTGTGACTGCCCCTCTGTACGTCTCCGAGGTATTGACCCTGTGCCACCTATTCGGTGTTGAAAGATGCTCATTTTTGCATTTAGGTGGTTCCTGCTTCTATACGCGGAAGATGTGTCAGTTCAATGAACATCTTGAATCTAACGGCTGGCGTGGTAGGCACTGTGGTGGTCTTCAGGACGGAAAGGATCGCTGGAAGTCTATCATATCAGATCCCAATCGCTGTGCAGTGTGCACTGCCTGTCATCCTTCTCTTCCTGACAGCACCCCTTCCAGAGAGCCCACAATGGCTAGTCGGCAAGGGACATATAGAACACGCTCGATCAAGCCTGCGGAAACTGCGCGGCTTCAGCGACGCCGAGGTTGAAGATGAACTCCGTCTCATGAAACTATCTGAAGAAAATGAGCGCGAGCTTCACACCCAGATCAAGTTTTGGCACATCTTTCAGCGACAGCACCTTAAACGCACCTTGACTGCGGGCTCGTTCTTCTCGCTTAACCAAATATCAGGCATCATCCTTTCAACAACTTATACAACCGTCTTCCTCACAGAGTTGGACATTGCAGACCCCTTTTCCCTGACAATAATTGCATCCTGCTGTACATTAGCCGGCACCATTGCCGCACCTTTTGTCATCGACCGTGCCGGCCGACGTCCCACAGCATTCTTCGGGATGGGAATCATGTTCATAATCGACACCATAGCCGGTGGCCTAGCCTTCGACAGAAGCAACAAAAAAGCTACTATGACCATCGCCGGTTTGTCTTTTGTATTCAACTTTTTCTGGGCATCTTCCTTCTGCTCGCTGTCGAACCTCATGCCCTCCGAGATGGCAACTCCTAAACTCCGCCATCACACCATGTCATATACAGTTGCCTGTGCACAAACAACCGCCGTTATCACCACTCTCGTCGTCCCACGGCTGACTTCGGCGGATGCGGCTAACCTTGGCGCGAAGACCTATCTCATCTTCGCTGGCTGTATGGCTGCCATCATTGTCTTTTTCTACTTTTTCATGCCGGAGACGCGTGGTCGAACTTTTGCCGAGATTGATGAGATGTATGGGGCTAATATCCCTATGTGGAAGTGGAGGTCATATGAGAGTTCACTCAAAGTGAGGTCCCATGCGCCAAACGGTTTGTGATATGGCCCCGTTCTTTGCAATCGAAGTTCTTTGCCCTGCCTTTTATATCCCCTGGAATAATTTAGTCTTTAAAACCCTTGTGCCAGTAAACCCCGTCTATGCCTTGTTGAATCCAATTGCTCATACCTCCATCATGATTCCATTACGTCTTTTTCGATATGCTTTGAGATGTCCTTCAAGATATCTTTAAGTGCAGATGTAGTTATTCAAACTACATAATTTGTACGTACACAAGTAATAATTTGAGCCCCTCCTTTATGAGTCATGATGGTTGAAAACTCCCAAGTGTTGAATAAATCCTCCCTGTAGATGCAGATGCCAGCTCGTAAACCCTGTCTATGCCTTGTGGTTGAACTCAATTGTTGTTGAATGGCACGTTAAATGAGACTCCTGACATCAGTGTTCGCATGCAAAAATAGAAAAAAAAGAAAAACAAAAGAAAAACTGTCAGATCTCTTCCCGGAATATTTTTTCAATCGTGTTTTTCCAGTCCATAGCCTCCAAGACCTTCAAGGGACTGGTAGGTCTTGCCCTGATTACCACGGTTATTCCGGGGACCTCTGAGCTTCATATCTTCCTTGAGCCACTTAAGGACAAGCTCTCCAAGGCGACTATTCTCCGAGGTCCACTCGGGGACTTGTTCATGGAACGACTCCACACTACCCTGTGCCTTGACCTTGCCCAAGTGCATGTGGACCAGATGGGTAGGCCACTGGGCGAGGTTGTCCAAGATGTGGGTTGCATAAACAATAGTGCAAGCACGGGTCTCGGTCTCCCGCTTTAGGAAAGCCAGGAAATTGCTCCTGGACAAAAGGTCCAAGTCGACAGTGATCTCGTCGAGCAGCAGAACCTGCCAGGGTCGTAGCAACCCCATGGCCAGCTGTACGCGGCGGCGTTCTCCATCCGAGACGGCATGCATACGCCAGCGCAGATCGACATCGAGGATATCAATGAGCTCGTCCCGGCGCTCTGGATAGGCATCTCCGCCGACAGAGGCGAGCAGTGTCGGCACGTCGATGTCTGTGCGCACGATGCTGTTCAACACCCATTCAACTCCCAGGTAGGTCACACCGTCCAGACTATCCTTGAAGGGGTCCTTGCCGCCCACGGCGATGGTGTTCGTGGGTGCAAGGCGCTTCCCTGCTAGGAGGCGGAGGAGGGTGGTCTTCCCCGCTCCGTTTGCTGTTTGTTTTAGTCTTCGAGATTGATCTGAAGTGGGAATGAATTTGACTCACCGCCAATCAAGAGGGTGCGACTTCCAGCTGGTAGGCTCAAATTTATATTTTCCAGGCCATCAGAGCCATCTTGGAACTTGTACGAGAGGTTCTGTACCTCAATGGAGGGGAGAGTGGGATTGGTATCCGCCATGACGAATATGGAAGAAAAAGAAAACACCGAAAGAACTGAGGCTTTGGAATTAAAAGAAGATAAAATAATGAGTCAGGCAAATTTTTTAATGGAAATTTATCTAGACTTGATTTGATGTTAGCGCTCATGTAACATCGATGAGACGATTCCCCGGGGCCGGTACGCCATGGATGAGGTAACCCGATAAGGCCGATAACACCTTTTTTTCCCCTCGCTACAATGACCATCGCGGCATGATCTCGGCTCTCCGAACTATCTGGCGCGGTCAAAGAACCATGAATCCTCTCATAGCCGTTGTCGGCGCCACGGGCACAGGCAAGTCAAAGGTAATGACTCCAAGTACGCCGCACTTCCTCCGGACACAATGACTGATAGCTGTAGACAGCTTGCAGTGGACTTGGCCTCTCGATTCAACGGTGAAATCATCAATGGCGACGCCATGCAGATGTATCGCGGTCTGCCGATCATAACGAACCAAATTCCGACAGAAGAACGGAAGGGTATCCCTCATCACCTCCTTAGTTGCATCGACCTAGACGCCGAAGCATGGCGCATCGGGCTATTCAAGCGAGAGGCCCTGCGCATTATTGAAGACATTCGCGCCCGTGGCAAGGTCCCCATCCTCGTTGGGGGCACTCACTATTATACCCAAGCAGTGCTCTTCAAAGAACAGCTTGTGGGAGAGGGAGTGGACGACGAAGGCGAGCGGGAACAGCTCACGGAGTTCAGCTCAACCTCGAAAAAATGGCCGATCTTGGATTCTCCGCCTGAAGTGCTTTTGGAGAAACTACGCGAGGTCGATCCTGTCATGGCTGCGCGATGGCATCCGAAAGATGCGCGGAAAATCCGGCGGTCATTGGAAATCTACTTTCAGACAGGACGCCAGGCCTCGGAAATTTATAAAGAGCAATTCTCTCAAAAAAGAAAGGCGATGGACCAGGAGCAAGGGCTGCTAAGGTTCGAGAATACATTGGTGTTTTGGGTACATGCCGAGAAGGAGGTCCTCAATGCGCGCTTAAATGCGCGCGTCGATGACATGGTCAAGCAGGGCTTGATGACCGAGGCAAAGAAAATGTCAGACTATTTGCAGGAAAAGGCCTCGCAGGGTATTGAAGTTGATCAAACGCGAGGAGTCTGGGTGTCCATTGGATTCAAGGAATTGGCGCCGTACTTCCAGGCTATTCGAGACGGGGAAGCAAGCGAGAAAGAAATCGAAGATCTCAAACGACACTCTCTTGAATTAATTCGCATCGCTACACGGCAGTACGGAACATCCCAAGTCAAATGGATTCGCAACAAACTCTGGCATGCACTCACAGAAGCCGGAGAGACACATCGTCTTTATCTTCTGGACAGTTCCAATGTCAACGACTGGAGCAAGTGCATCACTGAGCCGTCCGAGCACATCGTGCAGCTGATGCAGCAAGGCAAGCCGACTCCGGATCCCAAATCCCTTTCTCAGTTGGCATCGACGGAGTTCAGCGCGAAGGAAGCCCAGGCCAAAAAGCGTGTACAAACAGACCCAATCGGGAAATGCTATACCTGTGATGTCTGCGAGAAGACTATGGCGTCTGAGGACCAGTGGCATATTCATCTGAAAAGTCATCGGCATAAAAGCGGACTCAGGTCTGCGAGTAAGAGGGCACAGCGCGATGAATATTTCCGAAAGAAGGAATTGGAAGCACAAACCAGTCAGGCTCCTGAAACTAAAACCGAACCTGACCCTGAACCTGGGTCATGAGTTGAATAACAGGTCTAAGATAGATTAATCATAGAAATACCCAAGATTCTTCAACAGACGATCCCTGATCCCCGTAATATGCAGACGCATGTATCCGTATCTTTGATAAAGTCCCAACGGGCCGTTACTATATTGGATGAGGTTGGAAACCGAGGGCAAGAGGGCAAACATTGCGAGGAAACATATAATTAAGCAATAACGGTACATTAGCCCTACCTAGCGTACATTAAGTCTTTCAATTCAATCACGAACTCGGGTTCGTAGTTGAACGCCAGGCCTTGAAAGCGGGCGAGAGAATGTCACCATGTCCCTGTTCCTCAACTTGATAGACCTCGATGACCGAAGACTTCTCCTTCTTCCGAATTCTCCACGTCCCTTCCTGATTGATAGTCTGTTTAAGCCCTGTAAGGCGTGTCAGTGCTGCTAGAAATTCAACAAGAAGGAACACTTACATTCTAAAAATGCACCCGTGAAATTGATACAGACGTTCCCATCCCAAGTCCGCCGGCCGACACTCAACACTTTCCCAGGAATACTAGCTGTGTCTAGTTCCTCCAAGCTACGGCAGATGCCATTTTCATCTCGGAACCCCACAATAATCTTAGGAACACCGAGTAAGAATGATTGTGCCCAAAATTTGAGCAATTTCCGCTCATACTTTAGCATATCGCGGTCATTGCGAATCTGAGCTGATGTCTTCAGCTCAACCCAGTTAATGGGATCTTCTTTTCGCGATGGCTTGCTATCCCAGACTAGACAAAGTCAGCATCATTTACCCACAAGGATATCGGTATGACATACTGGCATCAACTTCCCCACCGAGAATCATACGCACGCTACCGATGCCGGTACGAACGACGGAACAGTACTGTGCTGCGTTATTGACGATTTCGTTCTCGCGACCTTCGATCTCTTCGCGGGTTGATTCGTCCCACGTTTTCCGAAGTACTGCCAGGTTCTCAAATTTGTAGCCTAGGGTGGTTAGTTGGTCTAGGCATATATTTCCATGGGGGTTCTTTACGCACCCCAATACATCATGAGCTCCTGGGGTGCCATTCCAGGTGGCGATCCCCGCTTTCGTTGGATCTCCTTCTGTTGGTTCTTGTACTCGTTGTTTTCTTCGATGAATCTAGGGACTGGTCAACACCTTATACCATGGCCTTACTAGCTTAGTATACACACATGGTGCCCTATAATATGTGTTAGACAATTGAAGCTAGACATTTCTGTTGGGATTGATATCATACCTGGAAAAGAGTTGCATTCATCTCGAAGCTAGAGATAGCCTTGGGTTAGAGAAAAAGCACGCGATGTTGGTAATAGCTCAGGCTTACATACCCATTCATATTATCAAATGGAGCCGTTAAAATCTGTACATAGGAATCAGGGTTTAATTCAAGATCAGGAGATAGTCCACACCAGACTTGAATTCAACACACCTTGGTCATCATTCCTCTCCATGTGATGATATCTACATCACACTTCTTTTCTGTTTCTTTCTCGTGAGCAGCAATGGTATCAAGTAAAGCATCCAAGTGCTCATCCGGGACATCATTGAGCTTCTGGAAGGTGTCATAGCCCTTGTTCAGGTCAGCAGGGAGAGCTGGCGTGTAGTAGTAGGCCATGGACGAATCGCCCAGCGAAAAACGACGTTGACCATCATAAGAGAAGCAAGCAATTTCCTAACACCAAGTGAGCTATTTGTTTTCATTTCATTGATATAGCGCCAGGTCGTTGGCTTACTCTTGGTCTTCGGATAGAGGTATTTGCGCCGCCGAAACGGTGCAGGGGCTGGATGTTGAAAGTAGACCGGTTCATGATGGGTTTGTCGCACTATTCAATGATGGACATTGTCCAACAGAGAAGAGTGATTGCTTAGCCCTTGATATAGATTGTCGCAACCTAGTTAGGCTTCTATAGTCGTTAGGGATGCCCGTGATAGTGCTGTTATGATCGTATTATCGCCGGAAACGGGACCAGTAGAATGAAGAGATTCAAATCAACAGAAAATGCGGATTGTGTTAAAAACCAAAGCTGGTAGTTCCAGCTATCAAGTCACCATAAGGTATTTTTGAGGAGATGACGGAGATGCACATGTTCTCTGGGCGAATTGCCGCGTCCCCACCAAATCTCAACCTACTCCCCGCGAACGTTCTTACACTGTTCACTCTACTTGATAGCGTCCTCGGTTGTACTTCTCTTTGATTTACATGGTCAGCGCTTACTTCTAGTCGACATGTCATCCCGGATCGATAAAGTCATCGCCCGACAGCGAGAAAAGTGAGAATTCCACCTGGCCCATAACCATCTTGGACCACCTTCGGACCTCAAAAGATCCCACTCTGACTGTCTATTTTTGTCTCTAGGATTGCTGACGGCGCTTATTACGAGGCTCACCAGCAACTACGTGTCATTGCTGCCCGCTACATCAAGCAGTCCAACTACGATGCTGCGGCGGAGATTCTGGCTGGTGGCGCGAAGGAGCTATTGAAAGCTGGTTCTCAGAAGGGTGCATCGGCCAGCGGTGGAGACCTGGCCATCATGTTGGTGCTCGAGGTATACAATAAGGCCGAATGGGAGATTGCAGGTGGGAATGATGATGCAGTGGGTCGGGCTCGGAAGAGTGAGTTTATCAAATATCTTTTTACTACTGGAGGTTGATTGCTGCAGCATGCGGTGGTCGGTCTTGGTGCTTCAGGTGCCCCAGTAATAATCACAGCCAAAGCATTACTAACTCGCATGGTTTTGTTCCTCAGAGCGCCTGATCGAGCTGCTGCGCGAATTCCCATCCGAGGAACCTACACGAAAGAGATTCATCCAAGAAATGATTGGATGGAGTGCAAAGTTTGGGCCATTGGAACGAGGAGATTCAGATCTACATCATGCTGTTGGCTCAGTATACGCCGAAGGTGGGTGATGCTGGAGCGCAATGTTTGATGCATTCTAACCTAGCACCTTAGATAACGAGCCATACGATGCCGAGAAGCATCTCATCCTAGGAACCTCCGAATCAGCCGAGACTCTCGCAAAGCTCGAATATGAGTGGTACACCAGTGACGCGCCACACACCGCCGCGATCTATGTGTCACGCGCAGTCTTCCCGTACCTCCTCACTGGAAATATCCGCAGCGCAAATAAAGCCCTGCTTATTTTCACTTCGCGGCTCTCAGCAGCCAATCCTCAACTCGGTGTACAGGATGTCAGCAGCGCCAACTCCGACGTCCGGGTGTTCCCTGCCCTTCCTTTGGTAAACTTCATCAGCATGTTGATGTTGGCCATCCAGCGCGGAGGTGCCGATCTCTTCCGACAGCTCACTGCACACTATGCGGCACAAATTCGAGAAGTTGGTATCTGGGACGATGCTCTGGCCCAGATTGGCGAGCAGTACTTCGCTATCAATATCCCGCGCCAAGGAAACCCCTTGATGGACATGATGAGCGGCATGTTGTTTGGAGGAGGTCAAAACAAGGCAGGTGGCAAAGGATTATCGCAGTCCAGAGCTACGAAGAAGGTTGAGGCACCCCCATCGAGCATGGAGCTCGATTAAAGAAGACCAGATGCGTGGGTCTTTTGAAGAAGGCCTTTGCAGGAAACATATCCAACTGATACTGTAATGAAATCAAAATGCATGCAGCAAGCGCAGCTCCCTTTAGTTAGAAATCGAGTCCTTCTCGGGTTCAAACATCCAATTATCGTCATCCAATGATGCTACTTTTTTGCGTAGGCTCTCGTGGACCATGTTTAGAATCTCTGTTTGCGATCAGTATATGACCACAGAAACAGCCGTCAGACTTAAGCCAGACCGTAACTTACCATCAGGTTCACCGTTCGATTGCCTGGTCCGGTGCCGAACCATCATTTCTACAAGAGCGGCCTCAAACTCTGTAACAAGCATTAGTATAATATACATCACAGAGAGATACAGCAAGGATCAAAAACCCACTCTCTTTGTCACGCCCAGTGAGTTCCGAAGAATCAAATCCTCCATCCTCCGGCGCAAGTTCGGCCAGCTCCTCTCCATCCTCTCCAACCAGGGCCTGCGGCAACGTCGGAATCTCAAGCTTGTAGCTACCATTCTTGTCTCGAACCACAATATCTTTGGTCTCCGACGTTTTGTATGGTCGAGTATGCGGTCCCGAATCCGAAGATGTAGTCTTCAGCCGGTGCGAGGGGCGATTGGAAAGGCCGTTGTGGTTCTGAGGAACTGCGCCATTGGGCGGTCCTGCAGAGGCAGGTCTGCGGCTGAGGTTCCCGTGGAAAAGGTTACGGCGGACTGAGCTCTGGTTCATGATTCCAGACGTTTGCATGACTGTACACACCACGGCTTGTGTTTTGGCTGTTTTGGCTGTTGTAGTGGGGGGAGGCTCTGAGTATGCAGCAAGCGCTGTGCGTCGCAGAGAGTAAATTTAGATGTTCGGAAAGAGGGTTGCTTCCAACTGTGCGTGTCAAAAGATGTGTAAAATAAAGGGAATATAGGTATTAAGAATAATTGTTGGGGTGAAAGGAGGAAGAATGACACGGAATGAAGTAGATACGACAAAAAAACAACCACGACAGCACCAGCCTTGAGCTAAGCTATGCATGCAATAACTAGCAAATTAGTATCAATTGGCTACTAAGGATACCATATAGAATATACAAAAAAAAACCAACAACTTCAATACTTCAAATGTCATACATCCATCTCCGAAGTGCACAGACCAGCTGATAAGCTGTTATCGCGTTTCCCACGCGTCCAGCTTCTTTCGCGTCCCTTCACTGCAGTTCTTCACTCTTGAATCCAATCGCTCACGATGGTGCAAGCTGAATCTTCCTCTGCCGCTCGCAGCGGTGCCAAGGCAAATACTGCTGGTGCTCCGGTGGACTATGAGCTCCCCTGGTAGGTAGAATAGCCTTGCAAAATATTAAACAGAGCTAACCTTTGACTTGCCAACAGGGTCGAGAAATATCGCCCAATCTTCCTCGATGATATTGTCGGTAACACTGAAACAGTGGAACGGTTAAAGATCATTGCCAAAGATGGCAATATGCCACACGTTATCATCTCCGGCATGCCGGGTATTGGAAAGACCACTTCAGTTTTATGTCTAGCGCGGCAAATGTTGGGTGATGCATACAAGGAGGCAGTTCTAGAGCTGAACGCTAGTGATGAGAGAGGTAAGTACTTGCATCGTTTCTTATACTGCTTGAGCGGTCGATACTGATGCTGTAGTCTAGGTATCGATGTGGTCCGGAATCGAATCAAAGGTTTTGCCCAAAAGAAGGTTACATTGCCCCAAGGACGCCATAAGTTGGTCATTCTTGATGAAGCCGATAGGTTGGTTCTCGTCAGAGCTCCGTTTCTTGGTCATTGAACTCACATCTCCCCACAGTATGACTGCCGGTGCCCAACAAGCCCTGCGACGTACTATGGAAATATATTCCTCCACCACACGATTTGCCTTCGCCTGTAACCAGTCGAATAAGATCATCGAACCCATTCAATCACGTTGCGCCATTCTTCGTTACGCCCGGTTGACGGACGCCCAGGTTGTGAAACGGTTGATGCAGATTTGCGAGGCGGAGAAGGTCCAGCACTCCGAGGACGGCATTGCTGCACTTGTTTTCAGTGCAGAGGAGACATGCGTCAGGCTATCAACAACCTACAGAGTACCTGGTCCGGTTTCGGCTTTGTCAGCGGAGACAATGTTTTCCGGGTAGTCGACAGCCCGCACCCGGTCAAAGTCCAAGCGATGATCAAAGCTTGCTGGGAAGGCAAGGTGGATGTGGCATTGGAGGGTTTGAATGAACTATGGTATGTTGCAAATGTGTTGAATTTAAGATGCTGGAGGTGTTTTTTAACCATTGCATACCTACAGGACCCTGGGATACTCTTCTCACGATATCATCAGCACCATGTTCCGAGTCACCAAGACCATCCCCACATTGTCCGAACATTCCAAGTTGGAGTTCATTCGGGAGATTGGATTCACGCATATGCGTATTCTAGATGGTGTGCAGTCACTGCTTCAACTGAGTGGCTGTGTGGCAAAGCTTTGCAAGATTAACATGAAACCCGATCTTTTCGAGCCTCCCAAGGCTTGAGATTCAATGTTGCTTGTCTTGTTGCATATTCCCACGGCGTTTTTCATTCAAGTGACTCTAGAGGCAGATATCCCATCAAGCTGCATAATGAGTTATGTCTACCCTATTTATCCCAAATTTCACTCCAAACAACGGCGAAGTACGTCTTTCAGTCTGCGAGTTAACCCAAGATCATATTCTGCCTACACGTTTCAGATAGCTCGATTAGATTTGTCGACGTGGCTCTTCCAGAGCTTCTCAATAACTGTAGCAGCCCCCAGTACCTTCTCTTCCTGGAATTTCTTCCCGATAATCTGCAGATTCACGGGATATCCATCTGCCTGGTTCGCATCGAAAAGATTCCAATTCCACTCATCTTGACTGTTCCTTGGGACATAAGGCTTCGATGGCAACACATCCAGCTCAGCCCTCACTCGATCCACCGGAAACGTCAAAGCCGGATAGTCCAGGAAATTCCAAATCTTGGTGTAGCCAACCCACCGGAGTTTGCGATGAGGCAAAGTTGTATGCGGCAAAGTAGGACTCAATAGAATATCGACAGGCCGACCCGACGGAGACTGCACTGCATTCCATTTATCCAGATATTTCTTTTGCACCGCAATTTTTCGCTTGTTCAACTGCCAGTACTCATAAACCGAGATAGCCTTGCCGCGGTTGAGCAGCGTTTCAACGTGTGGAATAAACGGCTCGCCGGCAACGGCTACATCCCGACGAATATCCTCACACCCGTCGACCGTATAGAAGAGATCCATAATCTCAATGCATCCCTGGTGGTCAGACGTATCCCAGAGTACAACCTCGTGGCCATGTGCTTTAAGCACCTCTGAGAGTTCTAGCAGGGCACGTGCAATAGGCGGGTGTACCTTGACCACGCCGTCATCCAGAATTAAGCCGATGACCATAGGTCGGTCTTGAATTTCTTGGAACGCAGTATCATTCCAAAGAAGGGGAACACAGCGAGGATCGACGTCCCAGGGCTGGCTGTTCGCTATCAGGCGGCTCACATAGCAGATCGACCGGAGATCTCGGGCCATCGGGCCGATAGCAGATGGCACATGTTCTTGGCCCTCGGTGGAGACGGGTACGCCCTGATAAGGGATCCGAGCGCTCTGTTTTTGGAGATCATAAGCACATATCCCGTGGAAGAGAAATCAAGCTGTTTATTCATGGCAATTGTACTTACGCTTGGCTTGAAGCCATACAATCCCACTGTAGCTTGTGGGATTCTCACGCTTCCGCCGATATCAGTTCCAAATCCGAAGAGTGATCCATGCAATTTCAACAAAGCACCTTCGCCGCCAGTTGAGCCACCAGCTGAATAAATTGGATTGTGAGGATTGGTGGTGAGTCCCCAGAGGGGATTCTCGGTTTCGGCCCACTGGAGGCAAAGTCAATCTCCGAATCCGATACTTCCAGTAAGGATCTTGAACGAACCATGATACTCTGCGGAATGTTTGTCTTCGCGATGACAATAGCGCCCATGTTCTTTAAGATCTGCACGAGCACAGCGTCTTCCTGAGCCGGGATGAAGGACCTGCCTACATATCCCAGGGTCGTATCGACGCCTTTGACATTGAATTGGTCTTTCAGCGTAATCGGAATCCCATGTAGAGGACCTTTGAGCTTTCCGGTTTCTGTGAAGTCGACGTCTAGCTGCTTTGCCTGTTCTAGGGCATCTTCGAAAAGAACCTCGGTCAGGCTGTTTGTCTATTCATGCCAGATTCTATCAGTGAGTTGGCCGGGAACAGAAATGGGAATGGGGATGCCAGGCACACGCATACCAATTGATGGGCTATCACAGCCCTACCAATGATATCAGTATATGGTCCGTTTCAACCCTCGATCGAAGACATACCGTTGGATATATGCCTTGATCACTTGTTCCGCTTGAAACTCCCCTTTCTCCAGAGATTCCAGCAGGGTGGCGACACTGTCAATATCCGTGATCTTTTGATACAAGGGATCTTCTAGTCGAGTACGCTCTCCGACATTCCGTACTTGCGGCAGACGTTGAGTTACGTTGACTAAGTACGGTGCGATGAGTTGATCTCTATTGTTCCGTTTCTGGGAAACGATCTCTTCCCAAGTCTGACTGCCCATGTTGCTATAGGTTGAACTTTTACGAGCCGTGTTGGGAGGTCAAGACTAGCTTTGTATAGTCTGCTCGGACAACAGTCCGACGGGCCCTCTTATCAAGTGGGGACGTGGCACACTCGTGCCAAATCAGTTTCCTCGTTCATCTCTAACCTGGATTTGCCGTATTTCCGATATCATTGGGGGATCAATTCAAGAATATATGAACTTGTGAAATATCTGAAGAGAGAGAGAGAGAGAGAGAGAGAAGATGAAGAGCTGAGAGCGGGGGGGGCGAATGGCCTATGTGGGTCAAACCTTCTTTGACCTGGGATTTTTATGTTCGACAAATTTCTCTGAGAGCCTGACAGCTCAACTAACTGTATCATGGCGATGGAATCTAGATCCCCAGGCTCTGCCACGGGTGCTATCCGTTCACATAAAGCCGCTGTCACCAAACGAGCGTGCGACCAATGCAAGTTTCGCAAAATCAAGGTGAGACATCCCCCTTTTTTTTTTTCTGTATCAACATGAACTGACTGAGCTATACTCCGTAGTGTAGCTTATCACAGCCTTGCAAGGCGTGTCAGTCCATGGGCTTCGAGTGTACATTCCTTCAGCCACAGAAGAAGCGCGGACCAACCGGGCAGTGAGTAACCGCCCGTGACTGTGAATAGTATCACTGACTGGGATGAAGTCGCGTGTCGCAAATCAGACAGCAACAAACTGTCATAAATCCCCAAGATGAGTCTAAGAATGCCTTTCAATTTCAAACTCCGACCTCATCCGTGGACTCTGGTCAAGGTCCTGTGCCCGGAGCACCTTGGACGCCCACTGGTTCAGCCCCCCTGGAGGGGGCCGGAGGACTGGTGCCTCCAGGTATACCACCTTCAATGGCAGCCTGGGGTGAGGAAACCGCATCTATAGATTCTCACAATAGCGCCGTGAGCTGGAACGATCGAAATGACGCCGAATATTGGCTTCCAGATAATCTGGATTCCCAAGTTCCTGTCTTTGAATTTCCAGGAAGTAATGTCTACCTTAAGCCATCTCTCCCATCTATCATTCAGCCAGTTCCCGACGCTGGGGCCATGGGAATACCCCAGGAAGGTCCGAATATGCCATTCTCACCAACCGTGGGGCCTATGCACTCGGGTACCCAGGAGACTGGTGTAGTTTGGCCATCTACAATCAACGAAGCAAATATGATCCCGTGGATTGACGTCTACTTTGATCGGCTACATCCGACCATACCCGTCCTCAACCGGTCATCCCTGTACACTTCAATGCTCGCACAAGAACATCGCAAGAACTCCCAATTTGGGGCCATGCTCTTGTCATTATGTGCATTCTCACTCACACAGCCAATTGAGATCAATGAGCGGCCAACATCCTCATCCCGAGCTCTGCAGGCACGAGCCATGATGCACGAAGCGACCAAAATGCGAAGTTGTTCGGATTTTGGCGAGAACCCAACTATTGAAGCGGTCCTAACAAGTTTCTTCCTCTTTGGCTGTTTGTTTGGCAGTAACCAACATAATGCAGCGTGGCTCCGGATACGCGAAGCACTAGATCTTGCGGCCACACTGGGGTTGAATGATCCCGAGTCATATCACGATCTGCCTGGGGAAGAGAAAGGCCAGCGACTACGAACGTATCTCGTCCTCTCTATCACAGAAAGGTAACTAAACGATCTAGCTTTCTCGGAATCAACTCGCTGACCATAAATATCAGAGCCTATGCTTTGCAACACCGACACCCAATAACTTTCTGGGGGAAGCCAGGATTTACCATGCGGTCAGTGCATGATTTCATCCACAGCGCCACACATAGCGTCGTTTCTGGCATTATAGTCCACAACGAAAAAGATGCCGAGGGAATGATGGGTCTCGCACGAATGATGGAATTATTCGATGCCATCGACGAAGATGTCATCGACTGCTGGAACCGCCGATGCGATATCAGCAACGGATACTGCCAGCGGCTCACCGACGTCAAGGCACTCTCCATCCACCAGAATCTCAATCGAATCAACCAAGCTGAACGATATCGAGGCTATGACTGGTTTGAGCGAGCCAAGGGAGGACGTAACGAAACCAACAATGCCATATTTGCCATGGGCTTACGGGAAACCCAAGCAGCAGACGTTTTCATCACCCAGAAATGGCTCCAGAACCGTGTCTGGCTCCTATCCTCAACTCACGGGCTTCTGAGTACCCACTCAGAACAACCCGAGCTAAGCTTCGGATATGCCATATCTATTGCTGAATCCACTCTCCAACTGTGCCAGTCATTACGGCTGAGCTCCATGGAGGCCCATGGCATCGGTCTGGTATGTGACTTGCTCTCATCTATAACCTGGAGATGTGTAGGCTCTGCTTGTGAACTTCACTCCATACTGACGGCTCAATATCTAGACCGAGAAACTGTACGATATCGCAATTTGCGCAACAAATATCCTATACAACACTAACTCGCCTTACGGGGGTCCTCTGAACATGCCCGTCAACTTTTCTGAAAGACTACCACCAACTTCTACTTGCACACCCCAGAGTCTCGCCGAAGACTTTTTGTTGCTTATGACCAGCTTCCGGGGTGGGAATCATCCCTATCTGGAAAAGTATAGAGCTCACCTACGCTCGCTACAGATCATGGAATCTAAGGCTCCGGAGTGGGCGCAAGGATGAGGTTTCGGACGGGGTTGCTTGATTTGGTCTGAGTCGTGATCTTTCCAAGTATTTGTACGAAATGGATCTTCGAGATGTACGATTTCCTTTTTTTTTTTCGACCTGATTGGCTCATGTCATATGAAAGAGTCATTTTTCACTCGATTTTGCAGTCTGCCAATAGAGCAAGTTTCAATATACCCAAATTTATGTCTATGATCAGTATATTGCGAACCGCTTATGCGGCCTTAAGGTGTCTTTCCAGTGGTCTGTCAGGATGCTCTGTTGAATAGTCTTCTCTCCCTTTCTCGGGTTGTGAAAACCAATTTTCCACGTATAAGCTGAGACAACATGTGAGGATACCCATATAATCTGTCTACTTGAAGAAAGTATCTTTTACATAGGAAGTGAAGCAACATCATCTTGGTTAAATTTCCTGAACGTCAACGATAATATCTCTGTGCCTCCAAACCGATCCCAGTTGTACTTTCAAGGATCCTACCTGTCAAGTTCATCGTCACTTCCTGGTTGTACATTAGGGCCCTGGCTGAATTCCTTCTGGTATGGTTCATCCTCAATTAGGGGTTTCTCTACGAAGTCTTCGCGAGCGCTTCTTTCCCTGAATTCCTTCAAGGCCTGGACAAGAAAGTCCACCTCAGACTGAGAGACCTGCCCTATTCTCAGAAGCAGGTCCAGATTGCCCGCTCTAGGGCTACCCTGAGCACTGGTGGTGGTGTTCACTATAATCACTTCCAGGTTAGCATACATCCTAAGGGAGATATTCGAATCATGCCCTTTTATATATCAAGTATGTTGACGTACTGGGCTTGAAGGAGGTGCGTCCAAAGCCCTCCGCAGAGGAAGCAGGAGGGGGAGGACGAGGAGGGAGAGGCAGGGGGGGCAGCATTGTGACGGACGAACTTCCTGTCTGAGTATGCATTGTCAGTATCTGTCTCGATGGCTCTTGGGTGAACATACCTTGGCGGTTTGAGCCACCGCGGTGGCCACGTCGGGTCTTCTTGTTGGGGTTGGTCCTTGGCTTGTATCATAAAATTGTTAATCAAGTGGCCTCCGGGATGCTCTTTAGTGGCCCTACCTGAGGGGGCTTGTGTGCCTCCGCTATGGCTGCGTGAGTAGCCACGACCGTATCCCTCAGACAGGCGGCCCAACGCCGACATTCCTCACGAGTGTGCCCGCCCATCTCACAGAACGTACACCATTCCTATTTAAAGACGGTCAGTCTATGTTAGATAGGTTGAGGGCAGGTGTTGATCGATTCAGACGCTCCAGGGTGACCCTTGAAACTGGATTTAACTTACAGCGGCTCGTTTTTTGCCTGGGTTCGGCATCGTAGCTGGTTCTTAAAGGAAGGACAAGAACGAAAAGAAACGGCCCTTTTGGGCGTCCGGGATTGTTTGATTTTAAAGTGAGAAAGAGAGAAGATGAAGGGGAGACAGAGACAAACGTCCTAACATGGCAAGACCTCACTATTTTTAAGGCTTAGGCAGTATTTACTTGTATCTACAGGATTCAACACGCTGAGGATTTTCATCATAACTCATAAAGAGGGACTAAACCTATTTTATACAAATCATGAGAGCAGGGTCGAGATAGCATATATCCGTGTGGAGGTATCCTCGCTTGCCACCGCCAATTCGAACTGATCCTTAGTATCCGCCTCTGCAGACACTGGTCGCCATGCTAATTGAGTAATGGTCTTTGAAGGTGAGACCACCTTGTCAATAGTCACAATGTGCTGTGCTTCGAGGGTGTCAGCAGCAATTCCGTGAATAGAGACGACGCCGCTGTCCTCGCCGGCAGCAATAACATATGTGCCTTTGTATGTTGCGGGCAAGAAAGCAATTGCTGAGACCGCCGATGTCAGAGCCACGGTTGTTTTGCAGACGAAGGTGTCTTCCGACTTTTGCCAGATTTTCACGGATTTGTCACGTCCTGCCGTGGCAAAGACATAGTTGGTTGTAGCTGGGGCCCAGGCTGCACCCAGGATCATTCGAGAGTGACCCTTGGGGTTTATGCTGAAGTTTATAAACATAGTTGGGTCTGTATCGCTTCGCTGGAAGACTGCCCATTGGCGATCTCGTCCAACACTGAGAAGATAGCGATCGTCACTCGAGAATGAAAGGTCCGTGATGGTTAACGAGTGCGCAGTGAGAGAAGGTTTGATCTCATGCCAGTCCGACGTATCATAGAGGCGAATTACCGCATGGTCAATGGAGCTGGCCTTGCAGGCTGTAGCAATGAGCTTACGGTCATGGCTCACTGCCACTGCTGATATCTCATAGCCATGGCCATAGAGCTTCTCATGCTCTGGCCACAATGTGTAACGTGACAACTGATCCTCCAGTGGCGGGTGGTCGGCAGCCAGTGAGGCAGAAGCGACTGGCGCTTCAGTAGCCGGGGCTTTTCCATCCTCTTCTACTGGTGCCTCATCTCCAAGTGCCTTGTTCGAGAGACCTAGCACTGGAATTTCAGCAGTGTCTGGGAGATCCTCGTCATTCGATTGCTTGAACCCAGTGAGTCTCTCGAGCAACTGGGCAATTGGTTTGGGCTCATTGAACACACGCAAGAGCTTCTCCTCTGCGCCTGTCACGAATTGTGAGGGTCCCAATGTGTCGACACAGTTCAAATCGTACCCATGAATCTGAGGGCGAGAGAACTCATGCCATGAGCCTACATCTCCCCGAACCCACTTTGCATGAAGCCGAGTGGTTTGATCTGAGCTAGTTGAAAGCAAGTACCCTCCAGTGGGCTCCCATTGTACACCGTTCGATGAGCGCACATGGCCCGAAACGCCAAACCTCTGTAACCAAAGATCCGAGTCGGAATCATGTCGCCAGACTCTCCAACTACCTGTGCGGCCAAGACTCACCGCCTGCTTGCCATCTGGTGACCAGAGCCCAATCCAGAAGCCACCTGCACTACCAGTCGCTGTGGTAGATCCTTTTTGGACACTGATCTCTCCCATTCTCTCTGTGGACATCCAAACTCCTGACGCTTGGTCTTGTTCCCAAATTATGATCGTGTTATCAGCCGAAGCCGACAGAAGCTGCTGTCGCTTCAAATCAGGATTCCACGAAATGGTATAGATCCAGTCTTCATGTCCAAAGAGAAGAGCTTCGAAAGTAATGGAGTATTTTGATCCTGCAGCCTCGAATTCATGGGCTTTGTTCGACAACGTAGGCTCCATTCCCCCAAGCAGAGGATCCGTGTCATCTATCGCAGCAGGGGCACTCGCTTCACCCCGATGCAGTCGCCAAAGACGGATATATCTATCTTGACTTGCAGACGCTAGCAGGATATCACCGTCGTTCTGCTTGTCCTGGGTGAACGAAAGAGCCTTTATCCATGCTTCGTGTCCCGCAAGCACAGCCCGGCGCTTGAACTCTGGCTTGTCGACAGATGTTTCCGAGACGTAAATCTGAACCTTGGTCGTTGTGCCCGCAACGGCCAAAACCAATGGCTTGTCCGAATCGCCTTCAAGCGTTTGCATTGATAAAGAGAGTGGGAAAAACCGTGGTGTCATTGTGAGCGTGTCAAGGAGCTCGCATTTCAGTTCGTCCTGTGCATTTATTCTCCAGATCCGAACTGTGCCATCAGCCGCTCCAGATGCGACGATGTCCGTTCCATCAGCGACGGCGATCGCATTCACTGAGCTTGTGTGGCCCTCAAGGGTAAAAGCAAGGACATAATTGTGAGGATTGGAATTGTCCTTTTGCCATACCCGTATTGTGTGGTCGACAGAGCCGGTGACGATAAATCTCGTTCCTGAGGCGGGGCATGTATAAAATCGAACGACGCTGACTTTGTCAGTATGACCAACAAGCAGGGCGTGGATGCCGCGATCAGTCTTGTCCTTGACTAAGTGTCAGCTCTTCCTTGTTATCAATGCACAGCTGTTCTCAATGGACCTACTAGAGGATCCCATAAGGCGACATTGTTGTCCGCACCGAAGGCGAGCACGCCTGTCTGCACATCCCAATCCGCAGCACCAGGGTGCCGGTTTCCCCCACACTAATGTATTCTGTTTCGACGGCAACCATGGAGTATTATGAAGGGCCTGTGAACCCTTCTGTCTGTTTGTGCTGCTGTACTGAGAATAAGTTGGAGAAAAGCCGCAAAGAAATTGCGGGAAGATTGGGGCTTATCGATAAGAGGTTCTGTCTCCGCCTAGCCCCTCCATGTTTAACGGGCTCAACTTGTGATATCTTTCTATTTGCTCCCAATAAAAGATATAAATGCTATATGCTCTATATCTCCCTTCATTTGCAACGCCATGACTGATACTCCAAATGCGAATGCGGGTCAGGGAGAATTTCCTATCCCTATCACCGTCGAGTTCACGTACGTCAAATCTTTTCTTCAATCTATCAACCTCTGCTGATAATCGATCTCGATAGTGGCGGTTTAGAATTGCTATTCGGGAATGAGCGCAAGCACAAGGTCGTTCTACCTGCTCGTTTAGAGGATGGCAGCAGGCCCAACATATCATATCTGCTGAAATACCTCGTTGACAACCTCATGAAGGATCAGAGGATAGACATGTTCATCATGGAGGACAATGTGTATGTCAACATAGCTTTGGGGTTTATCCAAGCAATACTAATGACTTCGACAGACGACCAGGCATTCTCGTACTTATCAATGATGCGGATTGGGAACTCGAAGGCGAAGAGGCATATGAACTTCAACAAGGGGATAACATCGTTTTTGTTTCAACTTTACATGGCGGTTAGACATGATGGATTGTATTGATGCTATCAACGCAATGAAGACAAAAAAGAACTTGATTTGTGGCTGGAGGAATTCGAGAACAGCATATGGGTGGTATTGCCGGGGCGAAACGAATTACTATGGACTTTTACCTAAACCACATCTTCAACGTGCTGTTGGGAGATTCTTTCGCGCTCACGCGGTGTTCGGATTCCACTGGGGGTTCGATATCCACTCTGTGGTGTTACTTGACCTTCTGGGGTACCAAGTCCTTGCGTTGGTGATACCACCCCACTCGGGGGCACTGGGATCTTCAAGTCCTCTGGAGAGGCCGGGATAATCTCTTCGGGGAGATCGGGGATATGAATCCGCTGTGCCTCGTTCTGATAGCTCTCGGGAACGATCTGGAATAGTGTCAATCAACCATAGGTACTAATCCAACTCGAAGTCAAATTTACCTCAATGATTTCATCGCGAGGGAACTCAAGGAACGGAATGTCAGCAGCATTGCAGGCCATGAGATAACCATACAAAACTCTCAAAACACTTTCGTGTGCAATGATCAGCAGATCGGTTTGCTCCCTTTCCAGTTCAAGGATAATTGGCTCGAGGCGAACAGCCAGGTCATGGTATGACTAAGGAAAACGGTCAGCAAATACACACTTTGAGAGGGTGAAGCACTGCTTACCTCTGCCCGGGGATAACGGTGATGGTAGGGATCAAGCTCATGCTTAGCAACCTCGTCCCCAAACTCTGCTCGAATTTGACTCTCAGACATTTTCTCACAAACACCGGGGTGCAGTTGGCTCAATTGAGACCTCTGCCGGATTTTATATCCGTTTTCATGGAGGTATTTCGCGGTTTCCACTGTTCTGCGCCGTGTGGAAGTCCAAACTTTCAGTGGCCTTGACTCATAACCAGTCTCTCCCCGCTCAATCATTGCTTGCTTTTCTTCTTCCCGGTGAGCTAGTAGACGTGCCGTCATTTTCTTGGCATAGTCTTCTCCCTGTTCTGACAACGAAGCATCGGCTTTGTATGAATCTGCGTCCAACGAAACGCCAGCCTAAATAAAACGTCAGACTTTGCATTGTAGCAATAAGACAGTAGATGACATACCCTGGCAAAGTATGTGCGTCTCGATTTGATGTGGAGATTCAGAAGATAGAAGACTATACGGTTAGAAAGGTAGCCAAAGCTTCGATTGTTGACAATCAGTCTTTCGCCGGCGTTGATCATCTATATTTGGTGAATAATGGCAGTGCGAAAAAATAAAATGCGCGTACCTTAATATAGTTCAAGTCCTTCTCCTCCATGGTCTGGAATTGGGGGATGCGAGAATAGATACGGTTCAAGTAATGCTTCACGGCATCTTCCGATTTCCATGAGACGTACTGGCCACGATTGTCAGATTGTCCTTTCGAAGAAAGAATTCACAGGAGACTCACATCAGGAGAGGATATCTTGACTCTGCGAACATTCTCTTCGATGATGCGTTCGTCATCACACCAAGACTCAATGAATAGGGTCTGGTAAAATATATCAATGATTAGTCTATTGTCAAATATTCAAGAGAAGCAATTCTGATTTACCTCAATATCATGCTTTGCAAATTCCTTGGCAAGCGAGCGACGCCCTGAGGCTAGCGGGTTGACGGCATCATATATCGCTATTTGACCGTTTTCATGGTTCAAGAAGTGATAGATGTCTTCTCGACATTTTCTCACAATTTTTTGGCGTAGAAGGACGGACTTGGCAGTCGCTAGTCAGAGATGTTAATATGGTCGTTCGGGTAGATCAGAATACCATGCCCACCATTGACATAGAAATAATCATCTGGCATGTCCTCGCCAAATGGGATTGTGGCACGACGATAGTCGCCCAGATGGAAGATTCTGGTTTTTACACCAAGCCTATCAATGCATCAGCATGTCTCTGGAAGTGGGAAGATCATAGAGGTAAAGCATACCATCGCAAATATCGTGCCAAAGCCACTGAGATATGTCTGCCATGAATCTCAAATTAGTCTACTCGGTAACACCAATCTTAATGTAAATAATATCATACGTTTTGCCTCTAGCGGGCAAGCCGACGGTGATGATCACAATACGGCCTGAATGGAACAGCCGACCAGATTCGGTGCTGTACAGCTGGGCCGGGGCCAGATCGGCCTTTTCCGGCAAGTCATGAATTGCATCGACAAAAATTGACGATTTGCGACGGAATCGTGGGGAGTTGGCCACAATCTCAGCGGTGCTATATGATGTCAGTTCAAATCCTCTATCAAACTTCACACTGCAGCTTCTCCAAGACTAGACATGGCACATGGCACATGGCTCTTTTGTTTGCCCTCTTTATATTGTCAAGCAGAAAACACACATAAAAAAACATTGATGGGAGCAAACATGGAATTGTAAAGTGGAAAAGGCAAGCTTACAGTAAGGTGTCCATGGTGGGATGTTAAAGTGACGCAATCTTGAAATATCACAAGATACAAGCAAGACCTGTCGGGATTATCGGTAGAGCGATAGACAGTGCTAGGACAGACCAGAGATATTTCGAGCCGCCTCAATCCGATGGCAAGATATTGAAGCAAGAAGTAAAGAAACCTTCTAAGGGTAGGAGGCGGTATAGGTAATCGATCAAGACCAAGATATCAGGTGCAGATCATTGGCTCTGGTTGCCTTGTTTTTCAGGCTTCAGAATACGAAACAGTCCAAACAATAACCAATTAAAGCAAAATTTGCATCAATTGAAATGGAATTAAAAAAGCCTTTCAAGTCACAGTGAAAATCAGGTTACATTCTTCCAATAGCCCCCCTCCCCAATCACCTCTAATCCCCCGGGGTCTTGCCTTGAACCGGGAAGGCCCGAAAAAGCTTATGTAATATCCCGGCGAACGACAGCAACCAAAGACGCCGAGGCAGGTGACTAGCATTTTTCACAGCTTGGAAAGTCTTGAATTGCTTCCCCTACACTCCTGAGCGCATCAGATACAGCCCTTTTACACTATTTTATCAAAGGTCATCTGAAGACGTTTGTTCGTCCCAGATCCTCGGGCTGGTCTCAATCCCTTTTATTCGGAATTATCTGTTTTTTTCCCCGAGTCTCAACTGAGACTGACACGCGTGACGACACCTAATATACTCGTCAATTATCACATTTCCAACCAAAATGGCCGATTACCTATCATCCCTCTCCTTCCTCACAGAGAACCCTGCCGCCTTGGCTATCAACGATGCATACTCCTCGTTCTCCGACCGGAGGGCCTTGCTTAACCTGCCCAACCCCGGCACTGTCGATAACCTCGCCAGAGAAGTGCAGAAGGATGTTCTATTGACCAACTTCATGTTCTCCGGACTCCGGGCAGACCTGACCAAGGTCTTCGGCATGTCCCCTCTGTTCCGTGTGTCGCATGCCTTCTCTATGGGCTCAACCGGCAACCTGCCTCCATATGCTTTCTCCGCCATGTACGGAAGCCCCAGGGTAAGGATGAATATTCCATGCGATCCGTAGGACGGTCACTGCAATTTTCAGTATCTAACATGTTGTTCTCCGATAGGTGTTTATGCAAGGTAACTACGGAAGCGACGGTGCGCTCGCCGCCGTCGCCAACTACCGCTGGAACCAGGCTCTTGTCACCAAGACCAATGCTCAGATCATGAACGGTGGTACCCAGGGCTTGGTCCAGATCGATAACGACTACACTGGCCGTGACTTCTCTGCATCTCTCAAGGCCTTCAACCCCTCTTGCCTCGAGGGTGGCCTCACCGGTATCTTCGTCGGCAGTTACCTGCAGTCTGTCACCCCCAGTCTTGCCCTTGGCTTCGAGGCTATCTGGCAACGCCAGGGTATCACCGCTCGCCCCGAGACTGCTCTGTCTTACTCCGCCAAGTACAAGGGTGAGGACTGGATTGGTACTGCTCAGCTTCAGGCCCAGGGCACTTTCAATGCCACTTACTGGCGCAAGCTGTCCGAGCGTGTGGAGGCTGGTATTGACATGAACCTCCAACTCCAGCCCTCTCCCGCTACTCTTATGATGGGTGGCCCTGCTCGTGACGGTACCACTGCCATCGGCGCCAAGTACGACTTCCGTGCCTCTTCGTTCCGCGCCCAGGTTGACAGCACCGGCAAGGTTAGCTGCCTCCTCGAGAAGCGCATTGCGATGCCCATTTCTCTCTCCTTCGCTGGTGAGATCGACCAGGCCAAGGTAAGCAACATTTGTCTTTTTAATTGTAGTCTCCATGCTAATTCGTCTCTTTTCTTTTTAGCAAACGGCTAAGCTCGGTCTTGCCGTCTCCCTTGAGCTTGCTGGTGAGGATGTCATGGAGCAGCAGGACAAGGTTGACCCTGCCACCATGATCCCTCCTCCTTTCTAAGCCCCTCCTCTCGCATCCCCCGAGATAATAACCCTTTCGCCCCCCATGTTTTAGTAGTTCTTCACTCTCCATGTCTGGAATGACATATGTTGTCCCTCTTTCTCGGTATATCCTCTTGAATCTGGGTTGCTGGTGCAGATAGCAGTTGTTTGGCGCCATGGAGATTTCAAATTTTTTTGTATAGATTCACACTCCGTTTCTTTGATTTCCTTTTCCATTACCACCTGATGCTGCATCTCTGTTTGGCCTGTGGTCTGATATCTTGTGTCTCCTAGCTATCTTTCCAGTTCATTTCCTTGCATGGCCATGTTTTGGGTCTATGGGATTGCCAGGTCTGGGATGCATGGCTGCGCCTGCAGATAGCTCTGGTTATGTTTTTCGCATCATAGACGGGCCAATGTAAAACAAGTTTTGATTGAGTTGATCCGGCTGTAATGATTTTTATTGTACTCTGTGTCTTTGACTTTTCATTTTTCTCTACAAGACTTCAACGATGAAAGGATGTACAAAGTCAGCTCTTTGTCTACCTAGTTGAATGTTTAGATGTTGATACAAAAATCAGCCATTACACAGATATGTAGATCTCAAGTGTCTCTGGGTACACTACGGAGTATATGTGTTCTTTCAAGATACATAACCAAAACAAA